CTCACTAGGGTATTATCCAGTGTAAAAAGCCTAAAAGAAAGCAAATATAATCGTAAAAATTCTTTAATAAAACATAAAGAGGATATAGCTACTTAGTAGTAGCTGGAGAGTAAAAGTCGTTAAGATACAGTGCGCTTAGGTGTAAGCTAACAATCTACAGAGCGCAGAAGCACAGCTTACATAGGTTGAACCCACTTCAAACATTCTGCGTTCTTGCAGAAACAAAAGGTCAAATAGGGCACCAGACCCCCCGAAGTCCGGGGAGATATTGGGGAAACAAAAGGGTACTCGATATTCGGATGTTGCAGCCTCTTTTACTCCTAGTTGCCCACTACTCTCACCTAGCCTCATCGTCCTGTCTTTGTGCAACGGTGACAGCGAATCTAACGTTTACGGTACTCGAGTTATCACTGTATCGAACTCTGATGCTGAGATTCTATATCCAGGTATTTCTACGAGATCTACTGGTTGCTACGGATGGTGGTCTGTGCTCGTAAGGTCTCTTCGTTGAATCGTTGGAGGCATATTAAATCGGGCTGGATGGACGTAACCATTGGTCTAGCCCTCCGGCCCATGCGGGACGTAGCCGGTTTGCCTTTCGGATGCTTGTTGATAGCGGCTTTCCTTAGCCTTTTGTCGCACGTGACAATTGGACCAGATGAAACTACATCACATGACGTAGTGTTTCACCTCAATATGAGTCAGCGCAGTAGTCGCTCTTTTAGCACTGGCGTCTTTCCTTATTGAGACTAGCGCCCTTTTGGTCCTTTACCATATTGTTAGCTTGGAGCCCCCTCAAGCTCCTGAGACTAGACCCTACACCTTTGCTCAATCGACTAGTTTGGTTCTCGCCACCTGATTGACGAGTCACACCTCATATGCTCTCTATCATCCGTCAGCTCTAACCGTGCGATACTTTTCGTGTTGGTGCATAAGGTACAAGGCAAGGCCAGCGATAGCAAGAGGGCGAGGCCGCTGACTACGACGCCGGCGATCCAGGTTTTGCTTGATTCCTTGGCTAAGTCGAGATCGACTACTAATGTTGACGTTGATATTTGCAGAGGTGAGGTGGCGGTGGAGGACGATGTGAATATCGTTGTCACCTTGCCATCCACCAATGCTTGAGCAGTTGTCGGTAGCATTTAGAAATACTCAGTGGTTGGTGTGTGTTCTTTGCGCATCCAATCATGGCCAGAAGTCGAGCAACCTTAGTACTTCCAGTGTAGATTAGATTACCCACTACGAATTAGCCCGGTATAAGGTTGGAGGTTTCTCGGCTCCGTGTCTCCTACCGGGAAACAATTATTCTTACCAGCCACGAGTATAATCAATGGGTGATGTAACTTCCGTTAGATGTAGCGGTTGGCAGGTATTGATTATAATACTCCTGCCAATTCAATGAAGTCGTTTCACAACAGCCAACAACGGAGTCCATTGATGTAGTGAAAGGATAACCGAGAATGCAAGTATTGGGTGTAACTGAACATAATGTGAACCATTGGAAGTTATTAGCACTGAGCCGCTACCAACAAGTTGATCCAGAAGATGTTGCCTGATACTATCCTACTTGGTTGATGCTAGTGTATTATCCCCGAGGTTGAAGGAAAGCGGGGGGCGTCATGGTGGGATGAGCTGGCGTGAATTCTCTGGATGATGTGAAGAAATAAACCCGAGTGGTACTACGAAAAGAATGATAACAGTCAATGTCTTGGCGTAGAGTTTCTCGAAGGATAGGATAGGATGGCGGGCGCAGAAATGCGTAGCGGGACGCAGATGATTATGAAGGGTATTAGAGTAAGCTCTAGTCACTGCTATACGTCGTAGTGCTAGAGATGGCCTCCTATATATGTAGGAGAATGTAAAAAGCGTCACAGCATGCTCAACAGCCTCATCGCAGGGCAAAAAGATAGGCGTCGGGCAATCAGGGTCCGGACCGTCACTGTGATTGATACTTCTACGAGGTTGCTAGGATACTAGAGGAATGAATGGGAGTCACCCTTGGCTTCGCCCTTCGCTTCGCCCAGTGATGCTAGTAGGCGCTTCTGCAGCTACCAGCTCCCGAAAGAATCGCACCCAGTCGATACAACAGCGTCCGGAGTCCAGCAGGTAAGCTTTTCATGAATGATTGCCAACAGGTCTGTATGAAGGGATTTAAATGCTGTTGCCCTGTATTGAGTGAACATGAACGCCGGCTCGGCGTCGCTCCGGGGACGTTCGAATTTCCCTCCCCTCATTCAGTCGACTCAAAGCCACTCTACTTGAGAGTTACAAGAGCCCATTTCTTTGCTGAAGGTAGAACCTCGGCTAGGCACCGGCAACCTATGACACGATAAATGCTTCCGGGATGCAGCATGCAGAGTGTGGATCTATGACAATAATAGCCGCTGAGCCGCAATGCTAATACGAACCCTGCTCGGGTGTAAAGGTACGGGCTTATTTCTTGTCATTACGCTTGGCTGTGCTGAAGGGGTCATGGCTGTGGCGTCAGACGTCAGCGGCACAATTATGGGCGAGAGTCGGGCGGGAAATGTAAAATAAGGTTGGCTACGGCGGGGTTGCGTGCGCCGAGGAAAGGTTGGCCTCGTGTGTTCCTTCCATCAGATTCCGCCTAACAGTATCAGACCAGCCACATCTATGAGCACGTGTATTCAACAGAAGAATCGAACTTCGCCTATCTCTTCGCTTTTCTCTAGCCTCTCTTAAACCTCGCTTGAGCTCGTGAGTGATTTCGGGACAATTTGAAATGCGGGGCGGCGGCTAAGGTTGAATGCCATTGGCTGGGATCAGCCAACTTCGTACACAGTATACTTCGAGAAGGCATCGAATAGATTACGAACATGTGAGAGACTGCCAGTTGCCTTTGTGGCCACGGCAGCATGGTGAGATCCCTACAAAGCTTGAACACCATAACAGAGTACGCCGATTCCACGTTCTCCATAGGCTTCATGGGTCAATGGGGCATCGAGCAGATAGTTCAGGGGTATGAGCCTTGACATAATTCACACCTTGTTCCCGGAATCTTTTCTACTGGACGACACGGCTGTCTAAACATGGCCCGGCTCTGGAGCTTGCCGTCGAGTGAGAGAAGGCAGGAAGCTCATCAAGAGGGAAGCACTTCGGGCTCCTCTAAGAGCAAAGGAACATGTGGAGAGAAAGTATGAACTCAATCCAGATAGCGAATATCGACCAATAGAACTCATCAAGGGTACGTCTCCAGAACCCCTTCTTGAATGTAATGACGGAGACGAAATCGTGGTCAATGTACACAGTTAGGCTACAGCCGCGACTTCAATTGATTGCTATGGTCTTTACCAGAATGGTACGAAATAGATAGATAGGTCTATAATGATTATAGAGTATTAGATCGCGCCTGGTTATTCCTCCACGTACCGTCTCGATGTCTTGTGAGAAACATGTATATATATGTATTACAGTCACATGACTATGCAACTCTCAGATGGACTAGTTAGACCTAAGGTGATCCGCACTTGAAGTTACGAAGAAGACAAATTGTGAAAGGTACCATATGGCGAAGATAGAATGGTAGTGGCTACTACTACGATCTATCATCATCTCTGTTGATGCAATATCTCGCACCTGGCAGCGAGAACCACAAACCAGTACGGTGTCCGCTCAAGTGAACGGTTGTGGTGCTCGCAATTGCGCCGACTTACACAATCGCAAATTCTTATCTACCAATACCTCAAATGCACTCTTGGGCCTATTTTCCGACCACAGCACACGCTGCGTATCATCAATGTAGGCGCCTTCACCGAATTCCAGATCCAGATCGATGAGCACTAGTTCCTTCTTACGGAAGTCGACGGCGTTGAAATCTATCCTCAACCAGCACACTGGCTTAGTTTCAATCTCGTACAACGATATAGTGTCGTGCTTATGCCACCTAACCTGAATGAAGACCTATCTGTGAGGGCGAGGATGATCACGCAGTGCTTCAAGTATGAGGAATTGGGAACGAAAGAGGAGGCCCGTAGGCCCACCAGATTCTATTCGCCCAGTGAGAGCGTTAAGTCTCCAGGCAAAGATTAAGCTGACATCGAGAAATTCGAATGTCGGGATCTGAGTTCGAGCGCTATTGAATCCGTGAAAGAGTTCATAGGTCCATAAAACGCGGACGGCCAGGCTTACCACCAAACAAGCTTCTGACACAGAGAGTTGCATCTAAGTCGCGGGTACATGAACGGGAGTTCTTATCGGATCAACTTGTCACATCCGACCGTGAACACCAAATATCCGGGTGTTTCAATGAACAAGTATCCCACTCCTCGTTCGCCCGTTTTCTTTAGTGTCAACACCGAATTCTTCGACCCGACATCCAGGTCAGGCTACACCAGAAAAGTGCGACGATGCGCCCGTTGGTACGAAGTAGGAACCCAAACGCAGTAAGTATGAGTCTCAGAAGAGTTTGGTGGTGAACCACGTGTCCTTATCGATAGTGGCATAATTTGAATCGCACATGCGCATGGGCACTTGACCATTAACCACAATCTTCAAACCATCTCATAGAGCCATTTATATATCGTATGCAAAATTTCGGCATTTCCTTGGCGTTCGTTTCTTAATTCTTGCACGCACCTAGGGTTGCTGTTAAAATCATAAAAGCTGCCAGTCAGCGCATATCGACGCAGCAATAAATAGCATGCAACTTACTTCGCTATGCCAGACGACCACCTCACTAACCAAACGCGATTCTAAAGTACAATCCTTATGTTTATAAAAACAAGCGCATAAATTATTTAAATTGGTCTCTACTCTTAATATATCAACTCTGGAAACATGGGCCGAATTTCCGAACTTTGGATCATAGAAGGTGGTAGGAGGAAAATAACGATACAATTATATACCTATTCTGGTAGCGGCAAAGGATGGAGGCTTAGGCTGAGAATGTGCATAAATACCTTCATCTTGCCCTTTTCTTGAAGTTTGCTTTTTTACCCGTCATATCCGTACCTGCTACCTACGGCAACCCATCTGCCACAATGTTCCGTCAAACCGCTCTTCTCGCCCTTGCTCTCCTCCCCTTCTCCCTTGGTCAAGTGTCCGAGGGCTTCGAAAGCGGGTGGGACCAGACCGCATGGCCCACCTACGCGGCCGACTGCAATCAGGGGGGTAAAGTCACCCTTGACAGCTCCACCGCTTATAGCGGCAAGAATTCTATGAGGGTTGATGGTGCGGGTGGCTACTGTGGACATATTTTCTTTGGCACAACGAAAGTCCCCAGCGGTGACGTTTACGTCAGGGCTTACGTGTAAGTTTTTGTGGTGGCAGAGGTAGAGTGCTGAAGGGGTGAAGCAATTTTAAAGTTGAAAGGAAATGCTAACATACACCTATCCTCATCCAGCAAAGCCTCCAAGGCCTTCACCGACTCTCATGTCTCCTTCATCACCATGCCCGACTCCGCCCAGGGCGCTAAGAAGCATCTCCGCATTGGCGGCCAAAGCAAGATCATGATGTACAACCGCGAGTCCGACGATGCCACCCTTCCCGACCTCTCCCCGCAAGGTATTGCCGCTTCCACCGCCCTTCCCACTGGCTCCTGGCAATGTTTCGAATACCACTTGGGAACCGATGGCACCATTGAGACTTGGTTGAATGGCAACGCTGTGGCGGGTCTTACCGTCAAGGCTGGTGTCACCAATAAAAACGCCGCCCAGTGGCAGAGGAGCACCTACAAACCCAAAATCACCGGTATTTACTTCGGTTGGGAGTCGTACGGCGGCGACGCGAATACCTTCTGGTACGACGACATTGTCGTCAGCTCGAGCCGTGTTGGATGCGCTGGCGGATCTCCTGCTCATTAGACCATTCAACAACCAACTCGCACCACCAACATCAATCCCGCTACCCTTTACCACCGGAATTTATAGTATGAACAAGATCCACCATTATGACGGTGGTGGTGCGGCCTGGGCCCCGAACACCTCTAGCTCTCATGGAGACGTGCATACGAAAGCGCTTTATTCTAGTGCTTCCCACTCCTAACCTAAAATAAGAGTTCCTAGTCGTATAATCATTGCACGATTTGGCAAGAGTATAAGGGTCACTTATGCTCGAAATTAGCCATAACATAGTCTACGGTTTCTCATCGATGTGCATAGAGAACTACATTAAGCTCCTAGACCTACATTACATGCTTCCCTTTTCTATTGTTTCTAGCTTGAATGTTCGTGTACGATAGATATGTATCTACTACGAGTTATAATATTCGTAACTAGAGAATAGTAAACGTTATTATATCTTCGATATTAAACCCTACACTGTCAGGGTAACTACCTGTGAACTCAATGCCCCACGGCATAGGGCCTATCGGGGAAGCCTTCCTAGGAACACCCAATGCCGCTCACGTGCTCGTTCATTGGCCTACTGCTATCACTCGAGCTGCCCCTATCAAATACTGCTAGAACATGCTCAACATTCCTATTTTCCGCGTCGCACAACGTCCTGGACATTCACTAGATAGCGTACGTAACAATGCTCTCCTTTGAGCTCGTGTCTCTTGTGTGTTGGATCCCCGCGACATACGATTATTTATATAAAATAAATTAGTATTTAATCCTTTTACTACTTTAGCAACTATAGGTGCTACTCATAGCTAGCAAAACACTTGTAAAAAAAAATTAACTGCTAATACTTCATACAAAAATGTTGGTATCGTGTTAAAGCTCAATCGCAGCTTATGAAAACTAGTTAGTCGAGAGTTTCAATAGCCTAATTGAAATGTTTCTAATAACAGCTATGCAGCCACTTGCAGGGCCAACCTCACTCTCTACATTTCATTTAGTCTGGTTACGTGCAATATCCTCAGGAAGACTTTCCTTGGAGATGTGTTCTTAGCATATTAGCACGTTGTCGCCCCTCGAAGACGACACCTGCGAGCGTGTTAAGGTTAAGCAGCTTATCTCCACATTCGATATTAACAGCCACACGCTCTGTGGTAACGTGAATATTGTCAACCAATTGCTAGCCTTGGCTACTACTTGGACGGCTTGCTAGAGACACTACTAGACATAGCCAAAGAGCAATATCGGTAATGTCTTCGTATTCGACGACTCGCAGGATCCATTTGGGGACAGGCTAGGAGTTGCTAGCGGTATCGCCTCGGGGTTCTTCTGAGGAAGCCGTCTATGAACACATGGGCGAGAAACGGAAGTAAGGTGACGCTGGACGGCTCTCCGAAACACCGAATAGTCAGCCCCCACTATTGCCTAATTAGGTTAGAACTTACAAGCGTTGGAAACAGTCATTTACACGAACGTCTGGCGCGTCATTCTCGCGATTGTTAGTTTACAGACAACGAAGCGAGTGTGCTAAGAGATTTTACGAATTAATTTTTCTTAACGGATTCATATTTTACGCCATTCACGTTTCCAGTTCGCGGGGGCTATTCGGAACCGCCAACTCCGCCAACGGTGCTATCTCTTGGGGCCCACCGCTGTGCATTGTGATTGTGTAAGAGTCTTTGATTTGGTCGGCAAGTTTCATCTCTCCAGAGGGTTTGTGCGCTGAATGTGCCTGGCTCTTGCGCGTTTTAGATACTAAAGCACCTGCAATAATACCCAACAACAGGATAGTGGGAACACCCAGACCAATTCCCACCCCAAGGCCTATCTTTGCATCTTGAGATAGCCCGCCTTTAGATCCGTTCTCAGACAACGCCATCGAAGAAGTTGTTGCTGAAGGCTGGGTTGTAGCGGCGGAACTCGAGGGGCTCGTTGAGGCGGAACTTGACAAACTGCTAGTAGCCACAGATCTCGAAACATTGAAATAATGCGAGAAAAACCGGGGTCCTTCCCAACCCATCTCCAAGTAAAACACATTCGATCGATCCAGATTTAGCTCGTAAGCTTGCACAACCCAATCCATTGATTCAAGAAGAGGATCATTCTCATTATGAACTGTCAATAGTCAGGACGCGGTCTCCATAACGGAATGGGTAACTTCACTATATAACGGCGTAGTGCTCACAGTCGCACCTCCGCCCCCATTTTGTTGCCATAGCGTCAAATTGAAGAAATCAGACACGGTCAAATTCGTTGTCCACGAAATCCCTTGAACACTGCCCAAATCCATAACGCGATTATCCTTATATGTAGCTGGTCCCGGGCTTCCTCCGCAGGGTGGAGGCTCAGTGAACGAGCCCCCGACTGGATTTTCTGGCTGGCATTGCGCTTGGACCGTGGATCGGGAGGCAGAAAGCAGAGCGAGTGAAAAGGCGACAAATCGCGTAAACATCATGAACGTGTTGAAGCGCAGCCCAAAAATCGGATCGTCGAGGACGAAGCGAAGTCCAAGTTTAAGTAAGATTTTGGGGTCTGTGAACTCTGCGCCTTCGGCGCAATCCAACTGACTCAGCTTTGAATATTACGTTGGGGGCCGAATTAAAATCGGTACCCTTAAAACAGCCACAAAACAAGGATAATTAGAGAATTCAATCAGTTGTCGGAATGCTATATCGCTAGCAGTCAGACTCCATTCACTCACTGCTTGGCAACTCCTTGAGATACGCCAACTGGCGGAGCGCCTGCAGGGTACTGGGGTTTAGCAGCCGATTCACGCGCTCACCTGAAGCGCGGGGAAATCGCCGTAGAACTTTTCACACTGATTGAAACTATACAGCCACATAAAATGGATCTCGGCCTAGAGATATAACGATTTAAGACATTAATTACGGCGATTAATGGAAGGCTACTGGCTAGACGCGGAAGCGTGAAGGAAGCTTGATAGCTCCACCATTAGCTGCCCTCTAGGTTCCACATCAATACAGCACTCTTCAGCTCTAACAACAAGTAGCTTGCACCTGCTCGACCGTAATGATTACAGCTTAAGAAGCCTTTGTAGCCTTTCTAGAAGGGTTTATCTTTGTCGTTACGAGCTCTTCGTACAGCTCCAGCCATACCTTCATCAAAAACTGCATCGGCTGGTGTTTCTCAGACTCGCGTCATCCGCGGCTAATCTATCTGGTGCAAAAATCGGTGGAATTCCTTAGCAATACAACAATTTTCCCTGCACGCGTATAAACTTACATATAAACTGTAGATTTACTAATTTTATGTAAAAAATTATGCAATAACTATCTAATAATTATTAGTAAAACTTAAGGCTATATAAATATATATAAAGAAGTCTACTAATATGTTTTTTAAAGTTATAGTCTTATATTTTAAGCCTATAGTGTTTCTATAAGGCCTCTTACGCCTACACAGGCGCGTTGCACTTTTAAGATTTTTAGAGAGCTTGTAACTAAAAGCTATAGCCTTAATCTATACTAAAGAATTAAAATATATTACTTTTTACTACTAGGCTAGTGTTATAACTCTATTACTAGTTATGTTAGTGTGTTGTAGTTAAAAGTGTACATAATTAAGCATAACTTAAAGCTACATAGTAGCATTTATAAACTAAGTAATCTAAACACTATACTTAGCTACTTATATAAAATAAAATCTAAAGATAAGTAAGCTTTATTTAATAAGCTTTATTAAAGTAGCTAAATATATTATAATAAAATAGCTTACTAGTTATAAATAAAAAAAGTGTTAAAGTATACTAGTTAATAGTTACTTAGCTACTTAATAATTATAGTAAAAGTAAGTAAGCGCTGCATCTTATCTTTATACTTTATAATAAAATGCTTTATAAAAGCTATTACTACTATATAAAGTAGTTTACTACTGCTAATCTAGTGTTTCTAAATAGGTTTATTTTTAGTAAAAAGACTAGTTAGCAGCAGTACACTTACACACTAATAGGCTCTATAAACTACTATATATAAGATGTTTAATAAGGGAAAACCTAAGCAGCTTTACTTATGTTTACTATAAATAGCTACCTGCCTTATATAGGTGTAAAAAAGAGCTATTTTAGCTATAAAGACTTTATAGATTAGATCTACAAGTTACTACTACCTACTTTTTACATAGTATATAGTAATAAGACTATAGTTATAGTCTTTAACAACATCTTAATTTATATAAACTAAAAAGTTATAAGTAAGATTAAGTAAGTTAGCTATATTATTAAATATTTACTACTATGCTTACTAAACTATAGCTTAATTAAGCTTACTTTTAGCATTTTAAAAGCTTAAATTTGCAGGTACTATAGCTATATATAAGTAATTTAATAACTTTAGTAACTTTTTAAAAGCAGCTATCTATAAAAGTTAGTGTAATTAGTTTATAAAAAGCACTTTAAGCAGACTACTAATAGCCTATATAAAATAAAGAGTAAAAAGATGTTAATAAAGGCTAGGCATAAGATATAAAAGTAGTAATAAAGTAAATAAGTAGTAAAAAGAATAAAGTAGAAAAAATAAATGTTAATTATATAATAATTATTATAGTATTAGTAACATAGTAATATGTTTCTAAAGCTTAACACCTGTAGTTCTATCTTCTTAGTTTATTACTATACTACTTACAGCGCTGTTGTTACCTATATTTATAAGTCTTATAGCAGTAGCAGTAGCAGCAGTAGTAGTAGTAGTAGTAGTAGTAGTAGTAGTAGTAGTAGTAGTAGTAGTAGTTATTGTTATTGTAGTTAAATGTAGGATTATTATTAGCTACACTAGCGCTAAGAACCTTATGTTTTAGCGTAAAACACCTTCTATTTTAGCGTAAAGCACCTTTTATTATAAAAAGTATAGCATAGACAGCTTAGTAATGCAACTACTCTTAAGCTTTAGGTAGCTTTTAGCAGTACCTAGTTTACCTCTATGCTGTATCTAGATTACCTTTAGGCCTTCTAGATAGCTTTAGGCTACACCTAGTTTACCTCTAGACTGTATTTAGATAGCCTATAGGCCTGTAATTTCCTGCTAGCTTTATAAAGTTATATTACTACTAGATAGTTTTTAGACTGTATTTAGATTACCTTTAAGCTTTCTAGATAGCTTTAGGCTATATCTGTAATAAGGTAGGCGCCCCGCCTGCCAAGCCGATACTATACAACTTTCCCCTCTGTACTAAAAGGTACGCACGAGAATACTTAAGCTAAGTATTCTCGCATAGTATAACATATATATAGGTAATGCTAGGGTAAGCACTAGCACTAGCGGTTGTCTCTAGCATAGCCTAAACCTCTATAAGCGAGAGAAGGCCACGTGGTTGACTGTGCCAACCTTGTTACAATATCTAGTTTACTAGTACACTATGTAAAGTTTAGGAACTAATTATTTTTAAACTAACTTTTACTACCTTTTTCTAAGAGCTTAAGACGCGCTCTAAGAAGAAAAGAGATAAGTAAACTATCTTTACTATTAGCTTTATATTCTATAAGCTACTATCTACTTTCGTAGAAATAGGTAAATAAAAAGAGTAAAACATAAAGAGATTTTTTAAAAAAAAATTCTATTAAAGTTAACTTAGTTACACTAGTACTAGACAATGTATAGGCTGTTACTAAATAGCCTATAAGCTTTACTAAATTATAATTACTTTAAGCTATAGCTTATAATTACACTAAGCTACTATAAGAACAGGGCTCCGCACCACTCCGCTAATACAACTAAAAGGTATGAATAATTAACCAACGTTAATTTTTAGGTGCAGAATAGTATATATACCTGTCGCACGTAAGCGCTATCTTAGCCTTACATTATCCCCCTTCTTAGCAGACGCATGTCCCAGGCGTCACATAACCTACCCGCAGCTTAGAGGCGCCATGCGCATGTCTTAGTTACTGGCCAGAGGCTAACCACCTGCGGCCTAGAGGCGCAGGATAAATAACAACACAACGCTTAGTAGCCCACGCTAGCTAAGCCATATACACTAGACCTCCTAGCAGCTACAACGTGGCGCTAGAAGAGGCTGCCTTATGTTTTAGTCTAAAAACTAGCTAAGCTGTCTAAGGTGTAGGTTAAACACGCAACTGTCCTTATTATTAGTTAATTATTATGTAAAAATAGAGCTCTACACTACTCTGCTAATATAACTAAAAGGTATAAATAATTAACTAACGTTAATTTTCAGGTGCAGAATAGTATATATACCTGTCGCACGTAAGCGCTATCTCGGCCTTACAGCTACAGCTTAACTACATAAAGATTTAGACAATACTAGATAATAAGCCTTACCTAATTAAGTCTAGTTGCATGTATAGTATTACTACCTAGTAGCTATTATATATGCCTTTATGTATTCTAGTAAAGTAATGGCTTATAGTTTTTACTAAGACTACTAGCTTATGTAACTTTTTATACTATACAACTTTTATTGTAATGCTTACTAGCCTAAGAGCTTTTATAGTTATAGTAATATACACTTTTATAATAAGCTTAACACTTTATTTATAAAAATATAAAGCATTTAATTTTTACTTTATATAGTTATGTTAAAAGTTAAGACTAAATTCTTTTAGTTACATGTATTTAACACTATTACTACAAGGTCTAGCTACCTTATAGTAGTAGTATAGACCTGCGACACTAGGTTGCTATGTCTACTTATTATATTCCTAGCTTATATAGTTAGCATCTTATTCTACTTATAATATTTATGTTATTATTATTTTTTTTTTAGCTTTTTTAATAATTAACTTTTAGCTAGAAAAGCCTTTAGCATTAAATTTAGGCTTACTACTATAAGGCTATCTAGCTTTGTTGCGCACTAGCTTTATAAGCTTACTAAGCACATGCTATATAAGCTAAGTACGCCTAGCGTTCTACTATCTATGCAATAGCTCTCTGTTAACTACAGTTAACATTCTATGTGTAACAGCACAGGCAAGACAATGGGTCCAAATGCAATAGGAATCCACTCAGAGGCATATAGGAGTGCGTGGAGACTTAATAACCTAGGAATTCTATTAACACCTATAGGCCTTGTACAAAGGATATTAGAAAACTACTAAGCTAGCTAAGGGGAGAGGTGCAACTAAATACTTAGGGGAATAGAGGTAACTGCGGGGGACAGGGTTAAGTTATGGTCGGGGCCGATACAGAGACCCTTCGGATAGGTTCCGAGCGACCCGAGATGGAACGATTCGTGAGAATCGTTACACTATGCCTAATATAGTATGCTAGAGAGGTGGAGAAACACGCGTACAGCTTAAGAGGAGCTGTCACTCACGCTTACACCTAACTACTAGCATAGTAATGCTTCTAGCAAATAGCAACTACTCTTAAGCTTTTTATATATAGATAACACTAGTAATAGCATTTTAAAGCACTTAGTTGCACTTTTTTAACATAGTTTTTTCTTACTAAGGTTTTCTAGAGTTTAGTTACTAGAGATAGGTACTGTCTAGGTGTAACCTGTACAGTTACTACTACAGGTTTGCCTATAGCTAGTATAAGCTTCTACTACTTAGCTAGCGTTTAATTTAAATCCTTTTAGCTTTATAGCTAACTATGTACTCTTTTTTCTTACTAAGCTTTTAATAAGGCTAGTTACGCTACTTTTATACATAAAATTTAACACTATCTATTCTTTTCTAAGTTTTAGGACAAGCTCTAAGAAGAGAGAAGGCTATGTTACAGTTATGTTACAGCTATCTAACCTCTAAGTACCCTAAGGGCTTAGCACAGGGTATATAGGCTTCTTAGCCTCTATACCTCTTCCTCTAACCCTAAGGTTTACTTTTGTTACACCCCTCTATCCTGCATTCCCTCTCTATGACCTGTGTTTCCTGCTTAATACCTCTTACACTTAGCACATAAGTAAAAAGTGCTATTACAAGTGTAATAAAACACTAAGTAATTAGTATTAGTAGTAGTTAATAGTAGTAAAGGTAAGTAAAGCTGCTATAGATAAAAAGAATAAGTAGGCTAAAAGTAACTAGCAGCAGTATAGCTATATATATAGCCTATTAGTAGGCTAGGCTAGCTAAATCTAGAAAAGTTTAGCTATAACTTTATATTTTTACACTAAAGTTAAACTATCTTCTACTACTTTTTTTACTACTAGACATTATTCTCTACTTTTTACTTAGCCTACTAATGCTTATGCTTTTTTAAAGTGCGCTAAAAATTATGATTAAAGTTACTCTTACTAGTAGTAGAACTACAGCGCTTGTTATTTTTACACCTACTTTTTAGCTTTAGCTAGTTACTACTACTAAAAAGCTTTTTTAGTAATTAATAAGCTAAGTTAAAAGTATAAAAAGCTTTACTTTACTTATAAAAATTACATTTACTTAAGATTTTACATTTATAAGTAAAACTTTATAGTGTTTAAAGTTAGTAGTAACCTAGCACTAGTACTTAAAGTTTAGGCACTTACTATTACTATAACACTAGTAGTAGTAGAGTTTTTTTTCTAGTCCTCTTACATAGCTATATTTTATAATTACTATACTACTCTTACTTTATTAAGCTACTGCTAAGTACACTTTAAATTTTTTTTAAGTTACAGTGTTAATAAGTTAAGTATATTAAATAAAAGCTTATTAGTATACTAATTGCACTTAAAGGCTTTTTATAAAGTAAGAGCTTTAATAATAACCTTAATGTTTACTTTTACTACTTAAAAAGTCAGCTTTTTACTAATTTAATAGTTAACTTACTAAAAAAAAATTTAACTACACTAAAATCTACTAGTAAGTGTATTACTTTTTACACTTCTAAGTTTACTTAAAGTTAACTATATATACTAAATAATTTTATACTTATAGCTTTAAGTTAAGCTTTTAGTATAGCTAGTAGCTTATTTATAACATTCTTTATGTTCTTTAGCTACTATATAAAGCAATTATACTACTCTAGTACATAGTAAATAGCGCTTTTTTATTAATAACTAGCTTATATTTAACTTTAAAATTATACTCTAGTGTGTTTAATAGTAATAATAAGTTAGTAAAGTAAATAAAAGTAGCTATTATAAGTGTAATATAGCCTGCTATTAGTAAATTTAACTTAGTAGATAAATTAATAGTTACAGCCTTACGCTATGTTTTAAGTGTTAGTAGTAGTAATAATAGTATAAAGTTGCACTTTATTTATATAGTAATAGGTGTAGTAACTTAAATAGAGCTTATTTAAGCAGCTACTAAGCCTATGTTAGCTTTTAAAGGCTTTATAAACTGTATATAATTATGCTGTAAGCATATTATTTGCTTTTTTAGTACACTTTATAGTTTTTAGTTACACTTTTATAGCTTTTTAATATAGCTTTACTACTTTCTTATATGCTATAATAGCTATAGTAGCTGCTGCAGCAGCCGCTGCCTCTACTGCAGTTATAGAGGGTATACACGCCCTTTTTAGCCTCTCTATAAGCATATTAATAGACTACAACACTAAAACCGCGTTAGTATAGCTTTTATACATGTATTTATATAGCCTTAAGTTATACTAATAATTATTAGATATTTATTATATAATTTTTATATAAAAGCAGTAAATTTACAGTTTATGTGTAAGTTTATATACATGCAGGGAAAATTGTTACGTTGCTAAGGAATTCCACTAATTTTTACACTAGATAGATGAAGAAGTAACGTGAGACAAATTTGCTAGATTCTTAGCAATGCTAAGTAACTACTTTTCCCTTACAAATCTTATAGAGATTTAGGTAACTGCACATATTACCCTATACACTCTACCTAATAAGAGAAAGACGTTGTATAGTAAGGAATGCTTTTTAATAGGCTTTATTAGCCTAATGCTACTATTTTCTAGCGCAGGTACTGCTAATTATACTCTAAATTGCCTCCCTCTGCTATTAACATAAATAGATAGCTAGAAATACTCCTACTAACGTACCTTACAGGCGTGTCGGCCACTCTTCTAAGACCTGTTACGACCACTGGTTGGGCCAGAGGAGCATGCGGGTCTCCAACCCCACGGAGGAAGGACGGGCCGAGGCTGGTGAGAGCACGACTCGCGTGGGTCACATGATACCCTAAATCAGGTATAGAGCGATTGTAGAACTTAGCAGATGATCGCAGGCTTAGCTTGCAGTTACAGAAGGAAACTTATAATTAGTGTAGTTACAAGTACGAGCAGGTATGAGCCTTCCTTTTCGGAAGCTTGGATGAGGAAAATTTAGCAATAACAAAGGAAGAATAGCAATATAGACAAACAAATCTCCCGTGCCGCCGACAATGTTCATACAGAGCACCGCGTCAGTCAGTTGCAAAGTCAGGTTTGACATTCAGAAGACAGACGCCAACATACTAATTCCAGCTTAGCGACACCTTAAAACTGTGAACAGTAACAAAGGGGCAAACTTTAGCCTACTAACAACAGAACACAGCATTATAATATTGCATTAAAACACCTAGAATATAGTAATAGACCTAGTAAAATATATTTATTTGCCTTAAAAATCTAGAATATTTGCAAAAGTGGTGGAAAGTTTTATAGGCTAATTAGACATTAATCCAGCGCTTTTTTAAACCAATAAGAGAAAAGACTTGGCAAGATGTACAGTGAATAATAGAGATAAAGCAGTTGCAGTACTTAGTAAGTAATTGCAGGCTTAGCTTACAATCACTTAGCAGGACTTGCGACCACCTTAAGTATATAGTCTTAACCTTCTACCTCTAGTAGAAGGTTATAGTTATTCTTTAACACAGGACACAGTTCTAGGTATAGCAATATATCTAATATTCTTTCTAATTAGAAGTGTGTAAAGACTATTCTTTTATTTATAATAGTATAAACACATTAGTTATTTTACTTTTTTATTACTGTACTTTTTTTCTTATTACCTCTATCTTTTTTTTTTTGCTTTGTAAGGATTATACAGAGGATTGTACACCCTCTAGCCACTATTATAAGTTAAGGCATAGGAAAACATACTTTTTTCTAAAACTCTTCCCTCTTCTCTTCTACTCTTACTCTTAGAAGACCTGTTACTAGCAGAGGGCACTGTTACAACCTAGGATAGGGCTGTAAGCGAGTGTCGGACAGCATTAGAGTTATATAAACATTATTAGTGGACAGCCCTCTTAGCTATGCAGTACGAGTCTTAGCGAAGACCAACTGGAAACATCGGATCATGGTATACCGATGAGGAATAGACTAGACGCACTGGACGCAAGGGCGGCTACTACAACCACCGCAACCACTACAACTAAACGTCTAGTATATAGTCTTAATCTTAACTATAGCTAAAAGGTTGTAATTAAAGTTTAGTTTTATCTTTCTAATAAAACTAAGTAGCTATAAACTATTTCTAAAGATGTTTATTACTTTTATATATTTTACACTATATATACACTTTAATTATTATCTTTATAAGATTGTTTTCCTGCTTCTTATACAGCAGAAGGGACAAACTATAACTAGCCTAACCTCTTCTCTACCCTTGTAAGTCTTGCGACAGGACTGTACACTCTAACCAGACTTATCCTAAAAACTAACGCTATATCACAACCTAGGCCTGCGCACCCAACGCACGTCCTTATTAGCACGTGACTAGTAAGTGGAAATTGTAATAGGCACCTAGCAATAAGAAAGTTAAGGTAACGTACACTACAAGCAAGTTGCTTACACACTTAAGCTGCTTACTTTTACTAAAACTCTACTAAACTACCTTTTTTATATTAATGCATTCCTAACAACACTACTTAGACATAATAAAATTATATTAAATATAGCTTATACTTTAAGCTTTTAAATAAAACATAGTACTTTTAAAGTAATATACTATAGCTATGTATAAAGTTTTCTAAAAAAAAAAATAACTAACACACTAAATAACTTTTATAAGCAAATTTTATAGCTAACTTATAAAAGCTAGATAATACTAAAAAGTAGGTAATTATTAAGCATATGCTTAAGCTATATGTGTAATGTAACAATTCTCGTTCCATCTCGGGTCGCTCGGAAGCTATCCAAAGGGTCCCCGTATTAGCCCCGACCCTGACTCGACCTGGCCCTGACTCTGCCCTGCCCCCTGCTGTTACCCCTATTCTCCTATGTATTTAGTCGCACCTCGCCCCTGTAGCTAGCTTAGTAGTTTTCTAATATTCTTTTGTATAAGGCCTATAGGTGTTAATAGCATTCCTAGGTTTAGAGTCCCCACGCACTTCTATATGCCTCTAAGTAGATTCCTACTGCATTTAGACCTATTATCTTGCCTGTGCTGTTACATTATATTAGAAAACTTACTTTTGCTAGTAATAGCTTTATATAATATTGCACTAATTATTTGTTTAACTATGTCTAAGCTCTAAAACGCGTCTAATTTAGTTTAAGTTGTAATACTTATACACTATTATATTAAACTATTTAGTTTATAGACTAGATCTTATTAACCTTTAGTTAACTAAAGCCTTTAGGTTTAGAACTTCTTATCCTCTATAATTAGGATTACTTTTAGAAAAGTTATAAAGAATGCGCTAAGGTAGAAACTTAAAGACTACTAATAACTTATTAAGATTAGAGATAACTGCTAATGCCTAACCCTTAGCCTCTAACTACTAACTACTACTTTGTTAATAGCTAAACCTGCTTCTGTAGGACCTAAAGCTATACCCTACCTAATTTAAAGTTAATCTATACTAACATATCTTAATAGACCTTAATTAACTACTAAATTACCCCTAATAATGCCTTAAATTACCTCTACTACTTTAATAGCAAAAGACCTTTAAGGCACTCTTAATAATGCTTAAATGTTACTACACTAAACACACGCCTAAGATTAATAACTGTATAAAAGGTAAGTTTTAATTATTAACAGGCTAGATATCTATATAGATTACTATTAGAACAGGCGCGCACACATAGTGTTTTAGTTTAAAGGACACTGCTAGCAGTGCAAAGGAATATTTTAGAGTAAAGACACCTAGCTAAATTAGACTAGTTTTAGTTTAAGAAGGTAGAGGACATAACAGCAATACTTTATATTATTACTACTAATAAGAACTATTAGTCTATAAAGGGGGGAGTAGTGTAACAATTCTTGTTCTATCTTAGGTTGCCTAGAAGCTATCTAAAGGGTCCTTATATTAGCTCTAACCCTAACTTAACTTAGCCCTAACTCTGCCCTGCCCTCTACTGTTACCCCTATTCTCCTATGTATTTAGTTGCACCTTGCCCCTGTAGCTAGCTTAGTAGTTTTCTAATATTCTTTTGTACAAGGCCTATAGGTGTTAATAGCATTCCCAGGTTTAGAGTCCCCACGCACTCCCATATGCCTCTGAGTGGATTCCCACCGCATTTGGACCCATTGTCTTGCCTGTGCCGTTACACTAAGCTAGTTTATGCTAATATAGCCTAGATTATGCTTAGCATGTAAAGGATTAGCTATATTAGCTATAGTTACTAAGTAAAAGAAAAATTCTTATATATATAGCTTAAGTATATGCTTAATAATTACTTACTTTTTATTATTATTTAGCTTTTATAAGTTAGCTATAAGATTAGCTTATAAAAGTTATTTAGTATGCTAGTTATTTATTATTTTTTAAAAAACTTTATATATAGCTATAGTATATTACCTTAAAAGTGTTACATTTTATTTAAAAGCCTAAAGTATAAGCTATATTTAATATTCTTTTAGCATATTTAAGTAGTGTTATTAAAAATGCATTAGTATAGAAAAAGTAGTTTAGTAAGGTCTTAGTAAAAGTAAGTAACTTAGGTGTATAAGCAACTTGCCTGTAGTCTATTTTAGCATTATATAGCCTTACTAACTTTTAGTTTAACTTTATTAGTTATTCTATAAGTTTTTATTTCTTATATAGTAGTGTTCTAAGAAAAAGGTTTTTTTATACTACATCTTTTATTAATTTCTTTTAGAGTTAGTAACTAGAACTAAGTTATTTTATTACTAAATTTAAGTAGTTATTAGTTATTATAATATTTTACTTAAGTCTATTCTTTATAGATAACCTTATAACAGTAATAGCAAGTTTTAAAAAAGAAAAAGAAAGGAAATAAAAAAAGTACTTCTTTAATATATAATAAAGTATAAAAAGTGTGTAGTTTTTTTATATAATCTAGCTAAAAGTATAGTAAAGTAAAAAAAGTAAAGTAAAGTAAGATAACTAAGTAGCTTTAGTTTTCTTATAAAGAAATAAAAATCTTCTACACACTTTATATTAAAAAAAGATTAAATATATTACTATACCTAAAGCTATGCTTTAAAGATAAGAATAACTATAACTTTTTATAACATAGCAAAAGAGTAAGACTGTATACTTGCTAGTAATTATTGTGATTACTAACTTCTACTGTGATTTCTTTCTAAGAGAGAGATCACAGCAATTACATGCCAAGACCAGCGATTGCACTATACCTGTCTATGTCATCACATGACCTTCTCGGGCCGTGCCCCCACCGGCGTCGGTCTATCCTTCTTCCGTGGGGTTGGAGGCTCGGCATGTTCCTCTAGCCTAACCAGTGATCGTAACACTAACCTAAGCTCTCTAGCTACTCTAACTTGTTTATTACTAAAAGTCTTAGACTGCTAAGTTCCTACAAGCGGCTAGAGCCCTTAACAAGTAGCTAGAACAAGAGAAAGTTAGTACGCCAAACTTGAAAGATCTTAGTTACTTGTTACGTTCTAACAAAAGGTTTTACACAGATTGTGCATTAGCTTTACAGATTAGCTAAGCTATTAATGTGGTTAGCTATAACCTGGATAACTTTTTGAAAGACAGTCCTTAGCTAAGGAAGCGGAACGTGGCTGAATTTGCCGAGGATTTCCGATTTGCTGATTCTTTCCAGTGATGGACACGCAATGAATATATTTATAACAATCCAGCCAACGAGAAGTACTATCTGTAGGTCATGCGCAATATCTATCTCAAAGTCGCTGTACTCTTGGATTGCTAAGCTTTCCAATTTGTATTCTCTGTCCAACAATTTACGTAGAGATGTTACAAGAGCCGATCAGATCAATGTAGAGGTCTTTAGTGTGCCGGTCTCTGCAATCACAAGCTTTTCTGGAATTCCAAGCAGGTGGGATCCAGACACACTTCCCACATCTTGTAGATTACTACAAGGAATCTCACGCGATCGCTGGTTCAGGCGACCTTAGAGTTTACAAGAGATAATTTCCGGAGTCAATCAACTTGTTCTGCTGCCGCCGAACCATTTTCATACGGGTATGCAATTACTTGAGTCAATAATCACGCCAAGAGAGACCGAACTACCGGTCATCAAGCTCATCAAATTGGTATATGAGCTGCTCGGCCAACTTCAGGACACTGGCGAGGAGACGCTGGCGAGTCTAGATGAGCTGCGCCGACAAGTGCAGGTCTTGCATGGTCTCGACACTGTCATTTCATCAATCCCAGCCAATCCTACCAATCACTGGGCATTTAAGCTGTCGCCTCCCGCAGCTGGAGTTCTCGACCAACTGGAGAAATGCGAAAATCGAGTCTCAGATCGCTTCATCATTCTGGCCAATATAACAAAGTTCCGCACGCACGACCCCATGCTCGGCTATCAAACACTCTAGGAATAGGCTACACCTTTTGAATGCTGACTATGTCGATGAGAAACAGAGGGATCCCCGTAGTTTTTGCGTCTTCGGTAGAGACACAAGTGGAGCGATCACTCATTCTATCGCGCTCCCTTCACCCAAGCTCGAAAGTCAAGCACACCGGAACATCTATGGCATAACGGGACATATGGGCGTCAGCCACACGCAAAAAAATCGCCTGTTAAGGAAAAAGTCCCAATCGGAAGATGAGTTACCGCAAGATCGACAGCCTACTATCGTGCTCTACTATTCTGCGACCATTATTGAGATTTTGAGCGGAGGCCAAAGAGTGAAGGATCGAAGGTGATGCCGTGATGACCTATAGCCATAACACCGCAGAGTTCTTCTCCGGCGCCGCATTCTCTAACTACGTCGGTGACGGTGCCTGTAGAGTGGAATTTATCCACAAGCAGTTCGAGGACCCGAGCAAATATGTTTGAAAGCCTGAGGTATACAATTATCTTCAGGGGGTTGGCCCTCGTCCTAAGATCCTTTGGATGAGACGCGGGAAGCATTGTGGGGCTCGGCCATCTGGACCATCAAACCATTTCATAGCCATTTCATGGACAACAAACTCGGCAGTCGGTCACGGCGAGTGCCGGCACTAACGCCCTTGTGGATTGGAAATATGAATCACTTTCATTCAATTAAAAGGACGTGAGGAAGCCCCCCAATTCCATCAATTCAGCTATTTACAATTCCACTGAATCTTCTTTCCACCAACACATCCGTCCACTCGCTACGGCTGCTTGAAAGTCGAGCCAATCGGGCCAAACTTGATGTTGAAATACTTCACCTGGGCATTGGCGTTCTTAGATTCAACATCTGCTGGTACGCCAGAACTGGTGGCACAGTCTCCACGCGCCGCTCCGGGGAAGGACGCGTCCTTGTCAGTTGGATATGTGCTGTCAAGCCAGAGCATATTGGCGTAGTGGTCATCCCACAAAGACATCACAAGAACCATACCCTTGGCCATTCCTGCGGCCATTCCTGCCATACCTAGACTAAATCAGCGACACGCCGTGATTAGAAGGTATCAAAGGAAGCGACTTACCGCCCTTGTCCTTGAACGGATACACATCCTCCTTGTTGGCCTTGTTTTCCGCATCGCACCAAGCTTGGGTGATGGAATTGCCTGTGATGCCTGCAGTCTTTGGCTGCGGATTTTCAATCACCTTTCCGCCCTGGACGTAGTATCTTTTGATCTCAGACAGGGTTGAGCCAGAACCAATGAACTGCGTAACAACTGTGAAGGGCTTGCTAGTATCTACAGTCTTTCCTTTACCATAAAAGTCGGTCACGCCCAAGCGGTAGGGATTGAAGTCACCTATAAAGATGAGCAAAATGCTAAGGCACATGAACCAGGCTAACTCACAGCCGTTGGGATCACATGGTCCCCCATATCGAGTCTCTGAATAAGTTCCACCACACTTGTCGCCACTGCATTCCACGAATCCAGGGGTATCACATGAATGAGGTGTGAGCGCAGTGGAAACGGAGTTCGCTTCCCAGATATCCATCTCGGCGCTGGACTTGTCAGCGTTGGTGTCTCCTACAATTTTATATTACATACCAGCAGGCTCCCCTCATTCCCACGCCAGCGTTCTTGTCGTTCGATGAAGCCTTCCAACCCTCGGCATTGGCCTAGCTCTCAAATTAGTGCGATCCAAAAGCCTAAATCACTACGACGCACCTTTCCATTGATAAACTTGAGATCTCGAGGGCATTGACCATCGCAGTATCCAGTCCCGTACTTGGCACCTGCAGTACCCTGGCCCTTGGGATCCATGACGACAAAGTACAGAGCTCCGTTGAGGCCGCATGGCAACTGGCTCACATCCACGTCAAACGTAAACTCATTTCCGATTAGATTGAAGATCTGGTAGGTGCTCGCATCCTTCATGAGGTATGTGCGGGATCCAATATTGGTAGAGTACTGGCCCTTAGTCACAAACTTCAGCGTAAGGTCGGTCCCGCCTGCCGTGATTCCATAAGTCGAAGAGTAGTCAGCGCCCTCCACAACACAGCTGCTTGCACACTTGTCGTTACTTGCGCAAACGGTTGTGTTCCACGTGTTGTCGGTGTAGCAGTTGGTATAGTCGCCTTTGACATGGAGCCATCGCCAGTTGGCATCAATCGTCACCTCTCCACTGACTGTCTTACAGCTAGTTCCTCCGGTTCCGGAACATTGCTGCCAACTCATCTTCGGGTGAGTCTCAGTTTGATATGAGCCCACGCCCTGGCCATTGACCAGGGACGCGGTCAAGAAAGATGCTAGAAGGAATGCGCGGGAAAACATTTTGGTGGATGAAGCATGAGGGAGAAGGCAAGTACGACAGCGCAAGTCACCACCATGCTTTTATACGTCTTAGAGAGTCATTTGGAATTGGTGCCTGACTTTACCATCGATATTGGAGTTCCGTGAGATATAGTCCAGTCGGAAGTGAAAAGGGGGCTGGATGGGAGCACAAATCACGAGGGTGACTTCTCTGCAGCTTCCAGATGTTCCAGATGCTGTGGATGTCGGCTCGTTGGATCGAGATGCCGCCGGATCGTGGAGAAAGACGGAGCGGGCATGTTTCGATCATGGTCACACTACATTTGATCGCATCGGAAGGTTGAAACTGTCAGCTGTGCGACGCTGCCGGCGAGGGTGGGTGGCCAACAGAGTGGTCCTGAACGCGGGGAATTAGCTCTCCACCAGTCTTGCGAGGTGGAACGATTGCCTTGTTCAGCCCACATTCTTGAAGACGCTTATTAGCCTAGAGATGGAGCATGTCATGATATGCTCATTGGAAGGAACTTCGTGTCGTGGGTTGCACATGAGGTGACGACGTGCATGGTTGAAAGGTTTACCCCAGATTCTCACTCACATCGGTTTTTCTAGCCGAGACAACGGGTGAGGAAGTTGGTGAAACCTTATATTCCCGATTGATACCAAGCGCGCCCAGATATGGTGTTCCCAGGTTCCTGAAGTCTGCTGTTGGACGAACCTGGTTGCACAGCGACGGTTTAGATTGGAGTGCAGGTGCGTGTCTGCAGGAGAACGTGCGGGGTTTGAGCTGGGACTTTTCGAAATAGATATTGTGACAATATAGGTGCAATCTAGATAGAGTGCGATGGCCAGGTGCCGGGTGGTTCGGCTGTTATTAAACAGACATACGAGAATTTCCTGACAGCCAATCACGACGTCGGAATATTTAGAGTGATGAGGTCTTGGGGTAGAGGGGAAATTCGTGTCACCTTACCCCAACTCGCCATCATGACTTTGATTTGTATATATTGGAAGGGAGATGAAGTGGAGGATTCCTCGTGGCATCCGCCTTGTCTAGCTTTTGTCACCGGAGTGTGCGTAGAGTGAAAGCTTGAGGTGTGCGGGATCACGCTTTCCGAAGCTTTATTGGCAAGAAGGCTTCTTTGACAACCATGGCGGTTTGAGCTTCGAAGGAGGGGTGATGATGGCACGTGCGAGAGTCTTTGCAGGTGTTCCCAAGTCTTTCTAGTAAGTACCATTAATCTTTGGCATACTACTGACGATATTAGCTTGAAGATATCACAAAATCTTGGCCCCTTTCACGCCCAGAACCCTTACCACGGGATTATTACTCTTCGCTAGAGCTTTAAGTAAGGAGGGTGATATAAAATCGGAGCTCCCGGGGTCTGCAAGGTCAAAATCACGTGCACCAGTGGCCACCTGCAACCTCCCTTGAGCCCGCCCTTGAAGGACATGAAAGCTCCCCTGTAACGTCTCATGAAGATTTGTAATAGAACAAGCGCCTATATCAGGGAAGTTAGATCTTAGAAGGTCGTTCTCGCCGTAACGGAAGATGATTATGGCATCTGTGGATGAGAACTTTCGGGATGTCTGGATTTTGCCCATGTTGTCTCTCCAAATTCTATTCAATCCAAGCGAGAACTTGGAGGAAAAACCAAACCCGACCTTAGGAGCGGCCAAGGCAAAACTCGGGATCTCCAGGTGGTAGGCATTCGCGAGGAATGTGCGTGCTCTACACTAGGAAATCACTGGGTTTTGCGACTAGCTTTCATACGAACCAAGATTCATTCTGTAAAAACTGGAAACTACAGTCTGCTCTGGATCTTCTCCTCTGTATCGCCCAAGGCATATGCGCTCCGGTTTTTTCTACTCCTCACCTTCTCACCATCTTCCCTGGAAACATACCTCGCTTCTACAGCTGGGTTGTACGTAAATTGGCTGGACTTCTTAACGTCATCATCACTCAGTTTTGGATTCTTCGCTCCATCAGCTCGCTTGTATACCGTCACGACAACGGCTCCTCCCAATCCTAAGTTGTGTTGTAGGGCAACGTCAGTACCCTCGACAAGCCGGTTATTCGCCCATCCTCGAAGCTGCCATGTTAGTTCGGCACACTGAGCCAGGCCTGTCGCCCCAAGGGGATGTCCTTTAGAAATCAATCCTCCGGAGGGGTTCACAATAGGACCTCTGCCGCCGTAGGTGATATCGCCGCGTCGGACCATCTCATGTGCCTTTCCAGGCTCGCTAAATCCAAGGCCTTCGAGGAGGATCAATTCATTAGCGGAAAAGCAATCGTGGACTTCGCAGACTTTGATATCCTTCGATGATACACCGGCCTCCTTTAGCGCAGCCTGGGCAGCCCGCTTCGTCATGTCGTATCCAACCAGATCCATGCTGGACTCGGAGTATAGTTGCGGGGAGTCTGTGAATAGCGTCTGGCCGGCAATTAGGATAGCCTGAGGCTTCAAGTACGGCCGGGCGTCCAGGAATTTCTGGGACACAATGACCGCAGCTCCGGCTCCATCTGAGGTCGGCGAACACTGCAGCTTGGTCAACGGCCACTCGATCATCGGCGCATTTTGAATCTCTTCCAACGTATATCTCTGCTGGAACTGCGCATACGGATTCCGCTGGCTGTGCTCGTGACTTATTCTGGCAATCTCAGCAAAATCCCTAGCCTCGGCCCCGTACTTCTCCATGTACTCCTTCCCAGCATTGGCAAAGTATTGCGCATTAGGCGGTGACTTTTGAATGCCTCTGGTATCGGCCATCATGCGCCTCGAAAGGCCCATAGGTGACGGCCGGTCGTGCCAGACGGATTTTATGGAACCAGGAGACATTTGCTCGAAGCCAATGACAAGGGCGCAGTCGATGGCGCCGTTCTTGATAAGGGTGCGCGCGAGATGTATGCCGGTCGAGCCGGTGGCGCAGGCGTTGTTTGTGTTATATATTGGTATTCTATCCCGTGACATCTCGCATAAATCGATGTTCTCAAGCATTGATTGGCGAGGTACGCTTACGATGACATTCCGAACTGGTAGAATATCCTCTGACCGCTAGTAGTATCTCCATAGCAGTAACATGCAACACCAGTCTCTACGTCGTCGTAGTTTATCTGCGCGTCGAGCATTGCTTTTACACCGGCTTCGAAGCCCATTTCCGGATACTGACGCTGGCCGCGGGGCTTAATGAACTTGGTCAGCCCCACGCCCAGCACGTAGGCGGAAATATTGTTTTGCGACCCCATGACGGGAAATATTGAGAAACTGGGAGAATTGAGAGAATTGAAAGAATGTCAATGTGAAATGTCTTCAGCGGCGGAATTGGAGAGCGACTGGTACAGACCCTGTGGGGATGTACGCCCAGAGGTTTAAGTGAATGAAGTCAGGGGAAGCTCGCGGGGCCGAGGTTCAGATCTATTGCTGGAGCTACCCCACCTCGACGTTTCACCGCAGACCTTGAGCGGCCCTTCTCCACTCTAACCCATGCGTTTACTCATCATTCCACATAGCCATGGCATTCCGTCCGGAATATTCTGTGGAATAGCCATCGCTCTTCCAGAGTGGCCGAGGCGAAGCTTCTTCCAACTTCGCCCGCTTCACCAGGTCGTCTTCCCACTCTATCGCAAATAAGACCGTGTTCAAGACAAGCTCTCCTAATCGCATCCTCTAGTATATGATGCTATTAAATGAAAAGCATATGCGGATTTTCCTGCTTACGGTGCGCTATATCACGCTCCTCGTCGCGGAAATACTCCCTCATCGTCGAGGTCATTCGCCGATGGTGAATCACTGCCTTTGACAACTCCGTGTCCGTCTTTTGGTTGAAGGTATCACATCATTCCTGTATCCACGTGCGCATTTCGTTAATCGGGAACCGCCGGAAAAAGAACGATACCGCAAGTCTGTCTTCGTGCCGATGGCTGATCCACCTGAGTCGACCGGAACTGACAAGAACCTCAAGCATTCATACTTGCAGCTGTATCGCCGAGGAAGAACGCTTCTGCGGCCAAGTTCTTCATGTACCCCAAATTTATCCTCGAGGCTAGTCAACGTTTGGATATAGCAATCTGCTAGACTATTTCCGTGCCGGTCTTCAGCATTCACATCTGCTTCACTGTCGATCAAAAACTCCATGACGTCGGCATCCATCTTCCCACTTACGCTCTGGCACATCGCGAGCAACGGTATACTGCGGTTCATGTTATTCCTCGCATCAACTTCTGCCCTGTGCGACAGGATCAACCTTACAACATTCGTGGACGAGTGCTCCACCGCACGGTGCAGTGGAGTTCGCATAGTACTTCCAACACCTGAGCCACCATCGACAGGTGTCCCGGCAGTAAGTAGAGCCTCAATCCTCTTTCTGATTTCCGCTTCTGGACCGCCGAGATAGACCAGATGCAAAGTTAAATGTCTCTGATGGTCTTCGAGGAGGACATTAGCTCCATGGATTATGGGAAGCTTTATGTTCTGCCACTTTAGAGATCTCGAGGCACGTTGCAGTGCCGTTCTTCTGACGTTATCTTAAGCATCAACGGAGTGCCTAGCCTCCAATAGGTTCAAATTTCTATAGAGCTATCCCACTAGGCTGCTTCTAATAATGCGCCATCTCGTGGCATAGGTCGAGGTTCCGAGTTCCGCGGGGTCACCTGTCGCTCCTCTCCCTATCTACCACGCCGCCGATTGTAACAGACCTTCCAGTTTCCGGTTGGTCCAGGGTGTCAATGTATTCATCCGGAATAGCGAAAGTATCCTGTGTGGCCGTCGCCACCGGGTTTTCTGGTATGCGGTTGTTCACATTTTCTTCCTAGTGCTCTTCGGAGAAGGAAGCCCAAGCCTTGGGCTCAAGCGGGACGTCTATGTCATCGTCCAGTTAGAACACCCTGACCAGGAGCGCGTGAGTTAAGAGAAATGTCCTTAAAAGGGCTTCTACTGCCTTCCTTTGAGTTTAGATTGACTTCCTGGTAACGGTTCCGTAGTTCAGTTGCCACTAACGAAGCTAGCAAGGAGACACGCGATGTTGGGCGAGGGGAAGAATGGCTGTAGCTCCATGATTTTCATGTTTTCGCAGCCATTGAAAGACTTGGATTTCGAATTGGGCACTCGCCAAAGAAAAGGGCGAGGAGGGCACGACTTATTTATCTGCAGGCATCGAAGTGCTTCTTTTGCGCAGCGATAGCGCCACTCTCAACACCACCCAAGAGCTTGCTAAAGATTTAGCGAAAGGGACGTCTTCGGCCTTATTTTCTAAACCACATTCTTAAAGTGATTCGAGGTCATATTGGCTTTTTAGTAGTCCTTAGAATGGGCGCAATTCTCCTAAATCCTGGCGGTGGTACACTCCCATTACACACAAATGTTGTAGGAACGAACGATTAGTTCCTTATAGAGAGGCCAAATCCATCAAATAGACCATATTGATGGCCTTGTAAATGCTCCGCCACGGAATTGCAAGACCATCAAGTTCTAGTTCCGATTAGTGATCCCATTTCTAGTTAAGAAAAACCGAGCGTTTATTCAGGACGTAGGGGCTGCGATTGAAGCTCTTTTCCTTCTTTGGCAAAATATCTCACTTGATACTTCTCTCAGAAGCGTGCACACTTAGGTTGATCAGTGAACATGATTGGGAAGAGGTGTTGCGTTAATATGGATGGGGTCGACCTCGTCTAGGCTGCTAGTGATATAAATGCCGACCCTCGTAGAACATGCCACCAAAGAAATTTTCAACCTGTATTTCCACAAGCCCATTCTGTCTATTAATCTCTTGAAATATGTTTTGTCGAATCCCTCCTCTTTCTTGGGCTTAGATCCTCCTCCCATCTACAACCATTGACCATCCATTGCTGAATAGTAGTCATCCGCCCTCTATGATCTTACCACAACACATGCAATCTCTTATCACAACACAAAAGACAGCAGTTATTCATCAACAACGCCGGTGTGAATATTCACTGCCGCAAACACAGTTCAGGTTCCTATTTCGTCCTTCAGCACAGCTGTGCAGACAGCGAGACTACGAAACGACTTCCAGATCCCCGACTTGCAGCACCATACACCGTACTGGGGGAATTGGCGCAGGCGGTGCTGAGTATGCTAGTTTTGGGGGAAGGAAATCTGTATTTCTTGCTGAAGATGTTGGATGGACTTTAGGGATAGTTTGAGAAGGGGTTTAGAATTGGCGATGGTGCCTGAGGTGTTACATTGGGTGTTTAGGGGCCAGGGGGAGAGGACGAATCTGGAGTTTTGGAATTTTATGGAGGCTGTGAAGGATGTGTGAGAATGGTGAGTGTTTAGATGGGTGGCGGCAGCGGTTTTGTCGCAGAACTTACGAAGCTACGTATCTCTTATTGAATCGTGCGGATAGACGGACGTCGAAAGTAATTAGTTCCTTGGGGCAAGCTTCAGGAACTGCGGTTGCATCTCCCTTACCTTCCCATGAGGGCCCAGAAGGCGTTGGGAAGGATATAAACCGACTTGTATTAATGCATGTATATGCATCAAAATCTACTTCAAATCAGTTTATCTAGGACAAGGAAGGGGCTGGGGAAACGGGAAAGTGAAGAGGGTTGAGTCCATCTATGCACACTAGCGCATGGAAAAAAAGGCTTTGTGGACCAATAATATTCGATGCCTCAAATGGCAAAGCAAGTCATATCTCACGAAAGAAAAACGAACAAAAGATAGAAGGGCGCGTGAATTGAAAAACATGGTGTCTCAAAAGGTAAGCAAAAGAAGGCCTCATGCAAACAATGAAGGGCGAGGGTAAGCAGTGACGTAAACGAACTGCCATTCAGGCTCCTACTTCTCGCCGCCATAATCAGAATTTATATCCGAATTCTTCTGCGCAGGCTCCCGAATTGAGGTGAGTCGAGAGTCAATAGTGAAGAATGCGGCTCGGTTTGGCCCGAATTTGATAGCGTCGAAGAACTCCGGACGCAGCTCGTCCAATTTCGACCACAGACCTGCCGATTTTTTTTCTCAATCACGGAAGAAAGAGTTTCACAAGACTTTCAAGAGCTCTGGTACCTCTTCTTATGGTTCGGCCAAGGAGGTGGAGAAGGTGGAAGAGACGGAACCCAGTAGCCCCTCGAGGAGGCTTGATGAGTACAGCGAGGCAGTTTTAGCGATGGTTGTGAGATAGCTTCACCTGGAAGGGTGCTCTATGAGCAACGTTAGCCAATTTCTTGGAGGAACGGTGGGCTCCAACATCAACATCGGTATCAGATAAGGGCCTCTTGGGGTGACCATGGCGAGACAGATATTTGGGTAGCGATTACGAGTTAACCTCTTAAGAAGTGTCTCTGTGGGCAAAATTTCCTAATTCCTTTGAGAAATGGTGGTAAATAGCGTTAAATATCCTTATGATTTGAATGGACTAACTTCCTTCGGCAATATGTATATTATGGGTAAACGAAATCGTCCATGACGTTGAGATGAGGTTGGGGGTGAGAGTGGATGTTGTATACAGTTAAGTCACCGTCAGGGCCGAAGTGAGCGGATGTCCTCTGAACCTGGTGAAGAGGAAGTTAAACCGACATGAAGTAATCCTGAGGCTGTTTTCCGCTGAAGGCACCCCGATTGGCGAAGTAAGCGATGATAATAAGATGTGGCGGAACTCACATCGCCGAAGATAATGGTGACCTCTGCTGGTAGGGTCGGGTCGGGTCGGTTAGCTATGGCTGCGCCTATGGTGTAATGTAAGACGGCAATCGGACTTGATGTGATTCTAAGGTGCGCAAGCAGTGAACAAGCTCGTGAGGGAGTAGTGCAGTCCAACCAGGGGGTAATGGTTCATGAAGTTTATACACGGGGACTCTGTCCCAAAGGAAGAATATATACAAGAATGCGCACCACCTACTTCTCTCAGCCTCAGTCCCGCAAGCTTCCCATCATCAAGCTTTATACGAGTCTAAAAAGCTCGCCCTTTCCTTAACACTCCTCTCCCACATCACCTCCTCATCCTCTAACATATCCGGACTCACCGGAACCTTAGCCTCTCTCTTCTGATGTGCTCTACTGCTCGGAGTCACAGAGGCAGTTTTCAGGGTCGTTGGCCTCGGTCGGACTCTCTTTGTCTTGGCTTCTCCTTTCTGACTTGGCTGTGGGGGCCAATTATCCCAGGGACTGCGCGTGGGTAAGGATGGAGGTTCAGGGGGTGCAGAAAGGGTAGTTGCAGCTGAGGCACCGGTACCAGAGGGTTGGGGAATGGCCGTGCCGATTGGAAGGGAAGGGGCACTCACGGCGTTTGCAGAGCCGTTTGAAGATCCTTTCAGAGCCAGGATCTTGATGACGGCGGCTTCAGCAGCGACCATGACCATTGCCTGGGTGTTGCCAGTCGGAAGATCGGGGTGCATGCTGGCATCAACAACAAACAAATTATCGGTGCCAAAGACCTTGGTGTTTGTATCCACAACTGCGGTAGTCTCGTCCTCACCCATCTTCGCAGTACTCACAAAGTGAGCTCCAGTAGTAAAGTCTTTCAGGAGATCCGCACCCGTCACATTCGAGCCTGTAACGCTTCCAGATGATCCAGCAGAGAGAAATGAGAGTGTTGAGTTTGGCTTGCGGCTCATCTCAAGGAGGCGGTCCATGAAAATTGTTGCGGCCTCAATATCGGTGCCACTTGTCAACCAGGGCTTTGTAATGAATTCGGTAGCGCCATCGGCAGTTATTCCAAGGCTTCCAACGGAAGTAACACCATGGGTGAGATAAATTTTCATGGATATGGTGTTGTTGGCGGGACCATTGCAGGTTCCTTGTACGAAAATTGTGTGTCCATCTGATGTTTCCACTGAGCTCCAGAAGTTTAGGCGTTGTCCAGATTGGGCGAGAGCTCCAGAGCCCTTGGCAAATAGTTCGACAGTAGTCTCGTTGGGGCTTGTGAAATCGGTGGTACCAAGAGCAGGCATGTTAACTTTGGTGGAAAACTTAACTGGGAATATGGGATGATCTCTGATCTCAGCTCCGACTGGGAGATTGATCCATTCAGATTCAGCAGGGAGAATAACGCCTGTCGATCCACTCGCAACAGTCTGAATTTGCTCCCTAGGCCCAATGGCGCTGTTAAAGAGAATACGAGGGGTAGACATGGCACCGGACGCCAGAATAACACCGCCGCCTGAGTTGACATTGTAGATGACGCGTTTCCCGGTTACGCCACATTCTGTTTCAACGCCCGAAATAGTGGATCCATTGCGAACAGCGCGAATTACCATCGTATTCAGCATTAGCTTAAAGTTGGACATGGCTAATGCAAGCGGAAGGTAGTTTCGGACGGGACCTGCACGAAGACCGTCCGCAGTACTCCATGGTGGGTGTGTGAAGACATCCTTCTTATCGTTGGGTTCTTTGATCGAATCCACATAGTTCCAACCATTTCCGGCAAGGAATTGCGAGAGAACCTCATAAGCTTGGTCGTTATAGCGAAGTCCATCTACTGAGCCGTAATTCTGGCCAGGATTACGCTCGTACAGTCGGTCAGCAGCAGCCGAAACGTCGGACCATTTCCAGCCTGTTGGCCATTTATCATCAAAATCCTTATCCTGTGGGTGGATAAACATCATAGCTTTAAAGTTTTAGCATGCACGCAGTCTAATTCAGAGTCAATACTCACCATTGACCATAGTCCCGCCACCAAGTAAGCAACCAGCTTGATCGGCCGTATCCGTGCAAAAGGCTGGAGTTCCAGCCACGCTAAGATAATAATCGAGGCCGGGAACATCATACATAGTGACAGAGCTATTCCACGAGAGTGTATCGGTATTCCCGGTAGATGCAAAGGATGGACCACCACGTTCAAGTAGGAGGACGGTAGCCAGCGCTTCCAACTGTACGTAATACGATTTAACTTGACCAAATCTAGGACGTTACGTCTAACTTTCTTAGTACATTTCTACTATACAATTAACATAAGGACCACTTATAAGTCTTAACTATAATAATTAAGAATCCTTATACAGCTTAACAACTTAGCAGAAGTTATAACATAACGCTAGAACAAATATAATTTGTGTTAAATAAGCTCTTTTAGCTAGCTACTTATAGTATAAGCACTTAAGTAGTAAGAGTAAAAGTAGTGTACAGTGTGCACAGCGTACAAAGTAGGTAGGGTAGAGGCAACATGTTTCTAGTTCTATTGCTCTGTCTTTTCCTCTGTATAGAGGAAAAGGGGAATATCTAGATGTTTGCGCACAGAGGTTTGCGCACAAGCATCATGTGACATAGATACGTGATCCTGCTTGTGCGCGATAGCTTGTATCTAGGCTGTAACGCTGCTGCTGCGTACAAATAATCTAAAAGAGCTAAGAGCTTAAAGTAAATTGCCTTTTAGCAGAGCTAGTTCTTCTATAATTAAAAAGCCTTAATTGTCTCTCTAGAAAGGCAGTTCTTATTAAGGTAGTAAGTCCTTCTCCTACTAGAGAAGGCGCTCTTGCAGTTACAGGACATACACAGGATAGAGAGGAAATCAAGGGCGATTTTAAAGAGCGTAGGGTAGGAGAAACGTCCTACTTTTGTCTACTATGTAAGAGGATCTGTAAATAAGGGGCTGTTATCCTTAGCTATAGTAAAGTCCTTCTAATAAGAGTTATAATATTACTATAACTCTTAGGTTTTCTGCTGCCTTTTGTATAAGCAATTACTAGTAAGAGAGAATAGCAAATTATAACTTAAGGATAATATTAAGGGTAAAAAGTTAACTGTTTGCATAGGATCTAATACCCTAGCCCCCCCCCCTCTCTAACGCGTTCTTGCTTATTATACACAACAGAGTTTTTACTAATTGTTACTTAAAAACGCCCCCTTAAACGCCCTTCTAACGCTTGCCTATAAATGTCTAATTAGGTCCTATATTACTAGGAAAAATTAACTTTCTAAGATGTATTACAGACCGTAAGGGGACCTCTCTCAGTTGTACGTTACAATTGACAGTCCTCTTACGTTTGTACGGCTCACGTGACCGTAACTATTCACTTTTCTGAGTCGTAGTACGTACGGTTGGAAGCGCTGACGGTAGCTCCGCTCTCTGCAAGTCTTTCAGCGGCGACAATACCGGCAGCCCCGGCGCCAGCAACGATGTAGTCATAGGTTGAATTTGAAATAGTAGCGGTGGCATTTCCTCCCATTGTGCCGTTTGCAGAACCACCACCACCAATTGGAGTGGTTGAATTTCCACTCGGGAAAGTAGAGTTGCCGCCGGTAGCCAAGGCCGCCCAGGTACTGTACTCCGAGCTCTCCGCATCAGCGACAGTAACACCGAAAGCACCAAACCCGGCAGCATGGTAAGTCAAAGCAGAGGATGCAGAAGTAGGATCCGTAACGGCTTGATTAGACCACGCCCAGCCGAGAACTGTTGTAGCTTCCAAGATGGAGAGCCCGACATCATCGTCAGTAATACACCCTGAGCAAAGAAAGGTGTAAGAGAATGCAGTGCCATTTGTGTAGGTGCCAGTAGGAATCGTCGTCATGGAGAAGTTTCCGGTGGTTATTGGGGGAGAAGTATAGCCACTGTCCAACCGTCAGTATTTTACGACGCAACATTTTCGAGGACTTCACGCACGTGGCTTTGCGGAATGACGAAACAACTTCATCCCCATTCGGCCAAGCAACTATCAGCAAGTGATCTGTCATGGATGAAGCCATCGAGACACCAGCCCATCCTCCCGTGCTGTTGACCGGCCCCACAATCTGGCCAATGAAGTCGGTAGATGGATTCTCGGGCAATGCAAGACCAAATCGATACCCAGAATAATGTTGAAATCCATTGAAAGTAATACCAGTCTTGTCGTCTGTGAAAGGCGAGGCTGTTTGAGCAGTAACATGAAGCACCAGCAAAGCGCCGGAAAGAAGGACTGATCGTGCCATTTTGGCAGACGTTGTAGAAAGAAAGCAGCACAACCCAGGTGCAAAGCAGAAGAAGAAGAAAAAAGGGTAAATGCCTTCAAGGCAATGAACGAATGAATAGTGAAGGGGAAATTTGAAGACGAGGAGCTGGCAATGGTGAGGAGAAGAGTGGCCATGGCCCTTGGTTCAATTTTTATGCCACACCGCAATAGCATTGCGGGTACATGTCCCCTCAATATCGGAAGACGATTGTCTTACCAGGGAGAGGACGTGTTTCGGCATATCGATCAGAGAAATAATTCTGGATTCAGGATCTGGAAGGGCTGGGTCCCAAGAGCTCGGTGCCTAACAGGGACGCTACAGTGTAAGGCGAGCCCACCATCGTGGGAAATATATGAGCACACGGCCCAGCTGCACAGTCGCTAGTGGAATAAAATTGCGGCGACTGCGATAAGACGGATGGTGTTGCGCAATGTTCGTTTCAACTTGATTTAGTACCTTTTAGTGGAGGATAGCCGTTTCGAAACTTCCAGAGGCATCAGACGAGTGAACAGCATTTCCACGGCTTCTTCAAATGCTGGAAATTTACACCAAAAAAGTTTCTTTTTTGGGCTACTAGGGTCTCAGAGTGAAAAAGTGCAATCCTTTGGGGTTAGAAAAGGCACCTGGTCGGGAACTTAGGAACACTCTAGAGGAATACAGCGCGGAGAAAACAATGACGAAGAGGGCTCGAGGATCCACTAGAAGGCTTTAGGAGGCCCTAAAGGCAATGAAAGAGGTCAGGAGGTTCTGTAGATGAACAATTGATCAATCTTCGGATGAAGTGCGATGGAAAATTTGATGTGGTGAGGTCCATCACGAACAACTATGGAAAGATAAGTAGTCTCAATGTTCTCTCCACCAACCTCAAGCGCAAAACATTCACTTGAAGTGGATAGGAAAGGAGTGTTGGAGATGCAATCCGATAGAACAGTTCTTGATTGACGTTGTTGTTGGGGAGGATTGATGAGACCGTTAAGTATGAAAAGTTATCGCTCAGCACAAACGGCATTACCCAATCCCATCGAAACTCAAGCACAACAAGAGAGCACATTAAATTCAGCCTGCCTTAACATTCTTTCTCATACTACCTTCTCGAAACCAACATTTCAGTCCGCAAGCACCCAGCCAAAATTCATAGGAACATGCATCATCTGCAAAGTATGTTCACGTGACCCGCGTCTACCTTCCCAACCTCCTCCCACCCCATATTACCCCAAGCCGACTCTATCCCCAAACGGCAATCCATCCGAACCAGCCAACGAACCCTCATCGAAAGGATATATGTATTTAAAAGACGACGCAACACCAATGTTACTCAACAGCAGCTTCGATAGCGATCCGCGTCGCCCATGACGCGTTCGGCGTTGCCAATGGAACACCACGGGACGGGATGCTCAACAAGGCATTGAGCTGAGAACTTAGGATCGCAAGTATGGTTCCTGTGTATTCGGTACTGTATAACGCTCCTAATAGTATCACTGGCGTTGATGTTGGGAATGTCTCGAGTGGATTGGATCTGCTGGGTGAGGTTGTGAACACTCAGTGCATCTCTCCTAGGAATAGGACATCAAAGGAAACGACTACCATCGTGGGTGCATCCTCCATTAATATCGGAGCTCCGCAGAAGTCTCAGAGGTGGAAATCCCAATCTCTCTAGAAGCATGTCTGCAAAAGATCGACACTCGATCCAACCAAACTTTCACCCTCTTCCAAGCCAGCACGGATGACCCTAACATTCTCCCCTCCCGCGTAAACTTCATCCGTGCTACAGACCCCCATCTCCCGAACATCCCCATCTACACTTAGTCCTAAGTCTTCGGTATCCCCTGGCTCATTACTGCAACGCTTCATCTCTTCCCCAGCGAATCCTGGAAACCTCTTGCATGCTCCTATTATCCTCTCGCCACTCTTGCTCGTAGGGATGTCTACGTTACCATACCCTTGCACCTCGAGCCTAGGACTCCGTATTACAACGGCGGTGCAAGCCCCTGGACGAACTATGTCTACAGTATATCAACACGGAATCTGTCTGTAGACATTATAACGGCCATGGGCGAGTGATCTGGAGACTAGAATGCGCAACCCTGGGACTAGTAGCGTATCTCAGGACTAGACTTCTCCAGTATAATAACGCCGACATCACCAACACGTTGTATATCCCTGATATAATACGCAGGGGTGGTTTAATTCCCTTTCACTTCATCCTACTGTATTCAGGAGTTCCTCTACCCAGACGCCGACACGTGCGTCTTCGAAAGCGATGGCCTGGTCGGAAAATTCATTGCCTTCGACCGCAACGGCAACGGCGTCCATTGGTGAACCCTATTCCCTTACTGTAGCATGGATCCCCTAAACCTCCCGCCCCTATATCTCCCCACATATTTCTCCATCACCCCAATTCCATTTGCAACAAGGAGCCTGGCACATCAGCCGTTCTGGAAGCGGCAATTGCTTACGGCGTCTTGTACGTGATTCTCCGACGACATGCGAACAAAAAAGCGGCGAATTGAGGCGTGAAGGAGGCGTGTTGGTGATGCAATTGCGAGTTGCCTGCGTTAACGCGGAATCTGGAGGTCAGTGAGATTTTAAGGGTAGATGCAGAGGAGGTTGAGAGAATGCGTGTGATTTAGAGAAGGGCCGATGAGCCCGTGAGGAAGAATGCTTTTCGTGAGTAAACATTTGGCGTTAGGGGATTTAGAAGAAGATACCATGATACGACTACCCACAGCTCATAAGGAACCCCAGGGTAGCTTCCTTGAGCAAGTTTGATAGTAAGGTCAATTGCAAAAGGGCCACGCAGTTTCCAATTGAGGGGCATTCACACCATCATTCAAAGCTTTATCTCTCATATTTCGCCCCTAAACAATCCATTCCCACCAATCTCTCCAGGGCTCACTTCCACCGTTTAGCCTCACGTCCCTCCCATCCTCCTCCATTCCTTCTCCCTAACCCAGCTCCTTCTCAACATCTTCCCCGGTGCGCCTCTCCTCTGTCCCACATCCTTTGTCTTCGTCTTCTCCACCTTTCCATCGCAAAACATAATGAAGCCATCCAAATCCAGCGTCTTGATAATCGTATTAATCTTCAAGTACGGTTTATCGACAGTAACACCCGGCTCATCCAAATTACACAACTTCCTCCTCAGCTTCTCATTCGTCAGTCCCGGAAAATCAACATTCTTCGTTTTGAAAAGTTCAGGTTGAAGCGCGACACCATCATCAGACCATTCACCCGTGTAGGTGTAGTTGACGTATTCGACCTCAAACACGGGTTTCCCGATTGTGTTGGCCCGCGGCGCAGTGGTGAAGTTGGTGTAGGCAGTGCAGTTGTGATATTGGACGCATTGCTCTGAGATGGCGAAGTCGACGTCGTCGAAGATGGGACCAAGGATCTCGATGCAGTTCTTGATGCCGACGGACATGTTTAAGCTGCGGGCGTACGCGGAGACTTTGTGCAGGTATTTGACGGTGTCATCTGGGACGATTGCGGGTTTAAAGCCGTTGTCGTTAGAGTAAACATCTGTGAATGGTTAAGTTCCTATTTCAAAATATAGATATTCAGAAGAGGTACTTACCAACGTTGTCCGGCTCGATCGCATTGCAGCCCTTTTTCGCGGCTAGATCAATCCGCTTACTGATGACTTTGAACACGTTGTCCCTTCGGATATCCAAATATTTCTCCCCAGGCCAGTCAGGTAGTTCTAGTCCTAAGTCTGCCTTTTGAAAGTTCTTGTAATCGTCTCTCCAATTCTCCGCCGTCGCAGCCGAGAAATAGCAAATCACCTTCTGACCCAGTTCATTCATTTTCCGGATAGTTGCTTCGGGTGTGTAGAACATATCGATCTCATAAATCCCGACTTTCGGTCGAATGTAGTTCTCAGCAACATCGGGGATGCCGGTGAGAACAAATTGAATGTTCGATTTCAAGGGAGGTGTCCAGTACGATACAGCTGGTTGTGCCTCCATGCGTTCCGCTACTACTGGCTCTGAGAGGGGAAGATCGCCTGTTGGAATGGCGTTGGAAACTGCTAGACTCCCAATTAGGGAAACCACCATAGGAGAGCGAACCATGATTGGTGTCCTTAGCAAAGGCGAGGTGATGGTGAATTTGGTCCTACTCAGCAAAAGAAGGACCGCATCATTGAGGCAGGGAATGTCCACTCTTTAAAGACACACCAGTGGAAGAAGCGAACGAATTTCCCGGCTACGTCAACCATGCCATCTGGGAAGGAAGATGGATATTGAAAGGATCTGCGGAAATATTGCCCTAACCGGAATTCATGGCGACAATGATTGATTGGTCCGGTTGCTAGGGTCGAGGTGGGAGGGCTACGCTTACGCAGGCCAGCTATTACTTGAATATAACAGATATAGTGGTGATTAAATATATAATTTTGAAAGGCGATCGATATTCCCGTCATTCATTTAGGTGAGGCTGTGCGGAAGGAATGCCATTTGGTGCATTTTGCCAGTCGAGGATCAGCATGGTTGAGTATTAACCAATGAACATCATTGCCTCGACAGGCCTCCTCTTCACTTTATGATGCCACTCCACGAATGCTACGGTCGCAAATGTAACACGTGTGAGCACGGGAGCCGTAGTTATATGAGCGGGGCAAAGGACGAGGATGTCGCGGCGGAGGGGGTTTTGAGGACCGACGTGGCTGTATCTTGGGTGGCAGGCAGGCTTTGCATTTGCGAGTGTAGCAAGCCACGGACTCGGGGAGATCATACCTGGGATAAAATTAGCGCATTGCTTGAGTAGACTTCAATCTGGGTGCACTTACATGGCTTCTTAATTCTCCTTCCGCACACCATAAGAACTGGATCTGTAACCTCCAAGACAAGGGTAATTCAGAGCAGAAGCTTGCATTCCGTTGATTTTCTCCTTAATTCTAGCAACAAGTTTAACAGACTCTACCCTATTCGTGTTCCACGTTATGTGATAGCATGCTGTAGCATTGTAACGGCTTCCTCAAAGGGTGGATTCGCAAACTACACACTTGCTTTTTTAAAACTCTGTCCCAAAGGACGCTGGTATCTTCGTCTAAGTGTAATTCTTGCGGATATTTCGTATAGTAGAGTGGAATATGGGACATCGCCAGGGCCTGGGACCGTATTTTCACTAAGCTGCTGTTCACGCGGTTTCTCAGATGTATTGTTCCCATTTGAGTCGATTGCTTTCCTGCGTTTCGACATCGATGGAGTCAATTCAGCCTCCATCGTCGCCTTCACCTTACTTTTACCCTTCTACTTGTCCTAGTGGGTTTGAGGGAGGTGCTTTAAGCTCGTCGAATCGGTTCAGGAAGGGCCAAAAGAAAGAGAGAGCAGACCGTCTTATTGAGCGCGAGGGCATGGTGCAATCTACCCTTTAGTAAGATTTCAGCATTTTTTAAAGTATTGGAAGAGACTTACCATATTAAGGAGTGTTAGCAGCTGCAGGACCAAATACCCAACGTTTAGAGACGTGAGTTCGTGCAGACAGCTTGAAGCCGCGTTGCGATACCCTCCACTTCTCTTCCCGAAGCATTGAAGACAATATCTTTGATCCTTAAACCGCGTTTGATTCTACTCCGAGGGTAGTGGTGTTCAGAGCGATCGTGGCACCCCACCGCCTTGTGACAAACGAAGCTGCCGTCGCGTCGTGCAAAGTTCCCAACACCAATACCAACATCCCACGCCTAAACTCCCTACGGCCCCCACGGCTCAAAACCCACAGTATCTTGATAATTACCTATGGTCCGCTCTAGCCCACCTCCAGTCTATAATTCCCCTCTTCCACCGGTATGTCTTACACTTTTACGCCAGCCCACTTCAGCCCACCGGTGAGTGAGTCCAGCGCACCAACTCAGCCCGCTTGGTAGCTGGAGTCCGGACGCCGTTAGTCTCACCCTGCCACTTTGCCTCATTCCAGCCGCATGCGGACATGAGTCGTTTCTCGAAAGCAAGCTATGCTTTGTCGGGCTGTTTTGTTGTAATAGTTGTCATTGAGGCGTCCGATAGAGGAAGGATGTGGCGGTCATATGTGGCGGTCATATGGGGCAAATATTCAGGATGGAGGCTGAGGAAAATCCGGCTGGGTGGAGAACTGGATGCGAGGGAATTGAGTGCGATAGTTGAGTGGGGATCAGTGTGGTGCATCGAGAAGCGGGATAAGTGTGAGCGGAGTGTGGTAGATGAACATTGCACCTCTAGAACGGAGGTTGTGGTCCTGGTTCCAGTGTAGCATTGGGAACTCGCAGAACTCTTTTAGTGAACTTAGCTCCACAACTGATATATATCTATCCTTTCGAAGGGGATAAAATAGTCGCGAATCAAAGCGGCACACATTCGGGTGTGGTGTCGTGGGTGGTGACGGATTATCCACAGGATCAAACCAGCCGTCTAAAATTGTGCCAAAGTATCGAGGATCCAGGGCTAAGAGTGTCATAAAAGTTACAATTGGCGCGCTATGTAATATATTCTATATCAATAAAATCTTAAAGCCGCTGCCAACCAAGGGGTCGGTACGCCGACCAGTTGCTCTCCAAATCCCACAACGCTGAATCAAACGCCATAGCCGTCCAACAACAGTAGTAGGTATGATATCAAAACATAAGCCCAACCCCAACATAAGAAAAATTCCAATAGCCCAGCAATGGGGCGGATCGAACAGTTTAGCGGTGGCAAGTGCTTACGCACGAGCCATCATCTCCTCGCCAGAGTCCTCACTCAGAGCCTTCTGGTGCGAAGCCTTCTTCTTTCCAATAGTGTTGGCAAGAGCCGGGAAACAGTATCCAGGATGGAAGACAGTCAGGACTAGTACAGAGATAACAATCATCGCGCCCTCGAGCACAATGAATTCAACCTCATTGCGCATGATGTCGCTGCCCCAGCCATCAGTGAGCTCGGGAATACGGTAAGCGCATCGACCAAGGATGCCAATATAGGCGATCACAACGGCGCACATGAACATTCGGAAGGGGGACGAGTTGAGGAGCTTGAGAGACTCAGAAGAGAGTTCATCACGGTGGCGATGTGTGCGTAAGGTGTATTCGCCGAGGAAGTAGCCAAAGAAGACGAGCACTTGATCATGTTAGAATTAACCTGCACTTGAGGGGGGGAAGGTACTTACCAACAACTTGGAAGATGACTCCAGTGATCATGAGGTTGGTTCCAACATCCAACATGCTAGATCCGGTATCGGCAGTGGCAGCGATACCTCCTCCGGCGCCCTGGAGGACGAGAGACAAGATGTCACAAGAGATGAAGATCCAGGTATACCATCCAGCGCGAAGTCTCGACCACTTCTCGCCGAAGTTCAAGACAATGTGCTTGAGAGTGAGGTAGATACCACCTGCGACAAAAGCAGGCGAAATGATCAGACAGCAGATCTGAATCTGGAAGCCGATATCACTCCATGGGTTGCCGTGCATTATAATACGTCCGATGTAGCCGACCATTTCTCCTAGACAGCCCAAGGTCAGGGCTATCATGTAAGTCCATGTTCGGTATTTGACACCAAGAAGAATTTGGGCGATCATGCAGATGCCGAAGAAGGCAGCGAAGAAGGCATTAGCGCCGAGGTTGGGGTAGTAGCCGTAAATTGTGGCCTCGATGGGACATGCGAGACTGATTTCCGTGCATGTATCTGCGTGCTCAGGACGACCCATAGCGGTGGTGGTTGCTGTGGAAAGTTGGGATGGAAAGAGATGTTAGAGAGGAATAACTGGGAGCTAAAAAAATCCCTAGTCGAGGTATGAATGAGAACGAATGGATAGGAAATGGACACTAAAAAATTATGAGAAGATGACTGACGGATTCTCCTCGAGCCTTATATCGTAATACCCTCTCGAGCGGTCGCACGAAGGCTCGTCTGAAGGATGCGTACTATACATGATGGCGCTTCGTATCAGCCTTCTTGCAACGCGTCGGAGCAAGTCTAACGGCCGGTGAGGGTAAAGATGCGAGATCAAAGTGTCGTTTCTGCCCTACGAGCCCGCTTGGCGTCACTGGCTGTGAGCGTGCACGTCCAATTTTAATGCCACTGCTCGCATCTTTAGCTCGATTAGGCCGTAGCTCGCACAAAATGGGAGATTGGGGCTGGCTGGAGGGCATTCCATTGGAAGCCTAAGCTGGTGATCGATGCGTCATCGGAGGCTGTGAAATGCAAAAAGCTAGTGCACTTGTCCAAGCGACGGCGGAGCAACCTTACGTCCGAGAGCCGCAAAACGCACCCACTTGGACTCGTCGGGTTCTCCAATGGCATCGCCCACCTGTTGTTGCTGTTCACAGTGCTTGGCTTGCGGCAAAGCGTGGGACTCTTGACGTGGCCTAAGGCTGAAGCTCTCGGCGCAAAGTTCGTCCAGATGCTGAGCTCATGGATTCGGCCACGCCAATAGATTAATCGGGTCAATCTTGGGACAGATTTTCTGGTATTTTGTTAGTCCCCCTTTCTGCTCAAGAATAGAAACCCATATTTATCGTGGACATATTCTTTCCCGAACTGGTAGTTCTTGGTTGTGACTGTTCCATCCCTCCGTCTTCATTTTTCTGGAGGTTGCTTGTCATCTAAACTCCGGTCCACCTCTCTATATCTCAACCATCTTCAGGTCCTGACTCACCCACCCACTTTGGGAATACGAGAAATGCTGGTACTCTTCCTTAATCTATCTTCTGTTGGGTTGCGGCGAAGAAAAGGATTTTCCGCCCACCACGGACACAAACCCTTTAATCAAACCCTGCTATCCCAACATGCCTGAGCTGTTGGCCCTCATTTTCACTTCCAAACTTAGCATTGTATTCTCCTTCCGACTTGCACATTTTGGCCGGCGGTGAGCCATAAAATACCTGCTGGCCATCCATGTGTTAGCTGTCGAACATCGGTATTGATGCTGTTCGGTCCTGCAGCAAGCCTGCTCACACATTACAGCCAACGCATTCCCACCCCTCCAGTCCTCTCTAACGCCCCCAAACCAACTTCCCAAGGATTTCTGATTTACAGTAATAGGACAGGACTGGATGGGCAAAATGTATGACTAAGGACCGCTAACCAGAGCCCCCACTCATGAAAATGGCCTCCATGGACCCTTTCAACCAACCACATCCGATCTACTGTCACCGACAACACAATCTGGCCGCATCTTCGAGGGATTAAGGTGAGAACCATCCCTGCATCATCTTCCTCGTGCCTGTGTAGCGTTCGCTGCTTATCTTCTCGTGCGGGACGGAGTCGTGGCGGGCCCATCGCCCCCAACAGTTTTTCTTCAGCCACGTTGCATGCTCACTGCAATCTCCAATGTCCGCCTTAATTACACCGCCAACTCTTGTGCACACTTACACCAACCGGCATGTACGATTTCCAAGATTGAAAAGCTTTCTACTTTGTTCGCTTTGGGTGATGGCATACGGCCTTTTATCTTGCTCTTCCGGTCCTTTCGACAAGGTTTGAAGAATTGCTCTAACCCCGAGTTTGTGCTCCCGCGGCTCGAATTTCTTCTTTTCGCGACTCATACCCAACCAACAAAACGTTGTTTTGGCCAGCAGGAGAACCCCTAGGCGTGTCGTCCGAATAAACTCGTGGAGAAGGCCGCTCGTGCGGCTGAGATTGTTTGCACCGCGGATGACAACCTTGCTTTCATCTTGAATATCCTTTCATTTAATAAAGTAGAGTTAGTCGAGTTGAGGGCTCCTAGATCAACTCTCCCCGCTATCAATGTTCCAATGTTCCATGGCAGGCTCTAATGTGGAGGATTCACATAGTCATGACTAGTTTCGCGATGAAGAAACTCTCACTCATAGACTCTCCCTGAAACCGTTTCTCGAGTCGCCAACACGTTACGGAGTACTTACAATCCCTTCTCGCTTCACCAATCCAAAGACTTGAACGCCTCTGCCGAACGATAATTTTTGTCGCAAGTGTCAGCAAGTTGACCCGAGTCCGCGTAAAGTTTCAGCCACCTACCTGCCACGCCCGCCAGCCGTCTCGCTCTACTTGGGACGAGACGAAAAGCCTCCTTTCCACAACACCACAGACGAGCGGAATCATTCCACCGCGTATAACCGCGTAATCGCACCTAAAAGAATCCCTCACCATCGGAGAGGCAATTTTTCCGCTTAACGCAGCCTTCAACACCAAGCCGTCCAACGGTCCATGAACGCTCAGCTTCGTTCTTGGGGTTTTCTTGGGCCCAATGCACCTGGGCAAGCACCCACTAAGCAATCGCATCCTCCACACTCTTTCCACGCGCTCACCCGCCATTTTTCTCTTAACGTGCGGCTTGTATCGAAACCGTCTCATGCCTGCACATTGCCTGTCTCGCGGTCGTTTCATCCCTCGCTTCTCACCCCCCCTCCCCTCTTCGCGTTTCACAATCCAACTCTAGAAAATGGATTCCTAACAACATTGTTAATATGTAGCGTTCGCTCTTGAAAAAAGTTAATTCCTACAGGCCGGCCTGATATCCAAGGTTCTGACCTCTTCTTACTTGCTTTGACAGCATAATTTAGTTTTATTTTAATTGCAAACCCTCGATTTTTTTTCTCCGACGTAAAGAGAATATACCAAGATGAAGGCATTCGTTTCCATTTCGCTGGTCGCTGCAGCCACGGCATTCACACACGACAAAGTTGATCCTGTTCCTCAAAAGCCTCTGCGTCAAGATGTCTGTCCCTCAGGAACTATTCTCCACGAAGATTCATGCCACGATAATCTTTCGTTGTCGCAAAACCGATCTTCAGCAACACAGCAACCGTACCCAATGGCCGGACAACGTGCGGCCAACTTCCCTTGGACATTCTGGCCGCAATGCTTTTCGAATGAAAATACCAAAGAGCCATACTGCGTATTCACGTCCCACGATTTCGCCGGCGGCCGAGGAATTTCGATAGTCACCACTTCATCCGATGCGTACAACATACTGCGAAAGCCTGCATTCTCACAACCAGAGATATTGGAGTATGTAAACGATCTCTCCAACCCACCCTATGTCCAACACGAATTCCCTATCAAAGGCCGGGGTCTCGTAGCCAACAAGACCCTGCACCGCGGCGACGAAATTTTCTCCTCTACACCCCTCCTCATCAACAACCCGGATGCGTACGACCTTGATGAAGCCGAGCGCCTCCAACTCGCGCACACAGCCATCGCACAACTACCCACCAAGACCCGAGAGCTCTTCTGGGCGCTCCTAGACCACTTTAAGGGCGACCCCGTCGACGACCGCATCAACACCAACGCCTTCGAGCTCGAGATCTTCGGCAACATGCGCCACGGAGTATTCCCGGAAATCGCGATGCTGAACCACGATTGCCGACCCAACGCAGCGTATTTCTTCGACGAAGAGACACTAACGCATTACGTGCACGCGACGCAGGATATTGCGCCTGGTCAGGAGATTACAATCACGTATACCAACAACGCTGCGGTGCGGAGCGTGCGTATGGAGAACTTGAAGCGCAATTGGGGCTTCGATTGTAGTTGTAGTAGCTGTAGAGCTCACCCCGCTCTAACGGCCGAATCTGATGCTCGGCTTTTGCAAATCGAGGAGTTGGAAGGTACGCTCGATGATTGGAGTACCGAGTCTACTGCTACGCCTGAGATGGCCGAAGCCCTGATTTCGCTCATGGTCCAGGAGCGCTTGTATGCCAGTCTTGGGACGGCGTATCGGCTTGCAGCGATGGCGTATTCGAGTTTTGGGGATAAGTGGAATGCGGTGAGGTATGCGAGGCTAAGTGTGGAGTATCTCGCGCTAGATAAGGGGTTTAGGGAGGGTGATGTTTATGCTATGAAGCAGTTGGCGACTGATCCTGAGATGCAGTGGAGTTGGAGGAAGAGGGTTGGGAACCAGAGGTTTGTGGGAGGTTGTGGACATCGGCATTAGATGGGTAGGGGATTTTGAAAGGTAATTTCGTCCTCATTGGCGTTTTTGGGGGGGAATTGGAACTCCGTGGATGGGGATCGTTGGCGTTTAGGTTCTTAAAAGGCCTGTGCCTTGGGAGATGGATGGCACCATCCGGCTCGGAACAAAAGACTACATCAACTTAATCCTTGTTCCTTCAAATTCGCAATGCATCAAAAGTACTCACTTCTGATCAATATCTTCTCCAGATTTTCTCATTTCCACCCCGATCTCTCATCACCACCTCTTCTTACCCTCACTACTCACCTAAGCCCATTGCCCATTAATCCCAACACCCCTCTTCGAAAGATTCTCCTCTCTCTTCCTCTTTGCTTCCTTCGGTGGATCTTGTTTCATAACATGCGAGTTCATCTTCGGTAGATCCGGAACATCGATATCAAAGGCCGGCTGTCTTGGCGTGCGTTTCCCGGCAATCTGGGCGGTAGTTTGGAGAGTCAGGGTTAAGAGGATGAGGGACGTAATCTTCATTGTGGGAGATATTTGCGGAGGATATGATGCTGGTCTTGTTGCAGAAGATGGGACGTGCAGTGGTAAGGCTGGAAGAAGTAGTAATAGGCAAAGTGAGTTGCGCTTGTCTGAGTTGAGCTGATAATCAGAAATCAAGATACCGGCAACCATCCTCCAAATATATACTTGAGCACTTATAGAACTGTGTTTGATGCCCGCCATGGTGGGGACAGGCGGCCGCGTAAGACCTCAACACAAGGCTGACGACAACCCTCGGTGCGCTTCCGGATCTGGAAATTCGTCTCCGTTTCAGATGGACAAGTTCTTCTCGAAGAGATCTCGTGAAACAAATGAGTTTGTTTGAAATAAACATTACGTATGTATCTCGAGAGGCTATTTCTTCGCCGGCAGTTCACTATGTAGCCAGGGTGATACGAAGGTGGTGAACAATGACCTGATGCTTCAGTTGGCGCTCCTATCTTACGACGCTCCGCTCAAAACACCTGCATAGACAACACCACATCCGACATCCCCGCGATGAAAGCCACTGATCTCTCCTTTCATACACTAGCACCACACCTATGCCTCTTTTTCTCCAATATCCTTTTCCCCTCGCAAGGACTCGCAACCAGCGCGCCATACGGCTCGCCATCCTCATACGTGTTAAAAATCGTATTGCATTTACTCTCTGCATCAGCCATTGAAACATTGCCCTGTCTACACAGACAATTTCCGCAGTAGCATTCGTTACTAGCTTCGCAGAGGGCAATGCCGTCTGAGGGTACGGATCGATATTGTTGTTGGAGCTGCGTCGGGTTTTCGATGAAGATGGAGGCCATGCCGCCGACAAGGTGCATGTCAATGTGGCAGTGGAAGAACCAAACGCCAGGGTTGTTGGAGAGCCAACGGAGGACAATGTAGCCGTTTGCAGGGACGACGACTGTTATGGGGTCAGTATAGATAGGAGTAGGGGAAGGGGTTTCTCATACCTGTGTCGCGCATCATAGGGATCTTGGGTAGGGCGGCTTCGTTGTGGTCCCATTCGCCAACACCGCGGGCTACAACTTGGAACTCGTGGCCGTGTAAATGCATAGGGTGAGGCCATACCTGTGGGTCCTTCGTGTCAGAAGAAACTGCCGCGTAATCTGCATTGACTGTGGGTCGGCGTCAATTACCTGTGGGTTCTTCAAGTACACTTGGATAACGTCCCCTTGGTTGCTGATCCAAGGGTCCACGCCAACGCCATAGGTATCTGCGTCTAATGCGGCTGCACCAGTCGAGAGAGCAGTGTATAGCGACGGAACTTTAGGCTCGACCCATGGCTCATTCTAAATCAATGTTAGCAACTTGGAGGAAGTTTCTGCAAGTGATAAACGGCTTACTCCGATCTTGATGCGGGTCCCAACACCTCCATAGTACGTCTGGTTGACGACAAAATTGATGTTTTTCGTGACCGGTGAGTACAACTTTTCGTTGTTCAGCGGCCTCAGCGAAATGTCGTCGAGCACCACCTGCGGCACCCAAGAAGGGTGCAGAAATCGATTGAAAATGAAATCCAGGACCCCTAAGAAGCCTTTATATGTTATATTCCCAATGACAGACATAGCGCTGTCGCTCGGAATATCCTTAGTCAGCATATCTATCGTCATTTTGGCGATGTACTTGAAACCGAAGAAAGGGTTCTTCTTTGACTCGACAATGACATCGTAACGTTGACCTGCGCATATGACAATAGTATCAGCATCTTGAGGACGAATTTGTACGCCGTCTATTTCAACGACTGTAAGCTTGTGTCCGTCGACATGGAATTGACCACATGCCAGTGCGGCCACATTGACGATACGTAGCAAGTACCGCTTCCCCGGTTTAAAGCTGAAGGTTGGGGCTGTTTTGGTGTCGTTGAACAGGAAGGAATCAGGCGATGGGAGATCACCGTTGTGGTTACCCGGGCTCAGATACTCGTGAATGAGGAATGGTTGTTGCGTGTGGTACCTGGATTAAGTCAGGCATGCTTTATCTAAGTATGCCTGTCATCTCACCAATCAGACATGCTTAGATATATTTGTTCGTCAACTTTCAAGTTTTTCTCCCACGCTGGGTCGTGGATGATCATCTTCCCTCGAAGTCCATCCGGGTATTGACCCTTGGCATGGGAATGATACCAATGGGTTCCAGATGGTGCTGCCTCGAACGTGTATGTGAAAGACTGTCCAGGAGCAATTCCGCATTGCGTAACACCAAGGGCACCATCGTATGCAGGAGTGCCGAATTGGTACATGCCATGGAAGTGGAGCGAGGTGGTTTCATTTCCGAGTGAATTCTTTGCCTTGACGACGATGGTATCACCCTTGTTCGCTTCAATGGTGGGGATGCTGAGAGAATATGAGCAGATTTCTATTCCATGACGCAGAGTGCTTACGGCCATTGGCCATTGATGCCAATCACAGGCCGTGTGAACCCATCAGGGGCGGCTGAGACCCAGCCAATATCAAAGTCATCTATTCATTGTCAAGCCTATGATCTGAATATAATGTGCTTAAAAGGCGTACAAGTAACAGTTTTTGCAGACGACAGTGATGCAGAAACAGCAAGTAAAATGAGAGATAACATCTCGCCGTAAACCTTGGGGAAAAGAAGAGAGACAAAGGTCAAAAGGGTGTTGATAGCGAAATTCCTGCCGTCAACGCATTCAAGTACCAGTACATTCGTTCACCCCTGGACTGGTAGGCGTACTGAGGTCCCCTGCCGACCCGCTCTATCTACATCCATGATGGAAATCCTGATAGACGATCCTCAGATCTACCAAGGTAGCAGAGGAAGAGAGCAATCAGTCTTCCCAAACGCAGAAAAGGCGCTCAGGAGGAGGAAGTTTGAAAGGAGAGCGCAAGTCACTATCTGGAATCGGATAAGATGGCCAGCGGTGGTGGAGAAATGAATATTGGGATCTGCAGAATAGCACGAAATGGAATGAGCATGATATTGAGTTCGTGGCTGGACTTTCATTGTCCCATGGAGCAACGACAGCGACCTTCAGCTGAAAGGTTGAGTTGAGAAGTTCTCCCCTCAAAGCAGCACTATTGCCAAGGAGGCTGACCGTGGGATAGAAGTGTTGTTGAGGTGTATCACCGTGCACATTTTGGAAACATGATGCCATCGCGAAACGAAGACCACTATTAGTACGTCCAAAAGAAGACTGGCTTGTCCGGATTTGGCCAAGCCAAGACTTACTCCAGTTTCCCTGCAACACCCGGGACCCAGTGTCTAACTTTCTATCGTCAAACTACTAGTTCCTATCAAATATGCACTTTACGCACTGAACAGTGTGTCATTCGACCTTGCCGTGATTCTATTAAACCATTCTATTCATCAACAAACCAGTCGCCTAAGCAAATTCGAGACCAGTCAACTGGCAGCAATGATTCACGATGCAGAAGTAGAACCCCATGGCTTTCTGAAGATTGTATCATTCAACGCCGTATTTCAATTTCAGTGAGCTAGAATGCTAATTATCATTACCATTTAGATCATCTCTCTTTTCCCCTTTGTTCATCTCTCATTCCACCAAAACTCCCCCGTTTCTGCGACTCAAAATTCACTACCTCTTTCCTCTTCTCTTACTGTGCCCTCGTCTAGGACAGCGTCTAAATGGCTAGCGCCTTATTATCAGGAACTCTGCTCCGCCTGCGTCATAAGATAAGGCGTCTCCGTAAGCGCCCAATTGCACTGTCCCGAACCTCCACACTGTCCGGACAAATTATCTCCAACCTTGAACGTCCCAGAACCCGTAAAAATCCTGGTATATACAGTATTCAAAACCGTAACTTTATCGACCAACTATAGGTTCCTACCGTTAGAGACCTCCTGTCCTCTCAAACAGGTTTAAGGTAGATGAAAGGAAAGCGGACTTACCTTAAATTCCAAGCCAAAGTCCTCCGTAGCTCCCTCCCCACTTCCTTCTACCATGGTCATGGTCCAGTACCCGTAATCGATATCTGTGCAAGGCTGCTCGATGCCCCACGGCACGTCGTCTTGCGTCAGCCACTGCGCGGAGCAGTTTGCGGTTGAGGGTGGAAATTCAGCGGCTCCGGTGGGCGTGTCGGCAACATAGATGGTGTTGGGATCATGGATTGTTACGTTGAGCTACCAGCATATTAGTGAATGGGGGTGCGCACGGTAAGTTGGTAACTTGCTGTAGAGTGTGGGTCGTTCCCTGGACGGCCAGATGGAGAGTGTGTGTAGAGTCTCTGAAGCTCCCATGGCTGCAGGTCATCACGAGCGATTTTGATAGTCGGTGCAGCGGAGACGGTGGTGGCCGCGATGAGAACGACAATGGCGAAGGCGTTGGCGACCATTTTGGCAACGAGAAAAATTTAAAGTTAGTATTCAAGCGAGTGGGTTTTTGTTTATAGAAACGACAGTGGTACGAAAAGCCGAAGATGAAGTCCTCAAACTGTAGAGCAAATGCGATGTTTTCCCTTCCAACCCGGAAACCTCACATCTTATATACACCTCACCTTCCCCACAGTTATTCTCGTCCTTGCAACCGCACGTTGCATTGCCCACCCCCAAGTGCTTATACATGCGCTCTAACTTTCCTGAGAAGTCGTTATTCGAGACATACAACCCGAACAGTCGAGCGAATATGTTCGAATACGAGCGCTACGACTGTTTTTGCGCCAGTCGGATGACATGTAGGGAAAACCAAAACGTAAGACACCCAAGGATTTAGCATTGAAGCACAGTGCACATGGTATCCATGTGCGTGTCGATCAGCGCCCGAGAACTTGGAGATTTGCGCTCGTCAAAGTTGTGCCTACATGGGTGTCGGGATACCAAGAAAGTCGGCTCTCGCGTCTTGACCCATTGCAAACAACATCGCCTTCTCATACACATCAAAATATAAAGAACGATTTCCATCAACCGGTGCAAAGAAGGCAAAGCCCCTGAAGGATTCGCAATGAGGTCATCAGAAGCGTGAAAGTGGTGTGCAAGTGGCTTCGGGCCTGACGGGAGAGGAGGCGGGAGACACTGACTAAAGGCTTAGCGTCAGGAACTTGCTAGACTACTTTGGGTGAGTCTGCAGAATTATTTTTAGGTTGTGGGGCCTAACCTCATTGCCGTCCATTGTTTTTCCCCTTAACGACTTCGACATTGTAAGAAAGGGCTCTGAAGAGTGTATGGTTTGGTCACGATGCTTGCAGTCCCGGAAGATGACCATTAGGGGAATGCCCTGCATGTTTATCCCACAATTTCGAAGTTGAGATAGATGGTTGGATTGCGAGTTGGACAAAAGAGCAGTGGTGACGACAGCCTGTATGTTTAACATTCCGATGGCCATCGGCATTGGCGCCAGCGATAGTGAAACTCGTAAACATACCTAGTCCACGATAAACCCAGTAATTGGTATCCCGACGCGAAATATGACCCGTGCAACGTACCACGGGCAAGTAGAACGAGAAAAGCTGACTGCCACAAAAAGCAAAGCTATGGTTACCCTAAAACTAGTCAAAAGGATTCATTGAAAAATGGGCGTACAGCTCCTAAGCAACAAACCGACGCTTTGCCTACAACTCTACCCTCTAAGCTAGTCTAACCCCATTAAAAAATATCTGCCAACCTCGACTGCTCCACTTTATCTATCCAATCCCTCAAACTCAGCGGTATGATCCTCCAATACCTATTTTCTATCTCCTCCAGCAGGGCGCGGTATTCTTTTCCGCATCCACTTAATCGGTCACACAAATGACGAAGGTGGTGAAAGTAGAATATGACGAAAGCTACACGAGGCATTGGTTAGATATGGGTTTCTGTGAAAGACGGAAAGGGAGGATGGAGGGGAGCGGGTTCATACGATATTTGCTATTGATATAGTGATGCATGGAGTACTGCCACGCACCTTCCAACCAAGATATGTCAAAAGCTACGTCAAGTCAATACCACACTCGTGTAGCGGCTGGAACCCACTCACGCATAGCAAGCGACTGATAAAATACCCCCCACCCCCAGGTGGTAAAATTAAGTCTGCTCTTCTCTGCCTCTTGATCGATAGGATCGGCTACGCGCAATAATGGCAGGCTATTGACCCTTGGCCATGATTCCGGATGGATTCTTCGCTCTCCAGGCATTGGCGAAATCTAACAGACCGGTTTTCGGAGGAAGCATGAGCGAAGGTGTGAGTTCAGATTCTGGTGCGAGACCTCCAAACTAGAGGGGAAGTAAAGATTTAGTCCGCCATCGCCGCCTTGGATAACGACAGGTCGCGTTTGTGGTTGCTCGTATTCTGCGGAGAGGGTTACAATACCGCATCGCTCTACCCCATATCAGTTTAGAAGTTAGTCAAGAATTGATGAGGAATTATCCATACCCATATCATCGGCATCTCGGCGGATGAATCGATTTGCGTCCCTAGATCGATCTTCCTTCATCTTCCCTGCATGCGCAAGAACGACCTGTTGATCTGGATTGTAACATATCTGCCTATTACCCTCGTCCTGAGCCTCGGGCAGAGCTAGAAACCTCATCTCAGAATATTTCCTGAACTGAAGGCGTTATCAGTTCCCTTATGACACGCTTCGCGACCTGTCTCAGAGAGCGATCACCAACAAGCATCTACAGCGCTCCGTGATGACGTTGAATAGCGTCAAAGGGAGGCCAACAAGTCGATTAATAAGGATAAACTGCCAGCTATCCACCTCTATTCGTACATCGCTGTCGAAGTTTTACGTAGTCTCAGATCATTCTTGATGTCCTCGAGCATACTTTCGGTTGTCCACTCTACCTTCTCAACGTCTTCTGACGATTTGACGGAGCGTTTTCGGCTGATGAACAAGTCTTTCTCCATTGGATGAACGGTTGAGTCCGCGTTGGTCCCTTCATACACTACAAGCACTAATCGTTCTATCCTTTTCGCATGAAGGAAGAAGGATGAAGGATGCTGTTCCGGCTATGTTCCGGCTATAGTCCCAATGCTATCCAGCAAGCGATCCCAGGTTAGTGAGACCGATCGATTCTTATCCTTTGCTATCCACGCGACTCAAATCAATTGTGGGCATGGGATACTAGTAGGTAGAGAAAGGCACGAAAGGAACTATTAAACAGAGCTGATTGAAGACAGCAGTTGGAGACAGAAGCCGTGACCTACACTCTTGTTCTGACGTCTCCTCGGCTTAGATAGGTACGACCCATACATCTCGTCTCATTTGGCCCCAGCTGGACCATACTCACACAAAGGTTATCCTACCCAAGTATTCGACTTTCTTGTACCATGCTTTACTAGGTATTTCTACCTCTAGCTATGTTCTAGCCCTAAGGCCTTTATCGACCTCAAACTCCACGACCTCTCCCACACCAGCAATCATTGGCATCTCACCTCCAACGCCCCATCATCCCCCTAAGTTCATCCCCGCAATCTCTACATCCAAATCCTCCGCTCTATCCACCCCCTCCGTAAGCCTATGCTCCCTTCCCCCAATCCTCGCATCACACTGTGGGCAGCGCGCCAATTCCATCGGCATACCGCACTCACCAATGGAGAAAGGATGGCCATTGGCGCAGCGATACCAATGTCCCGTACCTCGAAACTCCTTCGCCATAGCCGCAAGAACCGATCTCCGTTCCTCGGACGAGACGGGCTGGATGAAAGTCCCGCCATTCAGGCTACGTTCGACATCTTTAACTTCAGAAACTAGGGAACTGAGCTTGCCTCCGTGTGTTTCACAGATGCGGTAAGCTTCGGTGACATGCGTTTGACCCTCTATTTGGATGGCTTCGTTGGCAACGGGGGTAGTGGCGAAAGAGCGTTCGATGACGCAGTAGCGTGTATAGAAGATATGTCCTTCGACCGCACGTTCATAGTCTTTAGACTTGAGAGCCTCATTGATGAGCTCAGTGCACTCCTCGCGGTTCTTGCGGAGATCGACTTCGAGTCGCAAACCCATTGGTCCCTTGCTAAGCTTCTTAAGCTGGTTCAGGACATCTGCGAGTAACACTACGTCGCAACGAATGAGTAGCGCTAGAGCCATGATATGGAATGCCATGTGCGAGACTGGATTTTGCAGTTCGATACCACTAGTCCGGCCATTCTTTCGTTGTGCATGCTCAACAAGAGTCCAAAGGCGAGCAAATGGAGTCTCATCTTTGTGCACTTTTACAAAGTAGTTTGCAATGGCTTGGCGAGTTGCCCTCATCTCTGCATATCGACCCCATCCGTTAGTAGCAGCGCATATAGATAGGAATTGATCGTTCCGATGATCTTTTAGAGTCAGAACAGGCGGTAAGTCGAGCTTATTCTGTGCCTCTTGAGATTCTCCGAGCTGCTTCTGTGCAGAATATAACCTCTCTACTAAAGGACCGAATCCCGCTCCAGCTGAGGTCACAAACCGCTTGGTTCCCTCATCTAGAATAACACGGCGGACAATACGTCCATAGCGGTTTATGTTACGCAATGAGCCGCGACATTCGGGGCATCCACGAAGGTCCTTTAACTCAGCCATCGGTGAGCTTGTGTTGCCAATAGAAAAGGGTTCAAACTCTTTGATGGCGTTCACAGTTCCGTCAGGGTTCAAGTCATAGGCAGAAGACATGCCCAGATTTCCATCCATACTGCTCATGAGCTTCGCATGACCACACGGTGGGATGATGAGAGGATCATCGTTTACGTCAACGTCCTGATAGAGCTTAAATTCCAGAAGGTCCACGACCATGGACTTGATCGAGGCATGTCCGCAAATTTGGCAGTACTCTGCATCTGGGCAGGCCTCTCCGCAGAGTGAAGGGCCTTTCAAATATGTTAACCATACTTCAAGCAGGAAGGCACAATGGTACTCACATTGATGTCCACAGTTTAAAGTTTTCGAACAACGCCTCGAACAGGGAATCCAGTTGCAAGGGGCAGCACATGGCATCGTACTATGACAAGCGTCAGCGTACTTCATCCAAACACGAAGTGGGATGTCACCAAGAGTAGAGTTTTAGAGACATACCATTGACTATGTGGACAGCGGGACGAGCATTCTTCTTGTGCGCATGGGATGCATGGTTGTCCACATTCTTGATCACAGCGGGAGTGGCTACACGCCACCTCACAGGGCTGCTTACACAGCCCACAAGGCTCTCCTGGATGACAAGCGTCCTGGCACATGTGGCTACAATTGCTGTATTTGCGGTTGCACTGTTGGACGCAACTCCCATGGCGCCATGTATTTTGTTGCTGGCATGACCAACAAGAAAGCTTGCCTGTATATATTTAGTAACAATGTTGCATCCTAAGAGGAAAAATCTTACAAGAATGTCCACACGTCAAATTGGCTCCGCATGGAGCGAAACAACGAAACTCTTCTGAGCCCACATCTATATGACATGCAACGTCAACAGTGTGGCCACAGCAAGGAACTATTCGTTTAACCTGTACCGTGCATTTAAGGGATTCGTGCGTTTGGAGTTCCCAACAACGAAGATGGCAAACAACGTGACCACATTTAAGCTTAAGATTAATGTCTTTGAGAACCATCTCGCAACGACGATCGCACTGGTCTCCACAATACTTTGGGCAAACGTGGTTGCAACCCCGTTTCGTCCTTGGACAAGGTTCAAGGCACCTCACGCTATTATGTCGGAGATCTGAGTGGCATTTCTGGAGACACGCATGGCCACACTTCAACCGCCGATCACACTTGAGGTTGCACCCCCCTTCGGGAGCATATAGTTGGAAGTCATCCCGAGTTGAGACCTCAATTTTGGTATCAGGGTGCCTCGGACAGCACAACGCCAGGCTTGGTCCAATATTGTCGTTCTTCTTCAGAATATCGATAACTTGAGACCACATGGGGACCCCAGCGCTTGTCGCAGAGTTTCCGATAATGTACATGCCATGTTTGGCGCGGCTTAAGAGCACATTGATCCTACAAGATCTTAAATTTTACTATCTCAAAAGGTGTATTTAGTGCTTACCGGTTGATGGTTTTCAGGAACCCGCATTTCCTCTCCTTGTTCGACCGAACAAGAGACACGATAACGACTTTGGCCTCTTCACCTTGAAAGTTATCAACACTAGCTAGCTTCACTGTCTTGAGGAAGGCTTTTATCTGAGGAGACATTTTCAATGGCTCTAGCAACTGATCGTTTTGGGTGATACCAGCCTTTTCCAGAGCTTCAACGTCGCGGTCATCAAGAACAATCTCGTAGTGCTGTGACAACTCGTCCTTGATCTTGAAAAGTTGACCTAGATAAGGAGTGATTACCGCAATCTCTCCAGACTGGTATTCGCCTTGTTTGAGTAGGTGTCCGACGAGTTCAGTACACATGTCCACCTCAAAGTCGTTCGACTTGGATGTCGCCACAAGTTCATTCGTCTCTGCGCCTGCCTCTAGGTGGTTGTGGTCCAGCCAATAAAGGCGCTTGAGCATGCCAATAACTTCTGGGTAGATTGAAACATTGTCGGCATTCTCAAGGTGTGGGTAAATCGTTCGCCGAATCAAATTTGAAATGGATGGGTGCATTCGCCGCTGAGTCTGAAGTATAGAAAGCGGTAATTTGATACCTAGGACTTCCTTTGGTGGACTTACAAGGCGTTCAAACAGCGACATATCCAGTGAATATTTCTTTCCACGGGAACTTTCAGACGAGAGATCGTAATTAGCGACTTGAGGCTTCAGCTGGAAATGGTCGCCGATGAGTACAAGATGCTCGACCGATGGGAGTAGCGCAGTCAGAATGTGAGCTTCCAACACCTCCCCAGCCTCTTCCACAATGACAGCCTTGATGGGCAATCGTCTGAGAAGCTTCATATTGCGGGCCAACCCAGAAGTAGTGAGTCCAATGATATTCGCCTCCTGAAGACACCTTAGCTCGATTTCTCGCCTGGCATCCTCATGGTTTGTTTTGCTTTGACGGTATCCTGCCACTGCTGAAAGAAACATCTGCCTGCATAATGTCTGGCAATCGTCCACCCAGTACGCGTGAAGCTTTCGACGCTCATTATACGGCATTTCCCAAACGTTGGCCCGAGTCGCTAGAATCTCGTCGATCGTTCTCTCGGCCTGTTGGGTCCTTGAATTAGTGGGTTTTCCGTGTAGCCATGTGCGGATAATGTAATCTGAGCTGTAGGAAATCATTTCGAAACCGTCCTCGTCAACCCCCCAGAGCTGGTCGTGATGCTCTGTGTGGTTCTCTCGTAAATAGTCCTTGAGGCCGTCACATGTGTTTGAGAGCTTTAGTTTTCGCAATGCTTCTGTGACATATGCCGCGTCAGTTATCATAACCCTACGTCGTGCGTACTCTTCCTTCTTTTCATCGCTAGTTCGATCTATGTTTCTGCTGACGATCCTTAGGTTCAGGTCTCCAAGTCGGTCACACGTAGAGCGGCTGCCCATTCTAATGACTCGATCGATGCCGCCATCAAGGAGATGCTCTAAGAATTGATCCAGTGCGTGATTAGTATAAGTCACCACTAGCATTGGGCCAAGGTCGGCCCGTTCCTTATTCTTGAGCAATACGCGAGCCAGAGCAACGCCAGTGTAGCTACTGCGAATTAGTACAAGAATCATAAAAAGGTTAAATTTGTAGCGTTACCTCTTTCCTGTTCCGGGTGGACCTTGACAGAGCGCCAGTCGACGTAACAGCGTGTGCACAAGAGCTTCTGCCTGTTTATCATCTAGTGTAGAGTTCTCGGTTAGAGAACCTAGGTTAAAGTTAAAAGAAGCATTCGGGGAGAGGACCAAGTTCCGGCCATTCGAAAGAAGACAACTCAAGTCAAACCCGAAATCTCGCTGCTGTGCATAGCTTGGAGGCCCCACATCCACCGCCTCGGAGGCAACTGCAGTTGGAGCGAGCAAGTCGGCGAATGGAAGGTCACCCGCCTTTGACATTTCCTGGATAACTGCCAAGGTGGGTTGGAATGCCTGAAGCAAAATCTTCGGGAACTCGAGAAGAGTCAAATTCCTCGGAGGCTTAGTCCGCTGAGAGAAGTAATCTGCAACAGTTGGAATGTCCTTCTCTTCAGCTGGGAGTATCGTGAGGAAAGCACGATGAGGGTTCGAAGCAAAGTCTTGATAAGGAATCCCACCCTCTACTTCTGATATCACATCATTACCTTCTTGTACGTGGGCTTTCGATTCCTTGATCTCTGTAACTGTGCCGAATATTACCCGTCCTGTGGGATCCAGAATGCAAACTAGGGAGTCCTTTTGTAAGCGTTTTCGAGATATCCACCAGTCTTCACGCATTCGCTCACTTGACTCAGCCAAATGACTGGGTTGGTCGACTGAACCAATAACGATTATGCCTTGGAAATCGTGGCACCGGAGATCTTCAAATGCAAGATTTGTGTATACATTGGTGCGAAGTCCGTTGTGAGAAGGATTTAGAAATCCATTTGGATTATTTTGCCGCTTTAATTCCATCCTGGTGGCATCTCTGACTGGCCCAATAACGTCTTCTCGATACAGACGAAAATGCCTATCAAGGAGACCAGCACTACCAGGGAGGTGTAGCTGAGAGGTATCTAAAACGGGCAAATAAGGGGCCCGGTCACAGAGAATCTCTTGGAATGTAGGCAATATCCGAATGTGTTGTATGTCCGCAAAATCATTGTCATGTCTCGGTCCGGCTTTTGAAAGCTCCCCAGGCCCGTCGCTCACCATCTCATATCGAGCTCGTGGTTTGACTGACTTGTTGCTTGAGGTTACCGGTTGGATCGATGGGACCCCTAGCCCAAGGCGGTGTTTAGCTCGGTCAAGGAACCTTCGGGTGTTGATGCTCGTCAAGTCTCGGCGGTCATCTTTTACAGACTTTATTTTTGCCTCAAGCAAGTCGACAATTTGCTTGAAGCCATCTAGGAGTGGAGCAGTTCCGTTCTTATCAAGAACATTGGAAAACACGATCATGGTAGGCTCTAATTCGTCCATGGAGAGTCCGTCTGCGTTGCACAAAACATACCGGAACAGGTTAATTGAATACTGACCGTTCGAACCGAATAGAGCATTATAGATTGTACCTATGGAATTTTCGAGAAGCCCTGAGGAAAGCACCCTCGGGTGGCTGATGACCTTGAAGAAAGGCAGCACGGTCGACCTGAAGAGTTCCTGTTGAGTAGTTGGGAGCTGATGACGTAGGTCAGCTTTTACCAGCTGAAGAATCCTCTGTAGGCCCCCATCAGAAGAAAGCGATTTGATGACGGACTGCATGTTGCCTGGGCCGGATGTCACAAGCTCGAACGCATCCTGGAAGAACTTGCTGCGCGCTTGAGGAGTAAGCGGCTTATCGGGCCATGAGAGCGGTGTAGTGAAGAAATGCCAACGACGAAGAAGAAGATCCTGTGGGTTGGCCAACTCGTGCGTCTTGTTTGATCTGGAGGCCCTGCCACGATTTGATGGCGCGCTCGCAGAGACACCGTCCTGCGAGACATCGTGGGAAAACCTGCAATGGTTTCCTTTGAGGCAGCCTTTCCGGGTGAGGATATACTGGCACAGCGGCGGGGCCTTCTTTCCCGTCATGGTCACTTGAATCACGTCAGTACCCCCCAAAAGTGAAGGTGCGCCGATAGCGTACATGTGGAAGGTGCAAATGGAATGAATGGCAGCACTGACGAAGGACGCCTTACCAGCTGAGCAAAGAGGAGAGAAGCACAAGGAGGTGTTCTGGTCGCGGATCGCGGGGCAGAGCAGAGGCAAATATTGCGAGGTGAGACTAGTTCTACTGTGCGGGAGGAAGGTGAAGGGAAGAATATATTTTAGTCTCGTGACCTTTCTACGAGTTTCGGCGAAGAAGTTTTGGTGAGGTGATTAGGGCGGTGATAAGCAAACCATCATAATGTGAATGCTGGCGTCAAAGCAGACTTCGAGCTGCTGCTCTAGGGCAGTTGCGGAGATTCTAAGGCTCTACTCTAAGAATCAGCAGAGCGCTCGAGGGTCAGAGCGATAGTATTTAATTACCAGAAATAGACTAGGACTATAGCCCAGCGTGAGTATCCAGGAGAGGCTTATGATTGAAAAGAGCGGCCTGCAGGCGTGGGTCAGACAAATGAAAAGAGGTTGAGGAGCGACAAGTCACATGCAAGGAAAGGAAATAGCTGAGCAAGAAAATCCCAAGACGCCTCCTATATCGAAGTCCCCAAACCGATCGTGGCTCACGGCATCACTGTCTAACGTGTCTATGTGTCATCACACCGCCTTGTCATTATTGTCCCCAAATCCCAGTTCGAGCCGCTATCTCACCCTCCCACCGCCTATATCCTGCCCCAACCTATACCCACTGATCTTCTCCCACTCAATCTTCTGCCTTGTAATTGGCAACTGTCTCCTCAACGCCTTAAATGCGCCTTCACTCAAGCTCCCAAACGCCTTATTCAGATCTTCCTGGTATTTCTTCTCCGCATTTGCTATCTGTCTCACAATCTCACTTGCCCCCGCATTTGCCCCCACACTGAACTGCACCACTTTATTTGTGAGAAGTCGCACGTTGCCGTCTTCGTAGTAGTGGACGTCGACTTTGATGATGCCTGAGATTGAGCCCGACGAGGGGGTGTAGATGTACGAGGAGCGCCAGCGGCCGTTCCAGAAGTTGGAAGGCGAGTACTTGTTTGCGACTGTGATTATGGCGAGCTGGGAGTCGTCTTCTGTGGGATAGACGCCGAGACTGGATTTGGGGTAGTGCTCTGAGGTGTGGATGCCTAGGCTTTTGAGGAGGCTCTTGCTATTCACAGTACTACATCAGCCTTGATCTCCTCCTCGCCTTCTCAACAAAGGCCATTGTATGCCCGCACACTTACACGAGATCTGAGTGGGTTGATTCTAGCACGTATGACTTCACCCCGCTCGCTTTCTGTGTGGCATGGTCGAAGGCGAATGAGCTCTGGCTCTCGACATCATAATACCGGTCGTTTCCTAACGAGTTATAGGAGCTGACTAGGACTTCTCCGCTTCCGCCGGGCAGCTTCACGGTTGCGAATTGCTCTTCGTTGTACCTCTGGAAGGCCGGTGCGAGGTCTGACTGGGCGGAATCGTCACCGAGGATAGATTTGATCGCTGGAGGAAGTCAATATGCTTGGGAAAGCAAGTTTTAGGGTAGGATATGGCGGCGGAGGAGTGCAGAGAGTGGAGCAGTACCTTTCGTAACATCGGTGAGCTATACACAGATTAGTCGCGGAACAAAGTGGGATGTGGGGGGCGACACACCTCGCCTGGTGGGGTACTCTCCACGAAAGAAGCCAAAGCTGCAGTTCTCGACATTGTTGTAGTAGTAGCGGGCTATCGAAAGACTTAATAAAATCCTAGGAAGGGAGCGGCAGAACGGGGGTAAGTGAAGTAAGCCTCAGTTAAGAGGCGGAAGCTGGGGACTGAGACGGTGCGGGAGTCTTGGCGAGGGGACTGCGAGCAGGGATCACACAATTCACCGCATTATTGGCCAGAACAGATTCAGTATACCACCGAAGCTCGAATTCATTATTGGTTAAGGTCTTCGCCTTCGATATTGCAGGGATTACTATGAAAAGCCATGGGCCGTTGTACTCTCCAGATTCGCCAGACCACTTTGTTCACCACGACCCTTTCTTGTCCAATCCGAGAACATCACGCTCAAGCAACCATCCCAACGTATTAGTACAAGAAGCCAATAATACGACAGATCTCACTCTATACTCATCTTCATAAGGCCGTCGCTTGTATCCGTCATCCCTTGCAGTCCGATCCTCTTCGGGCCCAGGGATGGCGTCATGCTAACACTTCCCCCGCTATTCGATCTCTCCCCCGCGGCATGACCTCCCCCAGAGTTTTCTCTATTCGCTTTTGCTGCAGAACCCCACAGGCTCCCATCTCTATTCGCAGGAGACTGTGACAACACTGGACTGTTCTGCACACTCACTCCAGGAGAGACGGCGCGTCGCTTGATGGAAGTGCCATCAAGGTCATCATCGCGCCGTCGCTTATTCGACTTCTTGAGTCCATCCGCTGCGGTCGGCGGTACCATTGGCTGGGGCGTCGACGATCTCGAAAACCATCCGTGATTGTTGTTCTGCTCTGCGACAGCGATGGCGCTGGCTGCAGGTAAAGACGTGGAAGTTGACGAAACGGTGGGCGAGTCCATATTCACATCCTCGCTAACAGCTGACGAGCCAGCGCGGGGAAATGAGGGTGGCGGTGTTTGTGCCGGGTTGTCTTGATTCCAATAACCCCGTCCATTAGAATTCCTCACAGCGCCAATATTGAACGCCGCAAACAGCCCTTTCGCAGTAGAGCTATCCAGACTCATCCCACTCTCACTCCCTTCCTCCGGCACCCCTTCGAGAGGTCCATCCAGTCCGGGCACTGTTGGTAAGAGAGTGGGGGAGGAGTGGGCTGTGGCTGGGGGCCGTTCGAAATCGACGTCGCTTTCCCGTACTTGACGGATGATTTCGGCTTCGCGTCGAAACTCGCTGTCAATTGGCGCTGACTCCTCCAACAACTCAGCCTTGATGCGTCCAAACTGCCGTGATTTTGGCTGCAATGGTCAGCATCACTTGGCTCTGACTGGTCTCAAGCCACTCACCAGAAGATTGCCCCGCCGCGTCACAGGCCTTCGAACAACGCCTGGCGTCTGAGGTATAGCGGCTCCTTCATCGCCGCTGTCGTTGCCAGAAGATATGTGGAGGTCATTTGTGAACAGCGAGAGGCTTTCCCGCCGAGACCCCGCTTTCCTTATCACCGCCTCCCTCGCGAAGTATCCCTCGCCCTTCCCATTTGGCGGCGAGCCGGGCCCAGGACTAGCCATCGAACTGTGCCCACTCGCAGAGCTCGAGCTCTTCCGACTCCGGCCTTTCCGCAACCTGGCTCGCTGTATGCTCATAAAATTCGGTGCTCCTCCTGGCGAGAACATGCTTGACCAAGCGTTTGTAGAGTTCCCCATATTCTGCCCTCCAAAGGGAACATTACTTGATTTCGTGGTCTGCGGTGTCATGAGCATTGGGTCTTCATGATCGTCAGGGTCCATGGGGTCGACCTCGTCAGAGCTGCTGCTCGACGAGTCTGAGCCAAGCATGTTGATGCTGCCTACAGAACTGGAAGCTGCCATCCGATCCATGTTGCCATTTCCACTCCAAGGATGGTACGAGTTCACATTCGGCGAGTCTAGCAACATAGAGTTCGCGCGCGGCTTTCTTGACGGTATCATCATCCCTTTCTGTGTAATCGTCGGAGACGAGTCCGGCGAAGACTGGTCCGCGAGGGTCGAGTGGTGAAGATTGGTGCAAGCTCTTGAGAATTCAGCGCCCCGCGACCGCCGTGGGAGGAGCGATGCCGGAGAGGCGTAGGTGTTGCGCGAATCTAGCTGCGGAGACAGCGGAACGCGCGCTGCAAAATGGGCGGGACTGGGCATGGGCATGTCCCGTGGTGGCATCTGTAGAGAGAGCCCTCTGGAGAGAAGATCCGGTCGCCTGGGGGTGCGCGGACTGGAGATGATGGTGTGATCATCTTTGGAAGTGCGGAGCGCTTCGCGGAATTTGGGAGATGGTGACAGCTGGGGCTGCGGCGTGGAGTCGGAGAGAGACCGGGCCTTCGACTTTTTTGGTGTATGGACAGACGACTGCGATCCAGAGGCAGATGATTCGCGCTCTTCGTGAGATCCAGCCCGTTGGGCAAGGCGATTGCCAATCATGGCTTCGATTGCTGGTACATGCTGTATTTCTGGGGTCATGGCGTATTTAGGCTGGGCCGGTGAGCCCGGAGCAGGTGCGGATGTGAGAATCGGACATATCGAGAGATGAGAACGACTGCGACGGGTTTGCGTTTCATGGTGAGGTTCGACGTGAATGGAGCGGGGGGGCGCTTAATCTGCATACTGAAGGTCACGTGAGCGGCAAGGCGCAAACATACCCGGGAAGGTCTAATTCACATTTGAAAGAATGTGCTAAGTAAAAAATTGATAGAAGGGGTTTTTGAGAGATCTTGAATCAACAAAGTCGTGCTCTGGTCTCTTTACGAAAGTCACGAGGGGCTACCTCATCCTAACCTTGCAACCATCCCAAGGTGCTCACAAACGACAGTGAAACAAATCCCATAGATAGCCCATCTCAGTCCAGAAGCGACTAAAAGCCCCAATATCACTTTTCGAACTACATGCCAAACTGGCGTGCGAATTAAAAATGCATGCAGCGAAAACTGGCAAACATCCGCTCTATCACATTTACGCACATATATCAACCACAACCCTCACTCGTACTCCTCCTCAAGCATTGACGATGCCTTCCGCCCACGAAACGTCTTCCCCTGAAAAATGTCAGCAATTTTGATCTTTACGTATAATATCGAAACTACGCACATGTCGCCTCCCATATGTTCAACACTATGAACTGCCAATCCTGCCCATGGCGTTTCATTTTCCCAATAACCCGGCACATGGTGTTCTCATGAAGGAGTCGGCCAGCGTCATAGTTGAAAAGATCCACTGATTTCCAGATAGCGCTGTCATATACGGACTTGATATGTGGTGGCTTAGTGTGGAAGAGGTCACAGAATACGAAATGCTGCTTGGATTGCTCCCGGTACGAACTGAAGACCCGAGCATAAAGTTCAATAAGGACGTTCTTCCCATTTCTGACGGCTGAGCGACCCGTCTTGATTGCCTCCCCAATCCTGAAGCAGGTTCGTAATAGAGTACTTGGAGAGAGTCCAATGATGGGTGAGCGATCCCGAACTTGAGGTGGAAAGGGCCGCCTAACAATGGGCTTGAGGCTCTCGTTCGGATCGTTACATTTCTGCATATACTGCATGGTCTTCGGCGTAACGGGTGATACGAATTGGGCGGAGGGTCCTGGCCGGTTCGGGGGCACCTCTTGTACAGAAGACGTGACATTTATTAGGGAGCTAAGGGGGTAGGTGCTGGCACTCCCACCACCAATGACATCTGAAGAGAGTTCAAGGTTATAGTTGTGACTGTCAGCGTTATCAAATTCATCGCTATAATCGGTTATCAGCATCAAAAGGTCATTATCGTCTAAGCCATCATCAAAGCTCTCATCGTCGAGCACATGGTCTTCGAATCGGTGCTGTTGCAAAGTAGTACTTGGGGTTTGTATTTGATTGTCTGTTGCGTGGTCACTGTTAGTGAATGAATCAAAGTCGATCGAGGATAAGATTTCGTCGATCTCGTCATCAAAGTCCTGGCTTATGTCCTGAGAGTGAACGCGAGCCGAAGGCTGAGTTGGCTGGGTTTCTGGGTAATCTGTCTCTCGATCGCGTTGATCCGCTGCACTGAAGAGTGGGCGCTTTACAGTCTGGGGCAGCAGGCGATTATCCTTATCACCTCTACAGAATTGAGAACCTTGTGCAGAACCCACTTTCACTCGCTTCGGAAGTGGCAAAGTGCTCGGATTGATAGTATAGCTGCTGGCATGGTTTTGAGCTTCACTACTGCTCCAAGTGGAGTTGGAAGTCTGGTTGGTTGGCACTGCAGACACGACTTCGGGTGCATGGATGGTTCCGTTTGAGGCAACGGCGAGCGAAGAATCCAGCTCGGTTCTTAACGGATAGGCTGGGTGTGAAGATTCTGGAGTCGGCCCAAAGCGGAAGGAGTTGAGCTTGTTCACAGTAACATTGGGAGGAGCAGCCGACGGAACATGCACATCGAAGGCACTGCGAAGTTCGCCACCTTCACTAGGCAGGCTGTTCTGGATGTCCTTTGATCTCGAAACACGCCTCGAGGATTTCGTAGCACGAAACCCTTCTGATAAAAGTCGCTGATTCGGTGGCTTCTTCGAAGAACCCTTCTTTCCTTCTGTGGAAGTGTGGGCGCTAGCTTGATTTGCTCGCCGACGCTTACGTTTTGTGTCTTGAGAAAGGATTGAGCTGGACCCATCGAAACGTGATAGGGAATCCGACTCGGTGCTCAAGCCAAGGTACTCAGCAGTGGCAGGATTGCACTGTCTGGAAGATGATCCCAGCGAGGCATGGTTGACGTTTGATGCTGTTTGCCGCGGAGTGATGAGGAAAGGCTGCACTTGCACTGATGGCGGCGTGTTAATTGCTGTAAAGCTCGATACCGCTGAATCGCTAATGGGGTCTCTGTTTCTAGGATCAGTCATGCACCATGAATGAGCATTCGTTGGAGGGATGGGCTCTGGAAGTGTGAAGGACAACGCGGGCATGCGGGATGCTCACGCGTCGTCCTGGGCACCTCTTCCCCTCAGAACCTCCAAGTCCCACCCACGGTACAGCGTCATACTAAGAAACAGCAGACATATGCAGTAGTGAAGAAGAAGCGTGACAGTGACGTGAAGGGTAAAGCCACTTGAGCGACAATGTAAGCATTGAAGCGTGCAATCGCCATCCGTTGAATCGTCCAGGCGCGGGCTCGTGCGGAAGCTGCAAGCTTCGCGCCAAGCTTCACCCCACCAAAAGCGGCTCTTTTGCCCACCTGCCCACCTGCCCGCCCTGCCCACCTTCGCAGGCAGACCTTAAGAGCATCAACTGAGCTGACTCCTCCACCTTCTCAGCATCGACACTCACCGTACAGCAACTGGCTTGCTGTTTCTCGTTCTCTCCTCGTCTTTTTACGCTCGTGTCGTCCTCTTCTAGGCTTCTTGCGTTCGTGAATCCGGCTCCTCCCCTGCCGGAGCTGTCGATGCAACAGCATCGGGTCTCCACCCTCGAACTTGCTGTTCTGACCTCACCTCAGAACAGTGTCTAAGCCCCGCCGTATCCACTGCGTTGCTCGCTCCCCCATTTGTCCAATCTGATTCATCGCCAGTAGCCCCTCTGATTGCTTGTAGAGGCGTCCAGGACGTCCACACTGCGTCCAACTTCGCTCATAATAGCAACTTGTGACGAACTTGGGCCCTTCAAATAGCAACCATGTTCAGTGGCCCTGTAAGCATCTACCTCATATATCTCATATGCACCTCCTCGCTCCGCCCGTTGCTTTGTTTTATTTTCCGTTTTTCCTAGACCCATATTATCTCTTATTTCCTAATTCAAAAATGGCGCTCTCGCTGGCTACATCCCTCCATTTCGCCAATCAGCCGCTGCTGGACGGCAGGCTTGACTCTCCCCCTCCATCCTACTCTAGTAGTTGCATCACTTGCCCTAAGCCCCGAGATCCCCCGCGATACTCAAAAAATCCTTCTACTGTTACCTCTTCTCTTAAAGCGAAGAAAATCCGAATATCTCTTCACCACCACAAGACCTCATCCGCCTACGAAGACTTGCCGATATTCGAAAACCCTTGTCCCTTTTGTTTCTTGAAGTACTGTCGCGAAACATTAAATAACTGGATTCGTAAACAGAGGAAGCCTTATTCGGCTGTCACGGTTCAAATTGACCGCCTGACCAGCGAGCAATTTGAGGAGAACGATCTCGGTGGGCTTGTTGATCTCATCGAGGTCATTAGGATACAAGAGTCCGGCCCAACAGAAGCCGCTCGAGCCATTCGAAAGAAGCTGTATGCCACCACCTCGACTCCCCCTGCGTCTCCTAACATGCCCCTAGCAAGTACGGAAACGTACATCGGCAACTCCGCGCTCTGATTATTCTTGATGGATTAATCCAGAATGCTGGAAGCAGATTTCAAAAGACATTCGTTGATGAGCCTCTGCTAGAGCGACTGAGATTACTGGCCAAGGATGACATGGTTGATATTGAGGTACGACAAAAGTGCAACGTTCTATTCCGTCAATGGGCCGTTGCGTACAAAGGCACCCAAGGTCTGGAGAGGATCGCAACACTGTACAAGCAGCTGCCACACACGAAACGTCCACAACCGCATCAGTCACGAGTTGTCCGCGAGAATGAGGCTGAGGCAGCACGTGAAAATGCTTCCTCACCGCCTCCATCACCGACGACTACGAGACGAGGCTCCCCACCGTCCCAGTTCCCGCTGGCATCTTCGTCCTCTGGAAGGCCGATAGCTCTTGGCGCAGCTCCTCTGCCCAGCTCGTCGCTGTTCAAGAAAGACAAGAAAAATAAGCACAAGCCATTCAACCTTGAGAAGGAGAAACATCAACTTCTTGAGACCATCGCCTCTGCTTCGGTCGCCAGCACCAACCTCATGAATGCCCTGCAACTTATCAACCGAGAAGAGCAACGCGTCAGTGCCAACCCAGAAGTGATGCAGAGATTTGAAACGTGCAAACTTCTCCGTCGCCAGATCCTTCGTTATATCCAACTTGTAGAATCTGATCAGTACATTGGCAGTCTTTTGAGCGCCAATGATGAGCTTGTCAAAGCTCTGATGGCGTTTGAAATTATGGACAAAAGCATTGATGACGACAGCGACAGTGAGACTGAGGAACAGCCCGCATCTCCAAGGGTAGGAAGGGCAAATAGTGGGGCTGAAGCAGCAATGGCTGGACTTAGCTTGCAGAAAGCACCACCAGCAAGACCGCCAAGGCCTTCAAGCATTCCAATGCTGCCCGCTGAGAAGTTGAGGGTCGAGCCGAGTGATAGTGAGCCAGAAGTTGAAGAGGATGACGATAACCCCTTCAGCGATACTAACGGTAAATTTATCTGGTAATTCCACCAAATTTGCAGTTCGCTAATCCGTTCCAGCTGTCAAGACACCATATGAGAGAGGAGAGTCGACATGGAGGGACGTTTAAAGGTCCGCAGAGACACGTCAGCCATTTGAGTAGAAATGTTGGGTTTCATTGCATTATCGCCTCCATTACGTGTTATGATGTTCTTCGATGATGTTAGCCATAATACCCTTTGGAGCTTGTGGATTGTGGTTATGAGATGCGGGGATACAGGACTTGGGATGGGGTTGGATAGATGGATAGGTCGTGAAACGTGAACATTCACAAAACAACTGAAACCCCAGCAATGGGTTCCCGATTGAGATACCCTTTGGCAGTTCATAAGATGTTTATATTTAGAGTGTTGACGCTTCGGAAACGCTCCTTGATGACACCGCCGCTTGTCGTTGGTGAGCAACGTCACCGCCAAGGCAGCCTGTTAGTCCGGTTTGAGATTTGCTGGAGGGCTTACTGGGTTGATATGTGCAAACCGCTCTTACCCTTCGATACATAGTTGCCGCTCAGCCTCGTGTATACTTCTATCACCCTTGTTTTCTTGTTCATTCTGGAATTCCGTAGAATCGTGAGTACTCTGAAACTGTTCTCTTGCAGGATCGGATAGGGGTGGAGAGCTGATAACGTCACAGTGAATAGCATCCCCTCGAACGCTTTACGGCTGCGATACCTCTTCCTTACATCCATTCCCCTGTCGAATATCGTACCGAACGAGCATTTTTATTATTTCCAAAGATGCCAGCATCGAACAAGGGTTCCGTCTCTTCTACGACCGCTACATCCGTCGGGAAACCCATCAAGCAGCCATGCTGGTGTGGCGACGAATGCTCGTGCTGCATCATTCCATGCACTGTCATGTAGAAGAACAGCTTAAGGGAAAAGAATGATATTCAGGGGGGGAGCGGGGACCGCGAGGATGACGAAGCCAACGACGAGAGACAAGACGGAAACAACGAGAGAGGCCGTACAGGAGACACCAAAGTCGGAAAGCAGTTGGGTGAACATTCTGGAGTACAACTGCAGTGGAATACCGTAAAATTTTGGACACAGAAACTATTGTGATTTTGAGACATTACGCCACCAAATCGCTGCGCGTTATCCTTTACTCTTTGTCCTGCTTTTTGAATCGCTAGCCATCACATTGTCACCTCTCTTACAACGCTCCTTACATCGCAGGAGGACTTCAATGTCAAAGCCTATACGTTTATCAATACATGTTTATCGTGCGCTTGGTAGTACACCTAACATCCTTTTGCGGAATCAGCTTCCTTTTGCGTCTATTGCGCATTGCCTCTGGCATGAACACCTCGCTTTAGATAGCTGGGATTAAAGCTAGTGTCATGCATACACTCTTCCCATGATGTTGAAAGCTGTACTCAGTCCGTTGGGTAGGTAGCTTGGGAGGCGGGAGGGTGTCTGACTGGCTTGACAAAGGAGGACCAAAAACCCCGAAGCTCGAGTACATGTTGCAGTTGCGAGATGGGACGAGCGATTCGCAGACAAATACCTCTACTCTGTAAGTGAATAAAGAGTTGGTGGTCAGAGAAGGGGTGGAAACCAAGCGCTTATACGAAACGCAGCGAACCGCCGAGTGCGGCACAGCAAAACAACGTACGTGGATCGACGTGCATCACGGACATAAATGGAGATCTGTTTCCCAGCATCAGGATGCTTCCTGCCTCTCTTTCATGTTCTTTTCTATGAGTAAGGATTTTTCGTGTCTTTTTCTCGATTTCCAAGTCCCGTCGGCCTGGATTTGTTTGATGCAGAACACGGTTCACGAGACATGTTATCTTCTGCCTTGACCTTCTGTCACATAATACTTCTTTCTCTCATTCTACCCCAAATTCAAGCGCGCCCTCTTTCTTCTCTCCAGAATCCTTCTCCAGAATCATCTCCCTTACCACATGTATCTCGATCCCCAACCTGTGGTTTCGAAGGCAATCCCGATGTCTACGGTCCCGGAATCCGCGTCGGTATCTGTTCGTTCCCTCTTCCACCACTCCGTCTACACGCCTTGTTAATCTACGCCAGACTGCCAAACAACAGCCGTCTGGGTAACGAAATACTTCCTCATCTCCCAGGCCCATGTCCTGCGCGACTCCATCACCGTCTTCTCCATCTCCCTCCTCGCCGTTTCTCTCGTCTTCGCAGTTAATGCATCTACCACCTACGTGGTAGAACTCTTCATCGTCCTACAGATCTTGAGCTGGAATTGCCTCACGGGTGTACGCGCGAGGAGCGCTTTCTGCATCACCGCGTTCCGGAATAGAGCTGTGAGGGTGGGGTTTACGGAGATGTTTAATGTGGCGGCTTTGGTGCTGCATGCGTGGTTTTGGTTTGTGGGGATTAAGAGGATGAAGAAAGAAGAGGAGGGATGTGGGGTTAGTGTTTTCTTTTTTGCGGAGGTGGATATGGAGGGCTGGTTTCGAGGAATGATGAAGGGGATGACGGTTTTGGGATTGGTGGGACATCTGTATGATTTGTTGTGTAGGATTATGGGGTGGTTTAGTTTTGGGACTAGTGGAAAGATTGAAGAGGAGGTGCGGGAAGAAGTGATGCGGTATGGAGAGTGGAAGAAAGAGCAACATGGCACAGCGGAAAATATGGCAGAGATGGAGAAGATAATGACTCGGCATGGACATCAGGCAGAGAGACGCGAAAACGGGACCCAGGTTGTGAGAACAGCCAGCTTCCCCTCCGAATCGTGTACTTCATCCGAAAATCATGGTAGCTCATATGGCTTTCTTGGAGTCCACAGCAACCGCTTATCAAAATCCACTATAGAGAATAGCGACTACCCCGATGACGAAAGCATCTCGCAAAATGGCAATAGGATCCAAATTCAGCCATCGGAAACGGCAAGCCTGGGAGACTCAAGGCCTTCTCTACTCGAAACCTCTACAAGTATTCCAGAGAACCTAAAACGACCCGCCCAACCTTTTCCCTGTCCGCTATTCGAACAAATATATCAAGGCGAAGTCTTCCTCAAACATTGCATCGCCGTTGCTCCACCCACCCAATTTCAGTCCCACTATCCTAGAACATACAAGATGTTTCTTTTCCTTGTCTCGGTCCCTCGACCTCTCATCAATGCCAACCCCATCGCAAACAGCACTCATTCCAGCAGCTCAAATCCACCCTCTTACACCACCTGTCTAACAACAATCCTTAAATCCCTCTTAACCCTCTCCTTCCCCCGGCGCGCCGCAATCCTCTCAACCCACGTTTTCCGCTCCGGCAGCCTCGACCCTTTGAACGCACCTTACCAATTCCACGCCGCTCTCTCCTACCCCTCTCCTCCCTCTCCTGACATCCTCATACTCGCATCACAAACTCAGCGTGCGAAACTCCCTCCCTTAAAATCCCAAGTCAAATGGACGCAGTGCGTCATAGACGCGACAATCCACATCTTCATGATTATCCAGATCGAACTTACGATTGTGTGGAATGGGGTTTGGGGGCTTGCTGGGTTAGGGAATGTGGGGCAGTTGATTCCTTTTGTGATTGGGGTGGGGGGGTTGGGGATGGTTTTGGGGAGGGGGGTTGAGTGGTGGTGGGAGATTTATGTACTTGGGCGCAAAGGAGGGAAGGAGGAAGGAAGGAGGAAGACGGAAGAGGTGGAGAGTGAAACGTGGACTAATGTTTATGAGGAGTGGAAAGGGGAGCGTGGGAAAGATGTTTAGTTAGGTGCATGTGTGCCATTTAGCATCGAAGTATGTATGTCCCTGTACTAGGATTATGAATTAGGATGTGTGAAGATAGATTTATATGCATAGTAGACCTCTCCAAGATCTCCTTGTATCTGTGAAGTCTAAGTACCTCGTGTGATCTTCGCTTTTCTGTGAATTCATTGTACGCTAATAAAGACAAAGGCAGGGTTAGATCTAGGGAGCAAAAGCCCTCCGCAGAACATCAAGCCCGATCTCATTATATTGGAAGATGACTAGAGTGGACGAATTTGAACACAGAGAAGATAAATCTGCCAATATATGCGCTGCGCCTCACCAAGACGAACCATCTTCATGCTTCCCAGTATTCCATCCCCCTACACCGATTTTCGTCTCCCTCGCTCTATTGGAGCAACCCCAATGACACGAATTGGCATCGAAAAAGACTAGTGGAAATGGGGGTGTCACGCTTCGTGTGGCATGAGCACCAGGTCAAACTTTTCGCCCGATTTCCGACAGGGAGAACACGCAGCTCGCAACTCTCAAAGTACGAGCAACAGGCAGGGGAGGAAAAAGGATCTTCAGCCGGACGAATACGTATACTCTTCGTTAAAGCTATTTGAATGTCTTCTACTCTAGCATTGCAACATGTAAACCGATGGGCTCTACAATGGGCTGCCCAATCAACCATGAGTTTGGCATTCCAACATAGTCCACAATACACCACTCCTCTCATAACTCATGCCTCCTGCTAGGCTATAGCCACAATAAATCTCCCCGATGCCCGCATCAGCAAAAGTATCAATGACACTGCATGGAAGTGACTATATTTGATGGTCACGCATCCATTTGCATCCTCTTAGCTCTCCTACTGCAAAACACTTTTTATTTATTTGAATATTTCTCCTAAACTAATTGGAAGTATTATCACTCTATTTATACCCTTAGCTCTTCAACCCTATCTCTCTACCATGACTACCCCTCTCCCCTTACACGTCAAAACCGTCCTCATAACTGACTGCAGCAACGCCGGCATCGGCTCCTCCCTCGCCCAATCCTTCGCCTCAAACCCTAACCTTCACGTCTACGCCACCTCCCGCAGCCTCTCCACCATGACCCATCTCGCCGACCTCAAGCTCCCGAACGTGACTCTCCTTCAACTAGACGTCACATCTGCCCTCAGCATCGCTTCCGCTAGATCCGCCGTCCGCGAGAGATCCGACTACAAGCTAGATTACCTAGTTAATAGCGCTGGTTGCGGATACACAATGCCATATCTGGATTCCGACACCGATATCTGCCGGCACCTATTCGATGTAAATGTCTGGGGACCTATGCAAGTTACTCAAGCCTTGATGCCGATGTTAGTGAAATCGTAGGGAACGATTGTGATGATAGAGAGTACGGCGGAATTGTTAGGTGTCCCGTTTGCAGGCGCGTATTGTGGAAGTAAAGCAGCATTGAGGATGACGAGTGAGAGTTTGAGGGCGGAGGTGGGGTCGTTGGGGGTCAGGGTCTTATCTGTTACTCCTGGATTTGTGGGCTCTAATTGGTAGGTGTGGTTGTTTTCAGCTTTTGCATTGCGCTTCTAATCTGGCCTTGGGCGGTGTGGGAAGGCCGACTCGTGACTAAGGTTCAACAATGTCCCAAACTTCAAACTCTCGGACGAGTCGCTTTATAAACCTATTGCAAAGCAAATCGAAACTAGGGTAAAAGGGTTGAACAATTCCAAGAACATGGATGCGAGAGTGTATGCAGATCGCGTTGTGAGAGATATTTTGGCTGGGAAGCAAGGAAGAGTGTATAGTGGAGAGAAGGCGACTTTGGTGGCTTTTGTATTGGCGTGGCTGCCGCAGTGGATAGTGGTGAGTATACATCTTCTGGAGACTAGAGTTTGGGTAGGTTGGTGGTAAAAGAGTGAGCTGATTTGCTTTTAGGATCGAATTGCAATTAGATAGACGGGCTTGGACGTTCTAGGAGGACAGAGTGGTAAATAGGGCCGGCGTAATGCACCCTCATGTCCACCATTATTTTTCCCTGTCGATTCATTGGAGTGATTTCAGCAACAGCAACGCCAACCTCCATGGATGCCCATGCGTGCGAATAAAGTTTCCAGCCACGTGGGTATGGGTCCGTCCGTGGCTTGTCCCAACCACCTATCACATATTAGCCAAGTGGGACGTAATCTCTCAAAAAAAGACAATTCGTGTCTGGATGCTGCTGTCATGCTCATGAAGAAACGCTCCTTAAATCCCAAACCCCTTACTGAAATCTCAAAGCAAACCCTTTTTCACGAATGGGGTATATTTTCACATCCCAATGCTTCGCTCGCAATGCCTACGAAACCCCCGCCCAGCCTAGCGGTTCGGAACGAACCATAAACCCCCTTCCCTAAATTTAGTCGACCGCATCTAACGGTTTCTGCGCGTATATGATGTACCAATTATGCTGGATCCGCATTTTCGGATTTTTGAATGCTGGGCGAAGTTTCGCGCAGAGCACTTTGACTTCTTCGGGAGACCAACCCCAGGCGTTGGTGTATATACGGAGTGTCATTCCTTCGAGGTTGTCAAGAAATTGGATGAGGTTGAAGGCGCCGACTTCTTTCTGTTCAAGAGGTTAGGTTGAAGTACTCGGATGGAGGAGGGAGAATTGCGGACCAGCATTTTATCCTTTGGCCAGGTGCCTATTGGGAATGGGAGCGTTTTGGATTGGATATTAACGAAGCCAGCATCTTTTACCCAGCCTTCGATCTTTGGCCTAACTACTAATCAGCGAAATGAATTGTTAGGCGGTGGGGTATGTGTTTATCATACCCTGGATCGGGCTCTACGCCAAACTTCTTCAGCCCTTCTCTGATCTTGGACGCCCACTCCTCGACGAGGTTCCCGGGCTTATAATCGCCGTTGCTAGAGGTGTAGAACATGGTATCGAAATCCTGGAACTCGACCCAGCCGCCCGGTTTGGTGAATCTGGGCAACGTCAACGAACTTGATGTTTTCCAAACTCGCAAAGGATGAGATTAACTCACTTGTAGGCCTGTTGCATCATCTTTGGCCTAGCATGTATTAGCCAACGTTGGTAATTTGGGAGTTGAAAAAGTACCAATCTCTTATGGAACACGCAAGATATCGACTGTGTATAAAGTCAAACTTGGACGAGTAAACCCATTCATCTTCCAAGTCATCGACTTCAAATTTGACATTCGGTGGTACTAGAGAGGGTTGGATGGGGCTGATATCGTTGCCTAATATCTCTGCGGACGGGTACTACAGGTTGTGAGCGTTATTGGATGTAGGGAGTGTACGAGGATTTACTTTGTCTCCTAGACGAGGCGTCAGTAGGGGATATAAAATACAGAGAGGTGAATTCACGTACCCATGTCGATTGCCCAGATCCCTGTACCTGTTCCAATATCGAGGATTCTCTGGGGATGGTCCCCTATTGGGGCAAGGTGGAGTTCACCGCCGAGTCGTAAGGATTGAATGTGGTGGTAGAGGTCGAGTCGGTCATTTTCTTCCTTCACAGGGGTTAACGGACTGGAAGACTAGGCCCAATTAGCAATTAGGGGTCCTACGTCGTCGTTTGGGAAGAAGTATTTGGCGCCTTCGTCCTTGAAGCCGTGGTACCGTCTCCCATTCTCAAAGCGATAGCTATTTGATCAGGATCTAACCTCCTGCCACGGACATTGCGTGGGACTCACTTCAAAACCGTAGACTTCAGCGATGTGGTATAACTTTCTCTGCGCAAGAGTTAGACGAACATATAGCTAGGAGTTATCATTAGACAAACTCACAAATCATCCCCATATGCAGAATCCGAGTCGGAGGCCTGTAGTCGAGCGTTAGTCCAGCTGTAAGAGCCGTTCTCAATCGGGCATTGCACCTCAACCGACTCGGCTTCGATGCCGACATTCGGGACCTCCATTTGCGGCTGCTCCTCAGCCGGTGGTGCGGCGCTCGAGGAAGCCATTTCAAGGCCTTCGCAGGGTCAAAAAGGTATGTGACAGAGGTGGAGTTGCAGTGGGATGTCGCCAGTAAGGTCGAATTCCGTCAGCACGCGTGGGTTTGGGTAAGGAAGAGTTCAAATAGGCGCGGGGGCCCAGATTTACCGTGCGCACGCAGGTGTCACGGTACGGCCTGCTGCGCTGTTCAGTGATTCTCGAGCACTGGGGTTCAGGGCAACAGGGGGGGAAGCCCCAAGCTCCATAAGCGTTTGGCGACATAGGCTCACTCGGTCAGCCATCCTGAAGCGGGAGCATCGCGCGCCTGTCAGCCCGTCAAGGAGCGGCCCACGCACTCCAGGACACCATCGTCGAATGACAGCGCACCGCATATCAGGTCCGCGGCCACTAGCATTGAGACCGGTCCAAGCGGAGAGCGAGCCGTCTGACGATTCTAACCGAGCGACTGACTGGGGGCGGCGGCTGGCGAAGAGACCGCCTGCTTCCCCACCGTTTTCTTATATCAACCCTCTGTTAACGCGAAGGGAACAAGGAGATGGTGTGGTCTATTTTTACCCCTTCTCTCGAACTTGAACTCAACTTTTACCATGTCAAACGCTATTCAAAGCTCGTCCTGTCGTCGAACTGTTTTCTCGTGCGAGACAATTCCCTTCGACTCCCCTAAACCCCTCATTAGCAATTTCCAAGAAGCACCGAGCGGACGGTGAGGCAATACAGTACATACATAACCTCTCACGCTCTTATTAGTTTGCTGTGCCGCATGCAAATCCATATACTTCTCCATCCACTTCTCACACAACAGTAAAACCTAACGCAAGTTTGTCACACTACTTTGCGACTAACCAACCAACCAACCGATGGTAACCACTCCTCTTCAGCCAACACTCACGAACAATCACCTTCGACCTGCACTCTGCAACTAAGCAGCCCCCTTGACTTGATATGAACAGGTCCTTCGGTCAGCGAGCCAAGCATTGCATCCACATCTGCCGTGTGGAGCAACATTCACGTCGCGCAAGTCGCTTGACCTTGTTAACATGTGTGGCCCCACGTTTTCCCGGCCACCTGCGTTCACACACCATCGTAATCGGGTGTTCGATTCGTCCTCACTAGTGTTAGCATTGCACAGCAGACGGCTCAAATACGAGATGTATGCGAAAACGACCAGAGCGCGCCCATCTGGTTGTGCACTTGCTGCTTGCGACTGGCTTCCCGAATTCTGCCTCATCATGTATCATCATGTATCGATGAACTATCGGGGACGGCATTACCTCAGACTGCGCGAGTTTGCGGCAGACGAGTTCACCGTTCAGGAACAAACTTTCCACCCATCAGCCTCTCCCGTCCATCGTTCGTTCATCATGTGCATACCTCCACCAATCCACTCCCTTTCTCACCTTCCCGGGCCTGGCTAAGACTACTTGTTCAGGAAGTCGGTCACCATCCCGACCTCACCGCCTCATGCATCGATCGATCTTGAAACTCACCCGCGGGTATCGCTGAAGAGATTACATCTCGTGCATGATTGTTGCGTCTCTGGAACGAATTCGCATCACCACCTGCAAGAGAACCTCCTGAAAACCCGTGTCACTATGGCGGAAACGCCACAATATTTTCTCTTGGCAAATTCATCGTTGCACGGCATGCAACTAAAAATCCTCAAGATTCTTGATTTTCTGGCCGATGTTGATTGTTCAACAGCTACCACTTTCCATTCATTCCTGTTTTGTCTTCACACCTTCAATATGTCTGCCAAGCTTATGAACCAATCACTTCCATCTCACCATTCCTTTTCTACCCGGGAGGACCTCTCTCCCTGATACGCATAATCCATGCAGTACAATTCAGTGATGGATGTTTGATTTTAGATCAAAGCCATGCTAACCTACCCCCCCATTCCGTATTAACAACCCAATCTCCTTGTCAGCATAATTTCTCCCAAATACCACGTTCAGGCAAACCCTTCGCTATAACTTCTCTATTCACCTTCTAGGAGTGAACATAGGATCCATTCGCTTATCGACAGATTGCCTACTCAGTAAGCAAACAACTCAGTCAACGCCTTTGCATTAGACATTTAGTTAGTATTGAATGACCCAGAAGCCTAACTAGAAAACGATCTTATCTTTAAGTAAATAACTTGTAAGTTATCGGCACACTACCAACAAAGCCGACATTACAACCCAGAACCCCATTCACCTCACATGGCTTTTCAACATCTCAATTTTAATCTCGATCTCATTCATAAACATCAAACTTTTATCCCACCGCCAAGCGTCGCAACCCAAAAAATAAACGAGAAACTCAACCCAAGACCAATGACCTTGAGTCTCTCTCCTTTGCTATTCCACTTCGATGATTGCAGCGCAAACTTATGCACAGAACCATCCTATCTCATCTCTTGTGATACAGAGATAAGATCAGCAATCTCCTACGAATAGAAAAAAAAAATGCGATGAGAGATTTACAATCCCACCCTTCTCGCCAGCAAATGAGAACAGAGTAGAGGAAGGTGTGAAAAGCGCAAATGACCGCAAAATCTGCAATAGAAATGAAGGAAAAGCAAAGGAAAAGCCGTAAGCCCGAAGCCATATTTCAGACCCCGATCATCCATCATAAGATTCCACGCCTTTCCCCCCAGCTGCCCACCGCCTCACCGCACCATCATCTCCATCTCCTTCTTATCCTCTTCCAACTCTCCCTACTTCCTTCCCCCCACACCCGCACCCCTCCCCACAACCTCCAATATCAACCGTCTCGCCTCCTCAACCCCCTCCCTAGTCCCCACAATCTCGATCGCCTCATCCTTTGCCTGGTCCCTTGGCACCTGCACTCTCGTCCCCGTCTTCTTCCTAATCCCATTAATGGTATTACCACCACTCCCCACAACTAACCTATAACTCCTCGGATCCGGTAAAATCAGATACCCAGTCGAAGAAGGCTTTGAATTCGCTTCAATAGCCGACTCAACCGCTTGGCGCGCACGCGGGAGATTGTCGGCAGGGCCACGGAGGATCCATGGAATTGTGGCGGGAGAGGAGCTGGGGTGGTTGGGGTTATTGTCGACAATTTCCCAGGAATATTTTTCTTCGGCGCCAGAGGCTGTGTCGTCGTCTGTAATGAGAGGAAGGGTGTTACCATTAGCGCCTTTGCGCGCCTTTCCGCCTTCCGCAGGAGACGGTCGCGGTGGAACCTGTTGACCTCCGTGATCGACAGTGACTTTGTGCTCGTTCCGTAGACGACGGAAGAACTGGCCATTATCGGAGATGGAATGATGAAGATGGAGTGGAACCTGGATTGTCTCGCCTTCCTGGCCCTTGACGAGGTCGAGAATGTGCTGTTTCGCGTTCTCCACTTGAGCGGGCTCACCAGTGATCTTGACCTGGTTGCGTGCAGCACCAGTGGTGCCCTGTTTGGGAATATCCAGCTGGACGCCGAATTGACTCTCGAGGTTTCGGCGCGCCTCGCCACCTCGACCGATTAGGATGCGGTGTTTGTCTGGAGAGACATCGATAGTCTCGGTGATCTGACTATCGAGCGAAGCGGCCTGAGCCTGGATCGAAGCCACAATCTTCTCGACGACAGCCTTCGGTCCTTCGACACGAATTGTGGAATCGTCAGAATCAGCACGAGGGAAGCGGACCATGCGGGCAAGGTCACGAGCGTTATCGGGACCACCAGCAGATGTGACAATCGTGCGTATGTTAGAGCCTAAGTGATGTAAGCAATTTGTTACATAAAATCAGGGAGAAGACCTAAATATATATATGTAAAGGTAAAATAAAAAAAATAAAAAAAGGGATTGCTTACCACTACCACCGATCAGCGTCCTATGATGCTTCCTGTCTACATCGATAATTTTAACGACTGTATCATCAAACACCTTCGCGCGCTCTTGGAGGAGCTTCTTAGCTTCCTCCACCTGCTTCTTAGTTCCCCTAAGCCTTATCTCCGCTCGACCTGATGGGTCAGCACCTTCGCGAGCGCCAGGAACGTCAATCTGACAGCCAGTAGCAAGTCGGAGATTCTCCATCTCCCTCCCACCAGATCCGATCAGGGATGGAACTTGACTCTGCGCAACAGACACAGTATCCGAGTACGAGTTGTCAATGGTCCACTGGAGAAGATTCAGGAGCTCGTCACGGGCTTCGTCGGCACCTTTACGTGGACCTCGGATGACGACTTCGTCGGGACCTTGGGAACGGAAGTTCTTCTGAGAAGCCCCGCCCTCGGTCGCAGCATCATCATCATTGGCATGATTGGTGGTGCGAGGGAAATTGATGCGGACATTGTACCGGTCTTGGAGGCGATTGACCTGGCTGCCTTTGGCACCAATCAAGTCACGGTGATACTGAGACTTGATCTTCAACGTATGGGTAGCCTCATCCTCCAGTCTCTTTGCCAAAGCCATGATATGTGTCTTGCAAGCGTTGGCCTTTGCCTGCGGGCCTTTGAGCTCAACCTTCCCGTCATTGACTTGAATGTCGACATCAAACTCGTCACGTAGCTTTCGGATATTCTCACCGCGCTTCCCGATAAGGAAGTTGGCAAATTTTTGCGGGAAGTCGAAAGTCATTGTGAACCCACGCTCCAGCTCGTCCTTCTCTTCTTGCTCAACGAAAGCAAGGATCTTTGCAGTCAGATCATCGACAGCGTTTGAAGGACCACGCAGAGCAAGGCTAGTGTTAGAATGCCTCCGCGCCTGAGGTCGTCTGTCGCCGAAAAGAACCTGGACTGGAATTACGTCCCGGGGAAGAGAGGATTGTTCTCGATCTACATATCGGCGAATCTTGTCGTGGAACTTCGGTGGTGCTTCCAATTCACTCGAGACAATGTTTTGCTGGGCGGTCGTAATGCTCTGGATGAACTGTTGAGCCTGTTGAAGTGCTTGCTTGTACGCCTGTACCTCGGCGGGCGGTGGGGGGCCACGAGGGATAATATAATCTGCCGAAGGAGTGGTGCCTTCATATACAAGGATAAGCTCAGGAGACTCATCGTCGGAGTCAGAAGGGAAAACAACATGAACACCCGTGTCGTCACGAATGTGTTGGGCATTCCGCTGCTGTAGGAACTGATGATAGAAAGGATCGACGTCAACGGTGGAAAATCTGCTTGGGGGGTGGCCTGCAAAGACACTCTGGATGTCTCCACGTGCCTTCATTGTGTTCTTACCGTTCCTAGCGTAGATTTCCCAAGCTGTTGGACCATCGCGGTCCGTGGGTACTACAATGCTCGCCTCGTGCATGCGCTCCAGTTCTGCTAGAGCTTGGCGTTGTCGAAGATAGCGAGTTAAGTTGCGAGCATGGGTTTGGGCGTGTGCGCCACGATGTTCGCGAGCACAGTCAACCATGGCCATCTGCATGCTAGCTGCCAGATCCTCCAGCTTGTTCACACCATTCTCGATCTTATCCGGAGGGCCCACGACATAGATGGTTTCGCTATCGTCAGTGCTTGGAGGAATGATGATAGAACAGCCGGTCTCTTCCAGGAAGTCATGTAGGGAACCTCCGCGATCACCGACGATGAACTGATGTCGGCCACGTTCGATAGAGCGCTGTTCGATAGCCAATTGCCGGCGGAGCTGCTCCACCTGACGCTCCAGCTGTGCCTGCACCTCCTGGGCGGCAGTTCGGTCTCCTGAGATTTGAATGGGGAACTTTGCCTGAGGAACGAAGGGAATTGGTTGGTTGCGTGGGACCTGGGGAGGGGCTTGAGTATCCCAGGTCGTGTAGTGCGGAATCTGGACACGAACATCCCGGCCTTGCTCCAGGTTGTTGATAAGGGCATTGTGAGGGCCGGCAAGGAAAGGGTAGTATTCAGCAGGGATGTCTTTCAATCGCATATTGACGGTGGAGGTGCGCTCGTTGACAATTGCTTCAATCTCCCGGCGGGCCATCTCGGCGGTGAGCGCATTCCCCTCGATGTGTACATCGACCATAGAGTCCTCATCCTCTGCAATTTCCTGCTTTGGAATGTTGACACGGGCTCCAGTTCGTTTGATGATCTCCTGGATTTTAGAGCCTTGACGACCGATGATGAAGGCGCGGACAGAGGCAGGCACCGAGACCTTAATGGATTGCTATGCCACGTCAGCCCACAGCCCTCCGGAAACGCAGAGCACCAGCAGGTGGATTGGGGGGGAGGGTGAGGGCATACCTTCGAACCAAGTTCGTTTGCAATATCCTTGAGAGACTGGCGAACAGCATCAACCGGTCCAGTTGCCTCAAAAATAACAAGTCCGCCAGGGCCCGACTTTTGTTCCAGCCTTGCCTTAGACCGCTTGTTGATATCACGAATGATATCGCCGAGGGGCTTCTTGAGTTGCTGACGCGGGATGAGCTGCGACGGGTGGAATGAGATCTGTTCCTTGTGCTTTCCGGGAAGGGACATGGACGGGAGCGCAGGGCCGCGGCCTACGGGCAGAGACACAGGGGTGCCCATGCCGGAGGCCGGGGTGGAGGCACGGGAGGTGGCATTGCTCTGTCCGTTGGTAGAACCATTGAGTCCATTCGAGGTGAGTGACGCAGGCTTCTTGCCCCAGGCTGGCGGCACAGAAGCCTGGGGGCGGGGTTTGACGGGTCCCAAGGCCGGGAAGAGCTCCTCGGAGGCTGTGTTCAATGGGACATTGGCAGAGGCCTTCTTAGCCGGAGCAGCCGCGTCGCCAGCCTTTTGCTTGCCAGCTGCCTTGTCACTAGGCATAGTAGCAGGAGCTGCACCATCAGCTGCATCGGCCTTGAGAGGAGCCGACGGGGGGGGATGGGCAATATCCTCCTCATCGACAATGTCCTCAACCGTGGCATGGTGGTCGTGCTGTTCCATGAGCATTTGAGCCGGGGTCAGGCCCTCGGGGGCGGAGGAACCGCCAGTAGCAATCTCTGGTGCCATTGTAAGAATTATCCGTTCGAGTTGACCAAAGGGTGGTTCGCGGAGACAGTCGGGGGAAGGGGGGCTAGCGAAGAAGCAGCGCCACGACGGAGGTGGGTAGTAGAGCTGGGGGTGCGAGGGTAATTAAGGGGTCTAGGAGAGACGGTCAGTCGATGAGATGTTCGTGCAGGGAAAGCTGGTGAGAGTCGAGAATTAGGCGTCATGAGGAGCGTTTGGAGCTTACAAAGTTTTGCTGGGGATGCTCGAGCAGTGCCAGGAAAAGAAACGCGGACTCGGAATCAATGTGATTAGGCAAAGAGCATGATGCAGCGAGCAAGGTATCAATGCTAGGGTGATGCAAATGCACTGCTTTGCAGCTCACAGTCTAGAGGCAAGGCAATGGCGGATAGTCGTGAAGGTGATGGCGAAGTCGATGGTCATCTTGAAATGCTAGAAGTGGCTCCAATTTCGAGCGTCGCCAAGACTCACGTGGGAACGGGTATCCGCTTACGTACCACGGCTAGTTGCTTTTACCCTGGTCGTACATTCATCTGGCTATCATCCCGAACGAAGCACAATGTCATCAGAGAAGCAATTCAATTCAAAATCCATTTGTCACAGTTCCCAGCTATAGCTCCAGCGAGCAGAAAAAATTGAAGAAAGAGTGGGATATAAGGGCACTTCGTAAAGACGCCAGCTGTCCCCAGAGACCGGCTAGTAAAAGGCAAGCCCGGCGAAAAAGTAACCATACTCCGAAAAGGGCAAGAATCCAAAAATGTTGCAAACAAGAAAATAATCCCCCTTCCTATACCCCCATCGTCCCTCGTTCCAATCTCAACTCCCCTCTCCCCAATCTCATCATCCCTCTCCCCATCTAGCCCCCCCTCCTTGGCCTCATCTCATACTGAACGTATCCCGCCGGCTTAATACCCGCTGGGTCAAGAAAATGCCCCGCTGTGGCCACCGAATACCCAGTGCCCTCAGGAATACAATAAGTATCCCCCAATTTCCCCTCCGTCGCCATTGTTTTAAACTGCTTCGTACATTGATCATGTGAGATCCAAGTGGGCGCCTCTTTAATCCCCGCCCTCACCACGCTGATCTTGAACACCCAGTGGATGGGGGCACCATTGTCGAATGCGGGCAGCGAGACCGTGCCGACGAGGGGCTTGTTGACGCTGACTTCGACGCCCTCGGGGGCTGTGATGAAGCCGTCGCAGAAGGAAGCAACGCCCATGAGGTAGGATGCAATGGTTGGCCCGTGCAGTTCGGTTTTGGAACAGGCCCCTGGCTCTTTTCGTGGGGACAGTGTGTTTTCAGAGACGGGTAGGCCTAGGGTTGTGGTAGCACTGAGGCTGAGGAGGGTAATAAGCTTTTTGAACATCATAGTCGGTAGATGTGAAGTCAAGGTTCAATAGTAGATTTTTTGTACAGCTGATTTGCTTCTTTTATGGTTCTTTCGTTCCAATGTCGAAGGCGTAGGTTGTTTCTTGTTTGTCGAAGTAGTCAAGTGGTAGATTTATATATACTTGGTAGCAGGGATGAATAATATGTGGCCGACGCTTATTCTGCCTTGGTGCTAAATATTCTGAATAGCATTTCATTATTGATATAAAGATGAGGGTCGTTGATGACGAGTGCTTAGGCTTCCAAACAAAGACCTTTCCCAAGGACTGCAAATACAGGTCGCCTATTGACAAGGGTATTATGAAAGGGACTCTACTCTGGAGACAAAGAACCCGGGGCCAGGTGCATCCAGACCGCAGCCTCACGGCGGCAAATCCAGGGCCCTGTGAACAGGTGAATAAAGTAAGGTGAAAGAATAGTGAACTTATCAGCTAACATGGAACAAGTACAAGTCGCGAGCAGAATCGGTTTTCCGGTTTTTGCACTCCGATTTGTTCACACCGCACCGTCTTTTCGACAAGGGTCTTTCTGACTTCGTGTTAGCGTGCGCTGGAGGGAGCATGTGGAGCCTTCCTATGGCGCGTACACGTTAGAGTGCGATCACTGTGGCTCCCCATTACCATCTACTTGCGGCCGCTTGCATATAAAACGATCGACCCAGATATAGGTGCCGTTGAGAGTGATTTTAGGGCTCAATATCGCTAAGAGTCAGATAGGAACTACTTCTTAAAAAGCAGTAGATTTTTGGCTACCCATGTTTTGTGTAGAACCCATCTTCGTGATAGAGCAATTAAAGGCACTAATGCATTAGTCTAGTTTAAATCTTCGGCGTCCTCCAACCTTTCTCGTCCCCTCATCATTTTTGTCAATCTATTGAAGATATTTGAGCCTATATCTGGGGCAATATTATCCAGCTTGACATGAGGGATTTCTGTCGATAATGGTTCTTTCCTGATGCCGCCATATACGCCAAGTTGAAAGCACTACAATGGTCAAAGGCATACTAATTACCCAGTATATCCAAAAACGTCTAGAGACAACCTTAGTTCCTTCATTTGGATTTGATGATTGCGCTTTAACATCAGCCTGCCAATCAAACATTGACATACTGAACAGGGTCTTTTTGGTAAACAAATTCATTAGCGACCAATTTTTATTTTTATTTTTATTTTATTTTTTGGCCAAGATGAACTATACGTACTGCTATGAAAGTTGGAGGTAAGAAGAGAGTGGTAACGAAAGCAAGCGCTTTCATTGCAACACTATCAAGCCCCGTGGTTGCCGCAACATCCGAAGTGGAAGCTCTAAAGCTAGATCACGAGAAGGGCGTTAGAGAGGTATATGCTGATACGGTCCTATCCACCGTTCGACTACACTCATGGCTGACCACTCTCGCCTATGTCACACACCCTGAAAAGTATTACGGAAACGATGAAATTAGATCATGGACACCGCTGTGGGACGAACAATAGTGTGAAATGCCTATAGGAGGATGTCTAGATTGAGGCATAGAGGTGAGTTGGTTGAGCTCTTCCTACTGCTCGATAGTTGAAGTGATACATTAGGGCGTGCAGCCGTTTAATAACCACCCTTCTGAAGCCAACCTACTTTTCACCCAGACTCATCGCCGACTTGTTCCTCCCTAACTTATCCCAAATACCAGATCCTCCAGAACAACTGCTTGCGAATCGCTGAAAGCGACGGCGATAGCGACGCTTCAGCGGAATCGACTGGAAGCATAAAAACTCCGGCAACTGCAAGTACGCGTTTCAAAAGATGTTGCTCAAGAGACGCAATTCAGCCTAATTGCAGCTTTTGTATCGTTGACTGACTGGTTGCAGTGGACCACCACGCATTCTGCTTCACGACCTCGCGCATACAGGCTATGATCGCAAATACCATGGCAACGAGCTTTGTCAGATTGAGGATGAAGGCTCGTACCGTGGCAAGGACCTCTGTGAAGGGGAACACTCAGGCTGGAGAAGCAAGGAAGGAGGATAGGAAAGCGAATGTTAAGGAACTGAGGGAATTCCTCAAGAACGTGAAGGAGAGTCTAGACTTACAGGTCGTGCATACTTTAGCAGCTATGCTCTTTCTCTCTATATATTAATTACTTCTTGTTTTATAACCGTGTCTCTTTCTGTCTATAGCTAACATACTCTACAAGCGAGGGAGCCACATAAGCAAGTCAGTATTACGATCTAGGAATCAGGCGCGGGGCAGGTAGTGCAGTAAATCACGTGAAGCGCAATTGAACACTTGATTGAGCTTAAATCAAATGCAAAGTCTAACATAAGCAACGTTTCATTGTGGAACATAAGTACAATAGCAAGCTTATCAACGTCGTTCAAAAATTCTTGATTCAAACAGTCAAGACATAGGTAGGAATAGGTAGCGCACTTTTTTGCGTTACAGAATCCCTCTGCTAGAAGAATCTACTTTGGATATATGTTGAGGAGGCTCGACAAGGCCTTGTAAAGCACTACCATATCCATGTCAAGGTATTATCATCAGAGGCCTACAGCTAGAAGAGTTACAGCGCGAGAGGTGGAACCAATGACTTCGGTAAGGTCACAAGCCACATGCTGTGGTGGTGTTTGCAGTTACGGAGCTCGCCTCGCTCCATCATCTGCTTGTATTCACGAACTACCGCCGCCTATGATCTTCATATGCTCCCTGTGATCGTCGTGTGATACCTACTTGGCATCATATGTAGATCCGTAGATACCACCCTTTAGCAATCACCTCGGTTCCTCATAATCTCTGCGCTCCTCGAAGGCCTCACAGGTGGTGAACCCAAATCCAAAATCAATTCCTGAACATGTTGACGCTAACAAATGAGAGAGATCTACTCTTCTGGCGTCCAAGGCTCAAAGTAGTTTCGCGAAACTAATCCTTGGCCGAATTTATCGTCATCCCAGTATTCCTTCAATGCTTCGCCATGCTCTTGACGACCAATTTGCTGGAAGAGACCATGGATCTCTGGATTTGGGCGCCATTCCCCGACTTTCCACCATATCTGGCGAGCATCGCACTTGACTTCTCCAGGATTTGTGGCAAATGCCGCTCCTCCAGGAATATAGTATGCCAATCCCCATGCAAGGTAGTCTGGACAGAATTCCTTGGGAGGCATAAAGTAGTCGAACGCTTCACGTTCGTCATCCTCGCCGCCATCCACATCCCACTTAAGGGGTGACCATAATATAGCCTGTCTCAAATCTGGCATGTTCGCTGCGGCTTTGGCGAAACTCGCAAGGAATGGTCCCAATACATGGTCATTTGGCGATATGCGGAACCAGAAGTTGTACCCGTCCTGGAAAGACCTGTCCCCACACGCGACCCCATCCAACTCTTCGTCTTCTTCAGTGGGTTCAAGTGGTGGGTATGAAGACTCGTTGACCTCGTAGCCGGTTGACTCTCTACCTTCGCTCCTTGGTCCTTCGAAATACCAAGCCCCCGACGGCGACACCATATGGAACATGATGAAGACCCTTTGGAGATGTGGCCAAGTCGGTGTCGAACTATCCTCAGGCCAGAACAATGTTTCGTCCACTTGAGCGCGGAGCCGAATTTCCTGAAGATGGTAGGATAGAATCCGAAGGCTGGTACTGAAAGGGTCTTTCAATGCAGGACTAACGAGATTCGGCATGGCCGTCCAGTGGTGGATGCAGTCTGCCTCCATCATGGCTTCACGACAAAAAAAGTTCAACTCAACTCGTTGAAGGGATTTAGGTATATTGGTTGGCGTGATTGCTTTGCCGAAACCATGCCTTGTGTCTCGTCGGGGTCCGTCATACTCCCAGATGAATAATTTCGCAGGCTCATCATAATAGCTCGGAGTCCACTCATCCTTTCCAGTGTGGCACTCAAGATTCTCTACGTTTGGACATCGGGTAACGAGGTCAATCAGAATTCGATAATCGAGTTTTGCCTTGGAATGATTATTGTTTATTTGAAGAGAGCCAACTGACATTAGGCTAGGGAGAGTCTCAGGCTCCAGCAGGTGAGTTCGCCAATGAGCGTGTTCCCGGTGAAGACAGTGATCACCTGAGCATTGCTGAGAGGGACTGTGTATTGTAAGTTGATATTTCCCGCGGTTCCTCTCACCCGCATGCTCCTCTACTATTTTAAGTGTCGCGAAGAGATTTTTAATCTGCATGGTGAAGATCTTGTCTTTCTCGAGTTGTTCGTCGGCGCTTTCGCGGCAACCATAATCATCGTTGACCACTAGGTCTGGGAAGGAGGTGCGGAATTGGACATGTTTAAGATAGCGAAGCCGAAAACCGGAATAACGGCCGATGAAACGCTGACTGCTCTCTTTGGTGATTTCGATTGAGTGAGTTCTGTACCCTCCGGCATGCTCCTCCGCGGCTTTGCGGAATCTGGTCGAGACATAATAGGTGTTTCGTAAATCTTCGGCAGGAAGATGGCTACAGAGTCGGTCGATTAATTCTTGCGGAAACCGGTCCATAGCTCTATGAAAAAACTGGGTAGTGCAACTTGGAAAGAGTAGCGTTGGGCGGATTTGCTTGTCGGAAGTTGGTTCAAAGCTGCGGGTAAGAAGAAGGCTTTCTACCGCACGACTGCTGGCCGTCGGGCGGCGGGGCACCAGAAACAAGAAAAACGACGTCAGAGTTGCGGCACGGCATACTAACTTGCTCGATATATTTAGGAAGTGGATTGTAGGAATGTACACATGCGCGCAGAATTCCGGCCTTATGTCGAGGCCTAACGCCCGGTATGACCACGAGTGTTCTGACACACATTTCCTAAAACTGACCTATGCGCTGCCAAGGAGGGTGAAATTACCCTGCCAGTGCCAGCGCTCGACCCTCTTCAGGAACACCAAAACTGCCCATGGCCAAAGCGCAATTCCTATCACATGATTGAACGGCAAGGCCGCTTGCGCCTGGTCTAATATTAGTAGGTTCGTTATCTGATATCCGGTCTCAGTCTCCAGATTGCTCTTCTTGCATCCATTCAGTCATCTTACCCCTATTCTCTCCCCATCATCAACCAATCTAACGTTACCAGGCTTGTCAACAAGCAAGTTTGTGGGGTTTTCAAGGTCCAGCTTGACTTAATCACATAATTGGGTTAGTGACCTTTTTGTACAGGTTTAACGCGTCCTAAGTAGGCGTAGCGCCTCTCTCCGACAGTAAACTTGACTTGCTGGTTGACTTGCTGGTTGACTTGCTGGTTGACTTGTCTGCAATCTACACGATCTTCTTGCAACATAACCACACTAGTATTTGTTTTCCTTCACGGTGCATGATTTTAGGGAAATGCAACATTTACGGAAAAGTGGACGCCACGTGAAACCGGGCGTTACGCTACAAAAACACTGTATAGCGGCTGCATTAAGAAGGCAGGGCTGAGCTGGCATACGCCTGCCTTTTGCAGCTTAGAGCGGTGTATGCGTAAGCAAAAGTTCGCGCAAGGCTGAACGGCTCATGAGGGTGGTCTTGCAATAGGGAGTTGCGCAGGTTATATGGGAAGAAATAATGCAGTTCATGTGTTAGAGGAAATAATATGAAATCTGAGGGGACGAGGTCTTGTGCCCTTGGGAGTGACCCGTCAGGCTGTATCCATAAGAAGCTTAACCGCATAACAGGACCCTGTTGATCAATACAGTTCTAAGGAATACGGTAGGATGTTGAAACGGTAGATGCCGGAGTAGTCTTATAAGGAGATTTTTGATTATTTGCCTGCGGATCGAACGGTGTAAGATTCCGAGAGTCTCTGTAAAGGTGTTATGTAGGGTGCAGGATAATATTAGATTATGTTGAATGGGCTCTTTCAGCTAGCTGCTTATGGTATGAGCACTTAAGTAGCAAGAGTAAGAGTAGTGTACGGTGTGCACAGCGTACGAAGTAGGTAGGGTGGGGGCAACATGTTTCTGGTTCTATTGCTCTGTCTTTTCCTCCGTACGGAGGAAAAGGGGAATATCTAGATGTTCGCGCACGGAGGTTCGCGCACGAGCATCATGTGACATAGTTACATGATCCTTCTCGTGCGCGATAACTATCCAGACTGTAGCGCTGTTGCTACGTACGGACAGATTATGTCTTATTACGCCCGTATGAGCCACCTTCAGATGGCAGCGAAATGACTAGTATGAATCCCAAGTCGGGGGATTTAAACATGCAGCCATGGGTCAGGCTAGTTTGTGGTGTGGGTTCTTAGTCCCGGCATAAGAGAGACATCTGGATGCCGGATTGGGAAAAAGTGGTAACACTCGCGTGTCTGCACATTTACAGTGAATTTAACGCTCGTTTTCTGTACTGAAGTAATACACGATGCTGATACAGCTCCATCTTGGGACTTAAATTGAGGCTTATTGACTTCTCGGCTGCATATGTGTTTACCTCGTGGATGTATCCAACCCCATTGAACCGGAGGATCACATGGACAATAATCTCAATGCCCAAGAAAACCAAACCTCGCGAGTAGGTGAGAAAAGGCCGTAGGATTGCATCTACGGCCTTTTTTGTCTCTATGGAACCACAGTCGGACGACGTGTTCGCTGCATAAGCATCCTGAATGGTACATTCGACCGTGGGTACTATACCGTAGCATAAAGGACCATTGAAAAACAAAGTATCAGTTGAGATGTGGGGTGCAGGATTGCGGTAAGATGTTTCAAGTGTGACGCCTAATTATTAATACCGGTATACAGCAAGTCGCCAGACTCCCTGAGCCTCAGAGGTGGAAAGCGGCTGTCTTCCTTATCCAAATCCGACATGCTCTGAGCCTCATACTCGTACGAACTCCTTTCTTACTTCTGCAAATCTCCCGTTTGCAAATCTCCTTTGGCAAATCTTCCTTCGGCAAATCTTCCTTCAAATTTAACTCTCGACTACGTGTCGACAGATTTTTGGGACTAATGGCTGGGCTAAGCAAGGAAAATGAGTATATATTGGAATCATGTTTCCATTGAGAGAAGGAACTACAAACGGTTTTTCATTTCTCAAACAGTCCCGAGCTTCATGATCGCAATGAGACACTCCTTTCTATTTCCGCCTTTGCTCCTTGGGAGTCTGACTCTGCCATGTTTGGCTCGGGGTGTTCAGAATTCACAACCTCCAGGTATCGAGGGCATCAATGACCCGAATATGACGGGAAAGCTCATCGACTATTGGGCTGACTATGCATGTTTTTCGCTCAGCGATAATAGCGAACCGAACGTCAAAGAGCAATGCAAAGAGGCTTGTTTCCCTGGTGGCATTACCTCCGATGTGCCCCCCGGTGAAATTGTCCAAAGTTCGCAGACATGCTGGCTCAATGGCCCAGAGTCTGATTACCGCACTGGAGCGCCACTCACGGAGCAGCAAAAGAACGAGAATCCTAGAAAAGGTGAGCATTACCCCGATAAGTGCATCTTGCCTTGGCTAATGGTAGTATCAGTGAAAACCATCACAACCGGTTATTGCATTTGTGATGATCCAATCATCAAATTCCTAGGTGACTTCTTCATTAGATCTATTATCGAGATGGGCAAAATTCTTGAAAAGCTCATGTGTCCTACACTGATGGCGATGGATCTTGTTGTAGAGATAGGGTCTGCTGCAATACCTGGAGTTGGCAAGGCTATTACCGTTGGAATGAGTGAGTCTTGCTCTAATATATCATGGACCGTTCATGTGACCATATGACTGACTAGAACAGGAACCGGAGTCAAAACGGCAAAAATGTTCAGATATGCCTATGACGCTCAAGATGCTGCAATGGAGTGGGCAAGCCTGGTAAGCAAGATATCTTTACAATTACTCCTGGCGGATTCTAGCTAACTCTGATTGCGTACTTTAGTTTGTGGACCAAGGCTTTGGTTTGGCTAGTGCAGCAGGCTGCAAGACGCCTTTCTCGTTCTCCAAGGCAGACCTCGCGAAAAGGTTCTTGGATTTCGCAGGTGCTCCTGATGAGCTTGTCCCAGGAATCAATTACGACGAGATGCCCTGCCCAAAGGGAAAGAAGGCGTCCAAGAAGTGCAAAGAGAAGAATGGTGAAAATGACAACAATAACGCTCCATCGAGAACTAGAGACAACAACCAACCAACTAAGACTAGCCAGCGACCCTCGACAACAACAACCGATGCAGGACCTACGGCAAAGGCTGATTGCGCGGCGATCGGTAGGAATGATATGGTGGCTTTGCTCGAAATTACCCCTGACGTGGAGGAAGGATTGGTAGGGAAACGAGCCGTGGGAACTACACTCCAGAATCGTCGTCTCGAAGCACGGACTTTCAGGCCAAAAAAGGGTGACGCTTGCGTAGGGTCTAGAAAAACGACAGTGGAGAGCAAAAAATATCCCAGTGCTGGAGAGAATGTCATGGTAGGTGAAGCATATACATGACGGAGTGGTCCGTACGTCGAGTCTAGCAACATCAATGACTGACATAAACTATAGAAAAATGCGCTTGCTTATGGATTCAACATAATCGATGACTGCAGCGACTACGGTTGGGGTGAACAAAAAGCTATCGGTACCAGCGACTATGACACAGAACATGTTCTCGAATGGTCGATGGTGAGATCTCTGGAACAATACTCCTGGTTGACTTCAGCTAATTTAATCTCCATTTTGCAGGTACAGAATTTCTTCAGTACTATGAATGATCATGCCGATTTTAAGGCTGGATTCGAAAATCCTGACCCTGACAACAAAGAAGAGCCCAAAGACCCAGCCCATCCGGAAGGCGAGAAAGTAAAGAAGAAGGTTGACTTCTGCAAGTACTGGGGTGTAAGTCAATTCCGCGGTGCAACTACGAGATTGGGGCATTTGCTGATTGTACCGCCACATTAGGAATCATGGGATTGGCCGGCCAAACTAAAGATGTCGAATCCTGATCCTACCGCCCCAGCTCCAGTTCCGGGTAAAGCCCCGGTACAGCAGACCCCTCTTCAGTGGTTTGCGGAAGCATATCCCTTTATTGATGGAAGCGGTGCAAATGCGAGGAAAGCGCACGTGCAAGAGTTAATCCTGCTGCAAAAGAGAATCAACCAACATCCGAAGAATAATGTAAGTCTCCAAGGTTAACCATCAGAAGAGCTGTTATCACTCACAAGTCCCCGTAATAGATGTTCTCAATTAAACCCGATCAGCAAATCTACGATAGAAATGATATGGACGATCTCATCAAACGAAAAAGCACTAAGAAGAGATCGAAAGGTGCCAAGAAGGGACAGCTGACGTTTGGTGAGCCTCATGAGCAACCAAGGACCGCTATCCAAAGAATGAGGGCTGTAGTTGGTGCATACCTATACATGAAAGAGAAAAAGGTCGACGAGATCTTTGTTGCCCAGGTGGATCGCATTGGTGCTCAGCTGGAATACATCGAGAACGCGCTCGCGAAAAACCCTAAGACCGTGGAGAGGGAAGGCGAGATGGATGGCCAGGGTCAAATTGAGACAAGGATTGTAACTTTCGACAAATGGGTGCCACAGAAGCTTAAAGAGAAATGGTTCGCATACATGGATAACGTCTATGCAAACGCAAACAAGAAAGGACAAGATTTTATGAAGGACAACCTTAAAAGACTGAACGACGAGTATAACGATAAGAAGTTGATTAAACAAGCGGATGTTGACAGGGAGAAAAATAAGGAGAGGCAAAACGAGTTGAAACTGGAGAAGAAGCTACGAGAGGACATGAAGGATTACATCCCTAAGCTTGAGGCCCAGTGGGCTAAAGCAAAGAATTGGCCCAAGCCGAAGTGGAACTCCTAGGCTCCTGCAGCTAGCCTCGCAAAGGTAGTTAGGGGTTTATGAATAGACGAGGAGGCCACCTTAGTGAATGGGGAATCGAGCTTAAGGTGAGGATCGAAAGGGCGAGTTTTTTGTCACTAAATGGACGAGAACCAACTACCAACTCTGAAGCCATGGTCAGGTACCCATTTAGCTATACAGGCTGTGTAGTGGAAGATAGGTCGGTTCAAAGGTAGGCACTTGGAGGGAGTTACGAACGGTTTTCGGCAAAGCGCGCTAGCTATATGCAAGTTTTTTTTTTTTTTTTTTAGAAATTAAACTGTTACCCGCAACCACAATGCAAAATAGAACCACGTCGATCTTAATACGTAAAAGCAAACTACATTTCCTTTGTAACTAAGATTCTATAACTTAGTATGTTCGCATACATATAGGTGTTACAATAGTATTAATGTATTTTATAAACAAGTAATCTACATAAGCAAGTTAACTACTAACGTATCTTACAAGTAAGTTAGCCACTTTAAAACCTATATAAAATCAAGCTTAGTAAGCAGATCTACTTCTAGAACTACTAAGTAGAATTAGTTAAATTTTTTAGAGTAGATTTATATATACACTTGTAATATTATTCTATAATTTCTAAGTAATAGCACTAGTAGTTATAGAGACACTAAAAAGGTAGAAGCTAAAAATAGTTTATCTAAATAGCTACCTTCTTATATTCGCTAAGCCTTAGATATTCTAGAATAATAATATTTATTTAGGTGTAACTTTATAGTAACACTTTTATCTAATTCTAATTAGTAGTTTTAGAGATAGAGCTACTTACTAAGCTTAATTTTAAATAGAGTTTAAAGTACTTAACTATTATAGTTATGTTACAGCTATCCAACCCGTAAGTACCCTAAGGGCTTGGCACGGGGTATATAGGCTTCTTAGCCTCTGTACCTCTGCCTCTGACTCTAAAGTTTACTCTTGTTACACCCCTCTATCCTAATTCTCTCTCTATGCCTTTTGCTTCCTACTTAATACCTCTTACACTATCTATCTTATAAAGTACGTTATACTTAAATTTTAGCATCTATATAATTAAATTAACAATAAATTCACTAATTAGCCTCTAATATGTTAATAAAGATAGAAAATTTCTTTTAGTTAAGGTACAATACAGGCAAGTTGTTTACACACCTAAGTTGCTTACTTTTACTAAGATTATACTAAACTACTTTTTCTACACTAATACATTCCTAATAACACTACTTAGACATGTTAAAAAAATTAGATATATCTTACACTTTAGGCTTTTAACTAAAATATAACACTTTTAAGTAACATGCTATGTAACGATTCTTATGAATCGCTCCATCTCGGGTTGCCCGGAACCTATCCGAAGGGTCTCTGTATCGGCCCCGACCCTGCCCTGCCCCCTGCTGTTACCTCTATTCCCCTAAGTATTTAGTCGCACCTCCTCCCTTAGCTAGCTTAGTAGTTTTCTAATATTCTCTTGTACAAGGCCTATAGGCGTCAATAACATTCCTAGGTTACTGTAACAATTCTCATGAATCGTTCCATCTCGGGTCGCCCAGAACCTATCTGAAGGGTCTCCGTATCGGCCCCGACCCTGATCCTACCCTGGCCCCGACTCTGCCCTGCCCCCTGCTGTTACCCCTATTCCCCAAAAGTTCAAAAGTGAAAAGCGAAAAATCCATTAACTTTTGGCGAATTGAGGAAGACCGGAGCTGCGGCGACTGAGGGGGTTGCAAGATAAGTACCGGTACCTAACCCTAAACCCCCCCTCTCTCCTAGAGAACTAGGGATAAGTACCAGAGGACAAGACGACTGCGCGGGACCTAGGGGAGTCATAAATTAATAGAATTAGAGGTGGAGGACACGCGTTAGGGGCAGTAATTAACCTAAACACGCGTTAGGACGCGCAAGGCAACTAAAGCAGAGAATATAAGGAAACAACAAAGAAACTTAGGCAATAGAAGTAAAACAGACAAGGTAATTAATGTTAACTAAGAGGCCCCTAAAGCCCTACAATTAACCCGCACTTAAGGCTAACTAAAAACAAGACATAACAAAGGAACAGGTATACCTAAAAAAAAGCGCAAGAGTAAGACAGAAGAAAGACCTATTAGCTATAGTGCTTACAGCACTTAAAGAGACCTAAAACAAGATAGTAGCTATAATAAAGTAGATAGAAAGAGAACACATAACCTAGATTAAAATAACAAGGGCACTTACCTAAGAGGTGGAGGCACTAAAGACAGAGAACAAAGCAATAGTAGACAAAGTTAAGACCCTTCTAGCTAGATCTTATACGCTGCCTAGTAGATCGCCATCTTACGCTGCTGTGGCACAATTGCCCCTAAGCAGCTAGCCTAGTAACTTATAGACCCTTTCTACTAACACAGCACCCTTAATAACAATAGACACATTCTACTACACAATTAATACATCTAGGATTAAGAAAGTAGACAAGGAGAAGGCAAAACTAGGCAAGATTAGACAAGCTATTAAAAAGAAAATGCAGACAAACTATAAGCACACAGAATAGTAATATATAGCAGTAGTTAGAGACCTAAGGAACACTAATTAAATTAGAGTTACATGTAGGGACAAAAGTAAGCTCTAGGCAGTTAAAAAGGCAGCCTACAAGACAGCAGCTAGGGGAGTTAGGATACTGCGTGACTAGCTCTTCCTAATTAGGGTAGATAACACTAACTAGCTAGCAGTGCTGTTAGAGGAAGAACAAATCTAACTAAAAGCCCTAGAGGCCCTTAGAGCTAAAAATAGAGTGCAGGTAGCAAAAGTTAGCTAGCTAAGTAAAAAGGATTTAAGAAAAGCATATAAATTAATAGTAGTGTATGTTACTAAGAGCAGCAATGCAGCCTAGCTGCTATAAGAACAGTACTTCTACATTAACAGAGAATCTGCATACACAAGACTGTTTAAACTGCAAAATAGACTATTATAGTGCTACTAATGCTAATAGCTAGGGCATAAGGCATTCACATGCACAAGGCAGCAGGTTTGTGCTAGGTGCGCTAGCAAAAAACACTACTACAGTAAATACTAAGTAATAGTCCCTAAATGCGTACTTTATAAGAGCCTCTATAAATCTTTCTTTAAGAACTGTTAAGTGCTATACCTTAGTTAAAATGCCTAGAACGCTTAAGATATTCTAACTTAATATAAAAAAAAGACATAAGGTACTGCACAGTGTAATAAATAACAAGTAACTATAAAACTTTACTATATTAGCTATTTAAAAACCTTATGTATAAAGAAATAAAAAAGAGAGGATTATTACAACACTAGCTAGACACACCTACTAGGCTAAATTTACGCTAACTGCATGTAGAGACAGGAGGTGGCCCTTCTAGAGTATGCTCTAGATACAGAAAGACATTAAAGCTAAATAGCTACTAGTATAGTTGCTAGACCTTACAGCAGCAACACTATAACTACCTAGTTAAATAGTCCTAGTAGTGTTAGTCTATATTAAGATAAAAAATAAGTAAGCACTAAAAAAGATAATAAATTACATCTAGACTTTAATCTAAACTACACATAACTAAACTAGGACACAGGTAGACATAGTTTTAGCAGGTGATTTTAACTAACATAACTAATTATAAGGAAAAGATAATGTGTTAAACACTTACTAAGGTAAAGTAAACTCTATTATACACCTTATAGTAGACTATTTACTCTACAGCTTACTTCTTAGGGGCATAAAAACATAGCAGCAAGGAATAAGTAAAAGCACTATTAATTTAATGCTAACTTTAGATAACCTAGCAGCTATAGCACTATACTGTAAAGTCTATAAGACAGAACATAAGTTAGATTATAAAGTAATTAAAATAACTTTTAATATAAACACTCTAGAACAGTAAGCAGAAGTAAGACTATTATTTAAAAATGCACTATAAAAAGTAATATAAATAAGAGTTAAAAAGACACTTAAAGCTAAACTAATAGAGGGCAGTGTATAGTAGTAGACAGATAGGCTAATAGAAGCAGTAATAAAGGTAGTCTATAAGCTAACCCTAAGAGCTAGGCCCTTACTGTATGCAAAAAAATAGTAGACTATAGACTTTACATAGTTGTAAAGAGTATATACACACTAGAAAAATAAAGCAAAAGCAGAATAGTAGGCAAAAAAAATAAGTATAGAGATAGAATAATAAGTAAAGGTAGCAGTAAAAGAATTTTACAACGCAACATAGCAGCAGCGTAGAACCTACTAGAAGGACTTTTTAGTAAATAATGCTAACATTTAAAAGGCTATAAAATACCTTAAGCTAAATAGTGCTATAATGTTTAATAAAATACTCTTTCTAAAAAAAACTAATAGATTAAGCATAAAAGAAAATCTAAAGATAGTAAATAAGTTGCTATAGTTATTCTTTTTACTACTTTTAGACACTATTAAGAATAAAGGTAAACGCTAGTAATGTAGCCTAGTTAGCATGCCTAACCTAACTATAAATAAAATAGAATGCTGTCTGTTTACAGCTAAGCTGTAGAAGGCACTAGGCAATAATAAGCTTCTAGTTATAGTATAGAGGCAGCTATAGCTAGTTGTAAAAGAGAGAATCCTACTTTTATTTTAAACATTACTAGAAGAGGGGGTTATCCTAGTATAGTAGAGAAACGCTTAGATTATCCTGCTTAAAAAGCTAAAAAAAAAGGCAACTATAAAGTAGCAAAGTTATAAAGACTTATCTTTTTACTATTAACTCTTAGTAAGATTCTTAAAGCTGTTATAGTAAAAAAAATTTTATATATAATAAAAACATATAGGTTACTTTCTATAAACTACTTTAGTAAAAGAAAATAGTAATTAGTAAAATAAGTGCTATTAATGTTGTAAAAATACATCTACAACACATAAAAATCTAAGAAAGTGCTAAGTCTAGTAAGCTTTAACATAAAAAGAGCATATAATAAAGTATGTAAAGACAGGCTAACCTAGAGGCTCTGTGCTAGAGGGATACTACTAGGCCTAGTATAATAGATAGACGCCTTTTGCTCTAATTATACAGCAACTATTATAGTTAACAGCTACACGTCTAAGAAGAAACTGCTGCCCTAGGCAGAGCTTTTATAAGGATTCTCTATTTTCTTTAATCTTGTTTTTTTTCTTTAACGCTAATCTAGTCTAACACTAGATTAATGCTTATAGCAGTTTATTTACCTTTATAAATAACTATAATACTTAAGTAATAAAACCTTTAGCTAAAAAAAATTCTGTAAAACTCTAAAACATTATTAAAAAAGTAATAAAGTAAAAAAAAAAAAAGTAAAGTAACTTTTAAAAAAAACAAAACTACTTTAATACACTTTATAAAAAATAGAGGTAAAATAAGTGTAAAACTAGTAAGTGTTAAAAGATAGCTAGTTAAACTAATAATAAAAGCTAAGATTCTAGGCGTTATTATAGATGTAAGGCTAAGATATAAGCAGCATATAGTAAGGGCAGCAGCAAGGGGCCTAAGAGCAGCCCTAGCGCTAAGGCAGTTACAGATAGTCTCCTCTGCTACAGCCTAGCAGCTTTTTAAGTTAATAGTAGCACTAGTAGTAGACTACACATTAAGTGTATAAATGCACACTTACAGCATAATTTTAATAAAAGTAATAAATAGAATATAGAAAATAAAAGCTTAAGCTGTTATAAGCTACTTCTAGATAGTTACTGCAGCTATAGCAAAGGCAGAAGTAAGTCTATAGACAGTGCATAAACGCTACATAGTAAGGGCTATTAAGATGTAGATTAATGTCTACATGCTGCTAAAAATAAACTCTATGTTAAAATTCTATATTATAGGCTTTTAACAGTTTTAATTACTACTATAAAAGATTACAGAATAGCTAGAAGAGCTTAATACTAACTAAATAGAAATAATTAATCTACATAGTGTGTAGCTATAAAACTATTACATTTTAGTAATAATTAAACTAGACTAAGCAAAAGCTATAACACTAGCTAACTAGTGTAATAGTATTAGAATTGCAATAAGCGCATTTGTCTAGCTTAGTATAGTAGGGATAGGAGAGGCGATAGACAACACACAGAGGGGAGCGCCTGCTTAAGCTGCTACCTTGTCCTTTACCTTAGAACCTAGGACAGAGCAAAACCCCTACACAGCAGAGCTAGCAGCAATGGCAGCAGCGCTAACCTCCCTTCTAACATGCTAGACAGCAGACTAGGTTATTATTCTCACTAGCAGCTAAGCAGCTATACAGGCAATACGCTAACTGTAGGATTAGTCTAGCTAAGCTAGCATTAAACAGATCTACAACGCAACTTAGGCACTAAGGGAAAGGCAGTGCTCTGTATATATAGTATAGTGCCTAGCAGGAAGCAACAATTTAGTAAAGAAGGCTAAGAAAGTAGTAAGAAAAGCTATAGCAGACAGCAGCGTGCTAACTAGACCCTTTTACTAAGCAAGGTTAGCAGTAACTAGGACTATAGTAAGAAACTAGGGACAGAGAAAAGACTTACTAACAGGAGTAAAGAGATACTTGTGTAAGATAGACATAGCTCTACTTAGGAAACACACTAAGAAGCTCTACAACGCTCTAACCTAGCAAAAAGCTGTTACAGTTATGTTACAGCTATCTAACCCCTAAGTACCCTAAGGGCTTAGCACAGAGTATATAGGCTCCTCAGCCTCCGTACCTCTGCCTCTAACTCTAAGGTTTACTCTTGTTACCCTCTATCCTGCATTCCCTCTCTGTGACCTGTGTTTCCTGCTTAATACCTCTTACAGAAGCAAAGATACTAGCACAATTACAAACTAGGATAACACAGCTAAACACATACCTATACTAAATAGAAGCTGCAGACTTAAACATGTGCATATGTAGTTAGGCAGAAGAAACTATTTAGCACTTTCTCTTTTAATGCTAAAGATAGGACACACTCTAAATATAAATGCTTTAGCAAATAGAGACTAGAAGAGAAAACCTCCCCTTCTTTCTAGAGGGAAAAGCACTAGTAGACCTAGCAGAATAGTCGCTAGACATTAACATAGTAAAGATAATAGTTAGGTACGCAATAGCAACAGGCTGCCTAGAGCAAGAAAGAAATAGAAACCTAGAACTACAGAAACAATAGTAGAAAAGAGACGCTTAATACTAACTTTACATAACAGTAGGCTCTACTTTACTTGCTAACAAAAGAACTTTAAACACTTAAAAAAGAGACTTTAAAAACACTTACTATAAATTATAATTAGGGGGATATGTAACAACTACGCTAGATAGCAGAGCAGGAGGCATGTAAGGGCTACAAGGAGTTAAGCCATCACTAAGGAAGCGCTTAGGTAATAACACACTAGTGCCCTCTAGGCTAGAGCCGGGCGTAATAAAGACATCATCATCAATGGTAAGGCTTGTACTGCGAACCAGCCACACTCGGATTAAGCCACAGAGTGTCCTACATTCGGGTCCACAGCAAGCCGAATCGGCCCTCCATTACAGTCATTCTAAAAAGTCTGTCCCATGGTCTAAGCGCTCGGCTGTGGTCCCCTAGACCTTGAAAAAATTTCCTCTATCTAATTTAGTAGTACAATTGTTTACCTGCTGTCTCTCTATTTATAAACTATGCCTACTTAATTTAGTAAGGCTATTATTACTTATATATAAACCTGTCTTAATATTAAGATGTTAGTTTCTTAAATTGTAAAGGACCTAAGCATATCTTATAAGCCTGTTTACAGGATCTGTACTAGCTTAGATCTATAGGGCTGCCTGTATCCCCTGTTAACACTAAGACAGGGAAGACCTAGGGTAATATATAAAGGCTAGCTCTAGGTAGGTAGCAACTATCTTAGTTCTTTTCTTAGTGTTGTGCTAATGCTTTTATAGAGCTTACTTACTTTTTTTTAAAGATTACTCTACTGCTTATTTTAACAAAATGTAAGACTTTCTACTTAATAAGTACAACATAAAAGTGTTAGCTAGTATAATATATAATTAGCTATTAAACATGTAATAGTTTAAAAAGGTTATTTACTATTATTCTTTAAAGCATAGTTTAGAGCTAAGAGATGCCTAGCGTCTTTATTAGCAAGGCTAGCATATAGACTAAATTATATGCCTTAACAAATCTAGATATAACTCTTGTACTAGAGATAAAAAACATAGGTAGAGTTTTATTAGTAAAGACTATAAAGTTTACAGCTTAATTATCTACTTATAAAGATAAAGTCCTCTTCTAGCTTATACTATAAATAGTTATATAACTTATATAATATTTTAAAGTAGTAGTATATTATAAATTTTTAAGAATTTTTTTAAGCATTAAGTGCTACCTCTTTATAGCCTATACCTAAGGTTAAGGTTAGTTATAGTACTTAATAACACAAGTATTTATTAATTAGACTATGTAAGGGACATCTGCAACAGAGCTAGTGTAATACTAGCGTTTTTACCTCTATATTTACCTAATTTTAACTTAATTAAGTTGTTCTTTACTATATTAAAATTATAGCTTAAAAGAAACTATTAGTTAGTAGATAACTTTAATAACTATAAAAACTTTCTTAAGTATGCTATACAGTAGTGTTGCTACTAAAAATTTAAAGCAATATTTAAAGCTACTAGATATAAAGAATAAATAGTCTATATAATTACATCTTATTTAAGTCCTCTTTATTAAGCTTATTTTTATACTGCTTTTAGGCAGCCTTTAGTTTTTTTTTTTTTAAAAAAAAAACAGCTTTTTTTTTTAGCATAAAGAGAGTTTTTAGCTTAAAGTAGTTATATTTATTATAGTACTCCCTTTATTACTTTTTTATTATTATGCTTAAGTTTTTAAGTGTATTAAAATTTTAGTTATTTTTTACTAATATATAACTTATCTGCTTAAGCACATCTACTATATAAGTAAAAGTTAAGGGCTAAGCTTTCTACTACTTAAAAAAGCGCTTAAGGATGTTAGTATAGTTATAATTAAGCATTTTAAAAGAACTTAAAAGCTGCCTAGCGTGTAAGGCAGGCTAAGAGAAGTAAAAAAGTTAAAAGGATGTTAGTAATAGTAGTAATAATTAACATATGCTACACAGTAGTTAAAGCGTCTCTAGCTTAATTAGCTAGGTAATTAGTAATAAAGCAACACTAGTAGATAGAAAAGGAAATTATACTTACTTTTTTTACTATTTTACTTTTAGTTTCTGCTTCTTTTACTTATAAAAGGATATAATAAACTTATTTAGATAGTTTATTATAAGTTACTTTTAGTAAAGTAGCTTACATATTAGCTATTTATTATTATAAGTTGTTACTATTTAAAGAGTAGTGCATATTAACACAATTCTTATTACTCTACACCTAGTAGTAAGTCTTATTGCTCTTATTTTTATAAAAAGAATTATAATAAAGCTATCTATTAGTTAAAGTAATTTAATAAGTTATACTAATCTCCTGCTAGGCTAAATGCTTATTAAGGCTATTAAGCTAGTGTTAGGTAACATATAACATTAATTTTTTAGCTCTAGCTTAAGACAATAGTATTACTACAGTAATAAAAAGCTTTACTGCTTTAGTTATAACTATTTTAATATTTATAAACTACTTTTTTTTTATTTTATAGTAGAAATAGTAGTTTTTAGAATAATTTTTTAACATTTTTACTAGAAACTTTATATTAGCTTTACTAAAAATTTTTATTACTACTATATTAGCAGTAGCTTTACTACTATATATAGCTTTGCTAGTTACTATAGTTGCTTTACAAACACTAGGACTAGCTGCTTAGGTGTTCTAGAGTGTTCTTTTCTTCTACTATTAAAGCTGTAGCTAAAGAGTAGCAGTATTACTTTCTTTAGTAAAAAAATAATAGGCATAAAAGCTAGGTAACATCTCCTTAATACAGCCCCTTAGAATATACGCCTGCTATTAAGCTGTATACTTTAGTACTAGTAGATCCCTAGCGTTTTTCTATACTTAGTTATCTATTAATAATAAACGTAACCTCTGTAACACCTCTATGTTATTAGGTTATTATACCTCTACTGTAACCTCTTTCTATATAACTTTTACTAATAGTATAATAAGATTATTTATAGCTAACTTAGCTAGCTTCTTATTTTTTAATTTAATAAAGTCCTTATTAACCTTAGCTAGCTGCAAAAAATAGATAAATTATAAAAGTTAAAAAGACTAAAAGGGCTAAGCTAATAAAAGAACCTCTTTAAAAGCAGCAGCAGCTATTAACTAAAAAGAAGAATGTTTTTAGACTAATTAGCTAGCAGCAGTAGTAAGGGAGTGTTTTTAACTATTATAAAAGGACTAGCTTATTATAGTAGGCTGTTATTAATTACCTAATTAAGAAGGAGCTGCAGCATTAAAATTAAATAATAAAAGATTTTTTAGGCTTTTCTAGAGCTCTAGATGCGTGGTTAGGGGTCAGGGAAAGGCCTGCAGTACTAATTTGGGTGGGGGGGATTTTTCCGAGTCCCCTGAGCTCATAAGCGAGTGCTCAGGCCATGGGACAGACTTTTTGGAATGACTGTAAAGCTGCTCGCCTAGAAAAGACCACCCCCGCGCCTCCGCCTCCGCCTCCGCCTCCCGAATCGTAGCCTCACTCAGCTCCTCTAACCTTCTCTCCGCCACAACCATATTCTCTGGCACGGTGTTGCCGATGATATCTCTCCCTCGCACCTTCGATAGGAGTATTATACCTTGAAGCGACGTGCTCCGCGACAGCTGCACGTATAAGCTATACGGGTAGCATTGGCTCGGGACCGCTTGCCCACAGACCTGCACCGTCCTCGTCCCACGCCGTTCCGCCATTTGTCACGTGGGCGTGACGTGTGTTCAAGTCTTCTAGTTATCTCCCTGCCTCGTTTATAGTTCAGCGCCTCGGTATGGCGCCAAAGAGGAAGTTCCCAGGAATCGCAGCCGAGTGCAAGCGGGTATGGTCCGTAAAACAGCCGAGCTCGCAAGCTGGTTCCTACAAGCAACGGCAAGAAGCTCGAAAGCAACGGAAGAAATACAAGCTTGAACGCATCAAGGGCTTCACGAAGGATGATCTTGACCATCGACGCGATATATATTACTGCATGAAGGATCATCCTGGAAGATATTGTCGCGAATGCAACCCCCGTGCCGAGGATGGGGACGAGGAGGGCACAGAAGATTATAGCGACGAGAAAGCCGAACTATCTGAGTCTTGGAGTGATGGTACGGAATCTTCTGATGGTGGTCGTTCAGCCACATACTCCGAGCTCTTGGACGAGAGAGAGGAGGTGGCTGAAGCAACTAAGTACATCGAGGATAAGGTTGCGGTCGTAGACGCGGTTGCCGCAAATTTGCAGGCGGCGATTGATAATTCAAAACCAGTAGCAATTCCTGTTGGCGACTTGCAGGGTGAATGGACACTATACAATTCAGACATATGTCCAAAGACCTTGGGGCCAACTTGCGAGTATTATCGATTGTGGGTATCACCATCCGCTACTGAAGGGAATCTACTCGACCGAAGACAACTACCCCAAGAAGCATCCGAGCCATTCATCGATTGGATGATCAAAGAGACTGGTGGGGATATTAAACCATTTCTGCTCCCCCAGTACGTATCCCGCGAGCGCATCCCGATCCTACTAGTACGACATGGCGAAGACGACGTTCCTGCGGATATCACATTCTTAGGCGACGACTGCCTGCGGCTGAGAGTCCCGAGATCAATCATCTTCCCGGCTGAATTTAGACGTACTGTTGGACATGAGCTAATGATTGAATTTGCCGGCATACGTTGGACGGAGGCTGATTTAGCAGTAAGAAAGGCACGACTTGAGGACGGCGAGAGACAGAGAAGGGCAAGGAGCCCAGGCACTCCAAGCATGGGAGCGCAGCTAGGGGGATATGCCGAATGGTAGCCTATCGCGATCCCACACGATCTGACCAAAATCTTCCCGATTCGCGTCCTAGCACTTGTGACTTCGGCAAGGCTCTAGGTACAAGCCCCCCTGGTGTAGTAATCTAACGCTTGACCATTACGCAGCCGGGCGCAGATCAAGAGGGCTATCAGCCTTTTGCTTGGAAGGAAGTCTATGCTGTAATGCAGTGCCCAGGTCCGCCCTGCAACAAAGACCCTTATTGCTGGCGTGATCCAGTTGGAAAGAAGCACTATAAGCTGCGAACGCAACACATGAAGGTTCTTGTACGGTTTTCTGAGCAGGGGAATACCTTGCAGAGCCAAGGTGATGTTCCAAAGCATATAAGGGAGCAGCTTCATGTTGAAGAATAAGAACGGCTGGGGAAGCAGCCTCGGCAATTATCTAGCGCCCCCACTCCCTACCCCCCTATAAACATTAACAGACAAAATGAATAAGTAATTTACGCTGCTAAAAACTAATATACTGCTCCTACGCTGCCATAGCCAACGTAAATTCATCACAATCGCCCAGAAATACATGGTCGATCTCGAAGTCATTCTTGATTTTTGGAGACTCCCTGTTGACCCACACTATCAGGCATTTTCTGTTGTCTGACTTAGCCTTTTCGTAGAGCTTCCCCACGAAGTTTCTCAAATCATCGATCGCTAACCTTGTTCCTGCAATGATGACGGCGTCCACGGGCCGATGCAGATCATCGTTAAAAGCCGCTACTATCTCTGGTTCCTCGGGGTTGCATTCTCCATAAAGCAGTACGTTTGATCGAAGGCTACCCGTAGAACGTCGTCGGTTTCCCTCTAGCTCTCGCTGCTTTTGCTCATCTTCACAAAGAGGGCAGCGGTCATTTATTAGATGAGAGAATGATTCTGCAGTAACACGAAAAGTATGCTGAGGACGAATGCTGCATCTAAGTGTATCGACCCGACCGTGAAGCATTATCGTCCTCTGAGATAGCGAAGGAAGTCTGTCGCTGCGGCAGTCGATGTTTTGTGTATAATGCCGTCGTATCCGGCCACGCTGAGCCCATGCTTCCATGAGGCTGTCGAGTGATGTGGGGCCAGAGGTCGAAGCGGAGGTAAATATAGTCAACAGCTGGCTGTGCAACTGGGCAGCTCGTTCAAGGATACAGTATGCAGATGAGTGGAATAGGCTTTGGCTTGACAGCCCAGTCCCTGAAAAACTGCAGAAGTTATCCACTATGATAGAATCAGGATACCACTCCAGTGAAAATGGTAGTTTCGAAACGTACCACCCGCATTGGTGGAAATTCCGGCTCCACTAATGATCACAATGTTTTCCTTCATGCTTAGATCTTTCTTCAGTCGCTCGATTCGTGATGAGCCCTTGATCAACGTATTTGAAATGTAGCTAGGACCATTCTTCCTGACCTTCCGGATGCATGAACCTCTCCGTTTGCGGTAGCTTGAACTCGATTGCTTCGGCATGTCGATGTTGGGGATGTTATGCAAAGCGCCGAGAAAGAAGAAGGTGATATAGGAACGGAAGAGAATGCATGATGTGAGATGGGGGGAGCCCTGATTTATACCCTAAACGCACATGACAGACCAGGGTAGTAACTCGAGCACAGCCACGGGCTGGCTTTGTTCAAAACTTACTGTTTCCATATATTCCACGTACGAGATCGAATTCTAACTCAAGGTTGCCGTGTTTCGAAGGATGCGTTTGACCTAATGCCTGGGAAGTGACGGACTGAGCCGGCGAAAAAACGCCTTGGAGGTAGGGAAGTCTCCGTAATAGGTTCAGTTCTTGACGGCATTGAATGCCAAGGTTGGCACAGCTCTTTTCTGGTGCATAGTTGTAGGGTGTGCCTGGGCAGTGGATCCTCAGTCCGCGCCGTTACTGCACATGGCAGGCTTGAACCCTTGTATTCAATAAATGTTAGTTAATTTCTGTAGCCTGATGCTCTGCGGCAACGGAGTTTCCAATAGCGCATAACTAGTAAGGTCCTTGGCTCCACCTTGTATGTTCTCCTGTGTCGTTAGGTGCACGCCGCCACCTCCTGGGTGGAGATAGGCAGGCAAGGTTGTATTATGCAAAATGCCGTATTCTTCCGGCCGCGTGTATGTTTGTCTTGCTCGATGCTATGGGGGGTTACATCTCCTTGGTTAGCGTAGTTTGCCGTGAAGGCATGAAGGAGGAAATTATGATACGTTATGAAGCGAGGCTGTTGAACGCTTTCAAAACTTGTAGCTCGGTTCGAATGAATGCGATTTCTAGCATGGTGTCTGTAAATTATGATAGACAACCCTATCTAGACCTCCGCTGCGGACGGGGTCCCCGCTGTGAAGCATTAGTTTCGAATCCTGGATATGCATTCACTTGTCATGCACCATGTAAGGTGGACGCGAACCCCTGGTCCGAATAGCAAGCTCCATGGTATGTCTTCGTGTTGTCGCTGGGCGTCGGACCGCACGCGAAGTTGCACGATGGCTGTGTCGAGTTATCTCAGCGAGCTCAGACGGTCGAGGCTTTGATTAGCGCCACACTATACTCCTTAAAGTAAAGCTGTTTTTTTATAGTCTACTAAGTTTTTTCTAAACTAATTAGAAGCTATAATTTTCTTAAAGCTTCTCCTATCTAAAAGACTTTAGTGCGCCTATGTAAGCGTAACACTTCTAATTTTTTTTAACTATAGCTAGAAAATTAACTTTTTAATAATTTTTAGCTCTTTTTAAGTAGCTATAACTTTTTTACTTTTTTTATACTATTATTAGTACTATACCTATAATTAATTTTACTTTAATAAGAAAATTTTAGCTTTTATGTATAAAAACATGTTATTTATTATTATCTTTTTACTTAACACTTACTACTTACTTACCTTACTAGCTTTATTATATCTTTTATTTTAATAACATTATTTTAAGGCTTTTCTACCTTCTAGCATTTTAATTTATAGTATACTATAGAGTTATTTTTACTACTTTTTATGCTTTTATTATCTCTCTTACTACTTAACTTTTCTAATTTTTTGTTTAACATGTACCTACTAACTACTTACTAGCCTCTTACATTTTAGGTAAATAAACTTATAAAAGTACTCTAGCTTCTAAAATAGTTTAATTTTAGTATTAGTAACTTTTTACACACTTTTTATATTAATTTAGTTTTATATACTTATCTATTTACTGCCTGCATATTATGTCCGTACGCAGCAGCAGCGTCGCGGCCTGGATACGAGCGATCACGCACGAGCAGGATCACGTATCTATGTCACATAATGCTCGTGCGCGAACCTCTGTGCGCGAACATCTAGATATCCCCCTTTTCCTCTGTACAGAGGAAAAACTAAGAAGCAATTAACACTAGTTACCTAACACCCCTATGTAATGTTTACACTATGCAAACCTCTCTGTCTTATACACATTTGCTAATGCTAAGTGCTAGCTAGTAAAGAGTCTATTTAACACTAATTAGTAGTTTAAATACTATAAAAAAAAAGCTTTTTTTATACTTTTTTATTTAAAAGTTTATATATAAAAAAAATTATTTTCTTTACTACTTTAACTATAAATTAGTAAGAGTAAAAATAAAGTCTAATTTATATATAAGTAGCTATAAATCTTTATTTAGTTACTTAAGTAAAAGTAAGAAACCTGTCTATATAATACTATTTAAAAGTATTATATAAATAGTAGTGCTTATTTAACACTAGAAGGTCTATTTTATCTTTTTATATAAGGCTGTTTAGAGGTAGCATATAACAAGAAGTAAGACAGCGCGCAACAACGCATAATTAACTACTATAAAGTAATAAGCAACGCTAGCTCTATCTATAACTAGCTAACATAACATATTAATGTATAACTAATACATACTTTTTATAAGCATCTTAGTAAAAACTTTAGTAAAGTAAATAAATATTAAAAATTAAGTAAATAAAATTAAACTATTAAATAATATACTTAAAAAGAAGCTTAATTTATACACAGCTAACTTAATTATAAAACTTTACACATTAAGCATAATAAATGTATGTATGCTTAAGAACTTTTAAAATAACTTTATAAAGTAAAAGCTTATACACTTTAAAAATCTTAGCTAACTATTTTTATAAAAACTAATTACTACTTTATAAAATAAAAGCATTAGCTTTAAAAAAGACATAATAAAGGCTACTACACTATATAAACTTATAAAAAAAGAACACATGTTTACTATTTTACTAAAGCATTATATAAAACTATTACTACTATTACTAGTTTTAATGTAATAGAGGATGTCTTTATATAAATTACTTATAGACCTAATACTTTCTTTATAATTAGTATAACTACTTGATAATAGCTTACTGTACAAGAGCATAACTAAGCAGCTACATATTTCTATAGCTACAGCTCTACATAAGATTCTCTAAAGCTTGTACCTACTATATATAATTTAATTACTGTATAATCTATACTAACTTCTACCTATATAAGATATTATAGTAAAGAACCTTACACCTAAAAAAGTTATATAATTCTAGAAGGCATAAAGAAAAAAGAATAACTATATAAAGTAACTATATAATATTCTAGCTAATAAGGCTATTGTCTGTACGCAGCAGCAGCGTCACAGTCTAGATACGAGCGATTGCGCACGAGCAGGACCACGTATCTCTGTCACATGATGCTCGTGCGCGAACCTCTGTGCGCGAACATCTAGATATCCCCCTTTTCCTCTGTACAGAGGAAAGACAAGAGCAATAGAACTAGAAACATGTTGCCCTCACCTTACCTACCTTATACGCTGTGCACACTGTACACTACTCTTACTTTTACTACTTAAGTGCTTATACTATAAGCAGCTAGCTGTTAGAGCCTATTTAACACTAATTAGTAGTTAATTTAATTAACTGTAAATTAGCAAGAGTAACAACAGAGTACTTACACCCTATAAGGTACTTTATTTTGTTACCTATCCCTTAGGAAGAGTAACAGCAAAGCACCTACGCCCTATAAGGTACTTTGTTTAGTTACCTATCCCTTAGGATAGCAGATTAATCCTTTACATTATACAGCAAGCTCTGCTACTGTACAAAGTAAAGAGGAGATAGTGCAAGACGCACACTAAAACTACTAAAGCTGCACAACCTAGCAGCTAGACAACAGCAGTACCCGCGCAATCTACTGCACAAGCAATTAACCTTACGCCTTATAAGGCACTTTGTTTTGTTACCTATCCCTTAGGAAGAGTAACAACAAAGCACCTACACCCTGTAAAGTACTTTGTTTAGTTACCTATCCCTTAGGATAGTAGATTAATCCTTTGCATTGTACAGCAAGCTCTGCTACTGTACAAAGTAAAGAGGAGATAGTGTAAGGCGCACACTAAAGCCACTAAAGCTGCATAACCTAGCAGCTAGACAATAGCACATTAATCCTTTGCATTGTACAGCAAGCTCTGCTACTGTACAAAGTAAAGAGGAGATAGTGTAAGGCGCACACTAAAGCTATTAAAGCTGCACAACCTAGCAGCTAGACAACAGCAGTACCCGCGCGATCTACTAGAAAAGCAATTAACTATACTATTATAATAAAATCCTACTAGCAACTAACAACTCTGCGTAATAACAGGAAGAATAAAGAACAATTCCTATTATATAAACAACTTATAAAGGACATAGAGATATTAGAGGCAACACTACAGAACAAGACTAGCCTAGAGTACTAGAATAATAAGATTAACATGTTAGAGGCTCTAACAAGCCTGTAGACTTAATTATACGCAGGTTACATAATTACTAATCTATGCATAATAACTTAAAAGGGCGCTACCCTTCTAAGTGTGTACATAGAGGATTTTAAAGAATAGACACTACAAGACTTCTTAGCACTTAGCTGCGCGTTTAAAAGGGAGCTTATATAAGTGCTAAAGAATAAGGGAATTACACTACAGCTAGGCACTAAAGGTACCTAAGCCTAGAAGCTGTATAATATAGCATAAGAGAAAGTAATTACACTAGAAAGGCTTTATACGCAACCCCTATTGCTATATAAGGCTCTGCACAGAAGCAGACTAAACACAATGCTGCTATTAACACTAAACATACTAGCATCACCTGCTCCTACACCTCAGCCAGCACTACACTAATCACTGTACAAACAATACATGCCACCCTACCCAACGCCTGCTCCACACCCTCAATCGTACACACCACCGCCTGCAGTAGTGTATGCACCACTGATACCACCTGCACAATCTATACCACATCACAGCCCGTACAAACTTCCACCCTAGAGGGAAACTGCTAAAGAAAAACTCCTAGCAGACAAGATTATACAATTCTAAAAGGCATAGA